CCTACCGAAAGCTCTGAACTGTGGCGTTTGCATCGAAGAACTAGCCATCGTGCTCCGGTATACGGCAACGAAACTGCTGCGGTTTTCCCATCAACTGTATTGCGTGTCATGCCCAGTTGCTTCAGGAATGAAGTATTGGGGACTGACGAGAACGAGAAGTCACACTATCCCGTAGCATATCTCTTGTAAATCCGTTCCTTGTTGTGTCCATCATTATATATAATGGTTTGCATCTCATGTAAAAGCTGATTTGACATGTCTCGGTTCGGTTCGGTTCGGATCGCGCCCTTATTGCTGTTAGCTTCCTCGGGTTGGCGCTGAATCGTCGTTGTGCCTCTTGGCACGGAAATCTGGGGTCACACTATCTACATTACCTCCGCATGTCACTACTACCATCTCTGTCAGAGGCCCCACGCCCTGGTCACGGACGCTGAATTATTTATCAAGACTTTTAGAATTCGAGTGTTCTTTAGTGAGCTGTCAACTATCAATACTTTTGTTCTGGGATATAGCGGTCTGGTTTGCCACGAGGGAAAAAAAAAAAAAAGGCAAGGCTGTGGAGAGATGAAGAAACAGCATCGTAATAACTAATAACTAATATCTCAAGGACTAGTGACACAATTGTGATGGACGATAGACAGGGATGTCTATGTACGTGAGAAATGAAGTTGCGCCATTCATTTATGCAGTACGGTACGTTTCTTTGCAGACCCTGGGTATCTAACAGTGTGCTCAAATCAAACCAAACTATTTGCCCCAAGGATTTGAGAATTCCTCCTCATTTTCACTGCCGTACAAGGGACTCGTGGCTTTAGGAGCGTGGTTTGTTTCCTCGAGCCACTGCCTAGACTCGTCCACCTCGGGCGTATGTTCATCAGGAGTAGGCTTGCCTATTTCAAAAGTGTCGTCCTCCTCTTCCTCGGCTTCCTCCAAGAGGATTTGCGGATCAGAGGTTGACAAAACAGGTGCACCTAATGGTCCCTGCTTCTGAGCTTCCTCTTGCTCCTTTGCCGCAGGTTTGGGCACAGGAGCAGCGCTGCCAGCGGATGGCACATCAAAAGAGCCCTTCTTGCGTCTTTCCTTTTCCTTCCCTTTGTTCAGAGTTTTGCTAAGTGTGTCGGTGCTCGAGGTTGAGCGTGCTTGTGGGCGACTATCGGGGGCGGCATTCCACGACCCAGACGGGTTCTGAGAGATCGACGTGTGTCCCACCCAACGCTCCCGTGCAGGTATATTTGCCGTCACAACGGGGTACTCCAAGCTCGTTAGTGGTACAAACGTGAAAAATTGAGTCTGTAACTTACATTCCAATCACCAAACTCCAGCTCCCGCGCCTTGTTGAAGAGATCTTCGTCATTGGCGTCCAAAGTTGTTTCATCAGTGTCACCCTCGCTATATTTTGGATTTGTGCCGCTTGGTCCTCCATTGGAATTGAGCAGTGGAGTGTTTGCACTCAATTCGCCTCGTACCTCCTCTGGTCGAGGGATCCAATACTTGGCCTCTCCCCCACGCTTGTAACGCATTCCCTGCTTCAGCCGCGCAAAACGGGAGCTGGAATCCTCGTGGGCAATGACTTTACCACTGGAGTCAAAGACACGGTAGCTATACTTGTCGCCTCTGAATGTCTCCTTTGAGTCCTCGATCAGGTCGACAACGCCAAAGGCGTCACGTGCCGCGTATTTGACGGGCATTCTAGCAGCTGAAATCGTGTTGTCGGCAAAGTCGTGCCATGAAAAGGCGTACCAATGTGCAACAGCGAATATTGGCATCTCGCAGCAAATCAACGCATCTTGGATGGCTGCTGCCAAATTATCCGAGGTGTAGCCTTCCACATTATCTGGTATGGCGCCGAGCCAAACAAGGATTGATAGAAAGAAGCCTTGCCAGTATGAGGCGAAAATAATGAGCTTGATGCACAGGAACTTTGGCACGGGCCGGAAGGGTAACAAGTCGTTGTGCATGCAGACCCAAAAGAGCCCAAGCGAGTAGAGACTGACAGTGACGCTGATATTGTAGATGATGCCGCTCCACAGATATCCTGAGGTCGGACCGATATAACCTTCCTGGTACACACCTGTTGCCTTCATAATGATAGCCGCAAGGGCCAATATTGGTTTGAGCCAAGCATACTGCAAGATTCCTCTTTTTATTGCAAGAAAGGTGTAGGGATCGGATATGTCGACTTTCGGCAGGACATGGTTCAGTGGCCACAGGTGATGAACAGGGGCGCGGCCATGTGTCATGATAATTAGAGCTCGCTCGCCATGCATATAGTTGATTAAGAGCTGGAAGAAGGTGTATATGGTAAAGGCCTCATAGATGTCTCGTATGGGGTCCAAGAACTGCGCTGCAGTAGTCGATACCATACTAACCCATGACGACAAGGAGTAGATTGGGACCATCAACAGGATCCGGACGACATATCGCTGCAGGAGCGGTTTTCGGTAGTTTTTGCTGTTTTCAAGTCAACACGACGCGACAACGGGTAGGATAGAGGGTTGGGCATACAGTTGAAGCCATACAGAACTGTTACAAAGAGTACAAAGTCAGTACAGTGTGTCTACCTTGCAAATCAGGACATGATACAGCGGGTGTGTGTTTTTCTTACACTATTGAGAGCAGAGTCGCTGCCAGTGAGGCGACGCCTGCGACTATTGTTGCACTGACTTGAAATCGCCCTCCAGTTCCACCAGCCATGTTGGATGTAAACAAAGCCCTATAAGGGCAAAAACAGCTGGGAAGGGAAGAAATTCGTAAGCGACGACATTAAGTCGAGAACATGGCGCACGAGGGCGAGGATTCCAGGCAGCCAGAAACAAAACAGGACGCTTTGTGACGTTGTGGAGGTCGCCCGTTGAGCTTGGAAGCTGTGTGGGCGGCGGTTCATATGCTCCGACACGTCAAACGTCGTCCCCTCATCACCTGTCTGCTGCACGATTTATTAGCTGCTCTGGCCTCTGGGGGTGTGGTGGCAGGGTGGGCAGCGAGGCATGTTGCAGGGGTCTTGGATACAAATTAATGCATCTTATCTTGACTTTTAGCGCCAGATTAAAGCTCTAGACTCTCTAGCATTTCCTTTGTCAGGTCAGTGTACTTTGCCATACATAGATGCCCGATGCGCCACACAAAGCTTGACATCGTTTGTGTATATTCTGTAAGAGTAGGAGGTATTTTCAGAAGGGCCAGGCTGTGAATTTTATTCAATTCCTTTGCAGGTTCCTTCTTGTTGAACAAAAGCACTCGCCAGTTAATGAATAATACAAGTCCAGTGACAGTGCACATCGATATGCACGGGCGATCTCCATTACGATGGAGCCCCAAACCCCTAAGGTAATTGTACATGCCTCGCCAAAACGGACGCTAAGTGTCCCAAGTTCAACAGGGATTTGCGCTAAGTAAGCTAAGAGGCGCGTCATCCCTCTCTAAAATGTTGATGGACTGCAGTTGCCAGTAAAGATTGCGGCTAATGTAATGTAGAGAGGGCCTGGTGTGCTCAACTACAAACAAACAACGACGGAGCAAAGCGAAATAGCTCGCACCCACGAACCTCTTCTCTTCTTCGCTGCTCATACCTCTTTGTCACAATACAGCTATGGAACGGATCTCCAGGTCTTGCATGATTGCGACTGCTCTTGCTGGCTCGAAGTGGTAGGGGGATATAGGAGGAGGAGGAGGAGCCAACCCTCAAGCACTTTGGTTGCGCCGCCCGTTACCTACATATCGTTACCATGGCTGCCGATACAGGGCAGAACGAAAGCCCTTCAACGAGATGGACCAATTTCAATCCCACTTTCCTGGCTGTAATGATCGTTTGCGGAGTATTGTGCGTTACACAACCCTTCCCCTTGGCAGAAAACTATCCGCTAAAGTCGTGACAGAGCCTTCTTCTTCCTCAACTACTTCAACAGATTGTTCGCCTCCGTGATTTCGTACCTGATCCGTCTCTACACATGGCACAAGCATAAAATATGGATAGACATACAAGCATTGCAGGTGTCCCTGCTTGCTGGCCGTGTCTTCTTCACTGGCTTTCGCTACCACGGAAATAACGAAACGATTCTAATTCAGAATGGCTACATCACATGGTCCTATTGGTTGTGGAGAGTCAAGGATGTTGATCTTGCCCTGCCCAAAGAGCATGAAAAATCCAAAGAGGGAGATGCCGAAAACCCAGCCGACAAAAAGGACAAGTCCAAGAGGTTGCCATGTCGCATCAACATCGCCGTCTCGGGCCTGGAGTGGTTTATCTACAATCGAAGTCCTGTATATGAATCAATCCTCGTCGGCATGACAGACCCCGTGGATCTGGACGAGAACACTGCACACGATCCAGAAAAGGGGCCTGATCACCCACGCCAAAGACTCCAAAGAGCATCGCAAAAGGTCGAGGAACAATTGAATAAATTGGATTCTAGAAGGTCGGACAAGAAAGACTCGGAGACGTCCAATGAAGAGAGGTACAGCCCCAATGGGCATCGGCTCAAGGCATCACGCTCGACATCTCTTACGAACCAGGATGATGATGATTCTGACGGCGCTGGCGAGATGCCCCTCATGCTTCAACTCCTACCCATTCATTTTGAATGTGACAGGGGCGCTGTAGTTATGGGCAATGAGAACACCAAGGGTGTCCTTATCGTCAAGACGCAATCCTTGTCTGGAGAAATCAATGCCATAGGATGCGAAACGCCCGATCCTTACAGACAAATCTTCAAGATCCAGTTTGAGCATCCTATCATTGAAATGAAGGACAACGAGAGATATCAAGAAGACCAACTGACAAGAGCTGTAAGAGATAAGCAAGCCGCCCTCGATACCGGAGCACCCCCGTATCGTTCGTTCTTCAGAAGACACCGTCGCAGAGTTTTGGGTAAATTACGAGACATGGTTCCGTACTGGAGAAGATCCGTCGAATCCTTTTCGGTGCAGTCTAGAAAGGCAACTACAGCTGCAGACAATCATTTACCCGGCTCACATCATTGGCAGGGACTCACCAGATACTTGAATGAGGATGGTGAAGGCGACAAGCTACGCTGGTCATCAGTAGAATATGCCGCTGTAAACACCATCCTTGACAGCCCCGAAGCTACCCTCACTATCTTTTGGGACGTTCCCGGAAAAGTGACCAGGGCGGATGACCCGGGGGGTTCCGCAAGAAATGATAACATCAACGGGGCAGCACCGCCTGCTTGGGCCATAAATCTAGCTGTCAGCGGTGGCATGGTCAATTATGGTCCATGGGCAGATCGGCACCGAGCTGAACTGCAGAGAGTGTTCAATCCCACTCTGAATAAGGACGCAGTTGCGGCAAAGAAGCTCCAAATTGGCGCGGACCGAGTTCCGACTCAATTCAAGCTCTACTTGGAGATCGACAAGGAAGTCACATTGAGAATACCTACCAGGGAGGACTCGAAGAATTGGAGGTGGAAAAAGGAAGCTGCAGAGCTACGCCAATACCAGAAACAGGAGCGGCGACGGGGCAAGAAAGAAAACAAGGACAAGCCCGCCAGTGCCGCTGCTCAACAGCGGCCTCATGGGTGGCTCGATATCAAGATTGGGGCCAACGCAACAGTATCCTACTCAATGGACATGTTGGCGAGCCCCTCTGGTTACCACAATACTCTGGAGGTCGAACTCCCATCAACCGAGATATCTACCAGTGTCAACCACGGAACCTTGTGGAAGTCGGGAACACAGCGCATCACATGTGACATGTCTGCTCCCCTCAAGTGGAACAGTCTCCGCAATTGGAAATTCGATATTGAGGGAGACGAACTGGAACTATTCATCTTGAGAGACCACATCTTCCTGCTGACCGATCTCATAGATGACTGGGGAAGCGGTCCTCCACAGGATTACCTGCTTTTCGTACCTTTCAAGTACTTCCTGAACTTTCAATTCCGCAACCTGAAGTTGTTTCTGAATGTCAACGATGTGAACATCGTGAACAACCCGACAGATATGGAAGAGAATACCTTTTTGATCCTCTCAACGCCTTTGCTGAAGGCTGATACGTGTATTTGTCTGGATGCCTTTCGCCCAAGCAGGAATGCTGTGCCCTTCAATGTGCAAGCGGACGCACTGGATATTGCACTCCACCTGCCGGCCTGGAATACCCAAGCGACATTTTTGACTTCAAAAGACTTTGGTCGGCTAGAGAGCCTGGCACTGGACGGCAAATATCATTACAATGCATCAACATCGCCCACGAATACCGATACTCTGGTCCTGAATGTCAATGGACAGTCACCTGTCGTTGTACTCTACGGCTTTCTTATCCGATACTTTTTGCAACTCAAGGACAATTATTTCGGTGATCATGTACACTTCAAAACTCTCGATGAGTATCAGGAAATGCTCCGTCTGAAAGCTACCAACCCAGATCTCGAGGCTGCCACACATCCGCCACACAAGAAGTCGAACGATATGGATGTGGTTCTGAGCGTCAAGACCGACGATCCAAAGATCCTATTGCCTGCGAATCTGTATTCGGCGAAAAGGCATATTGCCATCGAGGGAGCAGGCCTGGCCGTCGATCTTCGATTCACAAACTACTACATGGATCTCGATCTGAACATAAGCCCATTGGGTTTATCATTGGGCAGTGACGAAGATGGCGCAATCAGTCCAATAAGCTCAACATCTAGCACGCAAATGTATATAGATGGCCTCGGGATATACGGTCATCGACTGTTCGGATTGCCCCCAACTGAGCCAACTTATCTATGCAACTGGGATTTGTCTGTGGGTGCAATCACGGGAGAATGCACCACAGAATTCTTGATGACACTTGTTGGCGGAGCCAAAGCCTTTGGGTTCTCTCTGGACGATGACGAGAATGCGCTCATACCCTATTCGTCCGTGGTCATGTACGATGTGACATTTCTGAGGGTCATCGTCCATTCCATAGAACTATGGTTGCACGTCGATGAAGCTGCTTTTCTGTTTTCTACCAAACAGATTGATGTCAACTTCAATGATTGGGCAAGGACACACTATTCAAAGCGCGCCAACATCAAGGTACCCGATCTTCAGATTGCCTGCGTCAATTCAGAGTCCGCTGCGAGACACAAGTCTAGACTGCGTAGTCGAGTAGAGACCGATGCAATGCTAAAGACAAGCATCCACTTTGCCATTATCGGGAGGAAGCCTGATTTTGCAGAGGCAAGAAGGATACAACAAGAACTAGTGCGTCGCGAAGATCAAAGGACGCACCGTACAGAGTTCCTTTTACAGCACGGGATCCTTGGTCCTTATATCCCAGACGCTGTCGATGAACCTGCCCAGAGTGTGCCCATGGTGCCACAAGCTGTGTTCCTTGATCCTGACAATAATGACAAGAGGACTCTGTCTTCACAAGGGTCTGCTCGTCAGCCGAGCCGCTCTCTTGGTCATAAGAGCTCATTTCTCTCATTCTCGACCGAGAGCAACGACAGCAAGAAGCGTTCCCGCTCAATGAGGTCATCTTGGCGGATGCCAAGTACCAGAGAGCAAGCGTCAATGTCCGAGCAGAAGTCATCCGAAATCCGGCCTAGGATGGATAGGAAGCACTCAACTTCAACAGGCCGCCATTCCGCATTGTTTTCTACCTCCGCACCTCAACACGAGAAGCGAGATATGACTCATAATACCGTGGCATTCTCAAGTCAATTCTTTGCACCATACTTTCCACTGGAAAATGTCCGCCCGGAGACCAACGAGCCTGCCATGCAAAGCTTTGCAGACTATGACGACGATGATGCATTTCACACAGCCCAATTTGGACTCGATGACATTGATCCTGAACAGCTCAGCCAGGGTTCAGCATATTCCAGCTTTCTCATCGAGATGCCCTCGGGAGTGACTGCTTTCTTGAATGCAGCTTCGCTGAAGTCCATTGCTAGCTTGATAGGTGCCCTGCAAGCCACCCAACCGGAAGATATCCTTGATAATGCACAAATCAGTGCCATGTCTGATATTTTTGATGCGCAGAAACAACAGAAGACGAATGGAAGCATCACAGATGTCGTCGTGCGACTTCCGCAAGCGAATCTGCGGTTCTTGAACTGCTCCAATCTTGACTCGCCAGACCCATCCCTGGAAGCGCAGGACCAGTATGATTTTTCGATTACGAAGCTTGCTCTAGCTGCACGAACAGAGAAAAGCTTGGCAGAGCATGAATCTTTCAAGGGAACCAAGACGTCATTCCATCTCCGCGTCGCCTCTATTGGAGCCTCGGCAGCAGAACGCCTGGCTAATCTTGACGCAGCCCAAGCCGCAGTCGCAGCTAGTCTCGAGCATGTATTGATATCCATGGGGTCAAAGGATGTCACGTATATAGACGGGGACGTTGGCTCGCTTCGTGCAAGTTCCTCCTCGGACAGCATCGAATATCTGGCCGCGTTGATTCACAGAACCAACATACTTGCTGCCGAGAACGGAACCCTATTCTCAAAGGTATTAGGCCGAGGAGAGCAGCGTCTCAAGTATCTCACCCACCGCCTCATGGCCGATAGCCAATCAATCGGAGATCCATCCTTTATTGTCCGGCCTTCGGCAATCTTGAGAGCAGCCTCGGAGCATTTGAGAACGTATGATTCCTGGAAGCTTATCTCGAGGCTTCGCCAGGTCTGGTCTAGCACGAACAGGAAAACACAGGATGGCCTACACATGGACTGTCAAAACTCCGACTTGGCTCTACCTGATGATGCACGACAGAAAGTGGTCATGTCCTTCCAAAAATGGAGAAATTGGGACTTGGACAACATTGATGGCTCGGAATTGATGAAAAACATATTTGGCACTGCTAGTATAGGTGCCGCACTGTCGTCCCAGGCAATGCCACTCATGGCCGTTTTTCGTCTACAAGAAGCTGCCTTTGTGCTAGACCCTGGTCCGAAACAGAATCAGATCTACGTGGTGGACATCACCACGAGGCTCCACACCAAAGAAACACAGCTGGAAGAGATGCGCGAGGCTACAGGAACTGTACTGGGCCCATTGACTGTTGTCAACGCATGTTGTTCCCAAGCAGGTATCAATCTTAATTGGGAGCTCCTTGAATTGGCCGAAAACATCCTCAAACTCTACGGCAAATCTGGGGGCCAGGATGAACAGGAAAACACAGAACACGAGGAAAAGAACAAAGTGGCGACGACCAAATCGCCGGCTCCGAGCTCGATCCATGTTGCGTTCAGCCTCAGACAAGGAGCCATCTCTCTTGAGACTGTCAATCTCAGATCTGACCTTCAGAGTGACAATCTAAACGTGTCGGTCTTGATGGCTAAGCGGGGTGACATGACAGACAGCAACGCTATATTGGCGTGTAGCTCGGTTACAACGAGGCTCCGAAGTCACCAGCAGCAATTAACGACACTTCGACTCAAAGGACCGAGCGTCTTCCTGTCTCACGAGCTGCAATTAGCGAACTTCACTTCAGTCCATACAGTGAAGGCAACAGCAAGTAGTGACGACCTGAAATTGATTATCAAGCAGGATCCAATCATGCTGTCCGAGGTCCTCGATACTGTTGTGAGAGACGAAGTCTCGCAGCTGTACCAGCTCAAGGATCATTTGCCACCATCGGCTGAACCTGCACCATCAAAACCCAAGATTACTACACGTCTCTCATCATTTCGTGTCAACTTGGCCATGTTCCTCAATTCTTACACCATTACGGTACCACTCTTTCGATCTCTGACTTACACGATCAAGGGTGTAGTAGCCAGAGCTGCAATGGCGGCTAATTTCGGCAAGGAAATCATATTTGACTTCGACATCAAGGAGAATTCCCACAACATGCAGATTCTGGTCAATAATGAGCTGCGCAGCATATCAGTCCTGCAACTCCCACCAACAAATGGGCGCATTACAAGTCAAATGCAGCAAGAGGAACATACCGTCACAGTCTTTGCGTCCGTGGAACTTATACAGCTCGATGCTTCTGCTGTCTACAGTTTGCTTGCCGCGCTAAACAGACCAGAGATGTCAAATGCTATCGACGAATTGCAACACCAAGGCAAACTGCTACAAGAACATGTCGAGGAAATCTTTGGGCCCACCGATCAGTTGCAAGACACGCCAAAAGAGGCGGCCGAAAATGAAAAGAAACTGGTGTATGTTGTCCACACTACACTAGCTGGTATAGAGATTTTCGGTCAATCTCCCCTCAAATCCGATGCAGAATCTCGAGCCCATCTGTCTTTCTGTATTTCCAGTATACATGTCGAGGTAGCCAACCGACTTGAGGCTCGAGGTCCGATCCTGGAGAATCCCGAAGTCCATGCCAATCTTCGGCAAATTATGTTTGATATTGCAAAGGGTACTAGTGAGGAGTCAATGAGGACCTGTGGAAATCTGTCCTTTGGGGCTCTGATCACCGCAACGACCAAAGAATTGGAAGATGGGACAGATCGGAGATCATTCGATTTCCTCAGCAACGGATTGCAAATCAATTTGTCTGCAGACACGATAGCTACCGTTGTGGACGTCCTTGGTTATATGGGTGACAAGATCAAGGATCTTGACACCATGAAAGAAATCGAATACTTGCAAAAACGCCTGCGGCAATCTCGCCCTCGGATCACAATTAATGATCAAGAAGAGGAAGAAGAGGCCAAGAGCGACATATTTGATTCTTTCTTGGCGTCTATCTTCTATTCCTTTGAAATAACCAATATTCAGTGCTGCTGGATAGTCGCACCAAGCTATGAGCATATTGCTGACCAGGAAGATCTCGTGTTCTCCCTGCAGAGGGTTGAATTTGCCACTCGCAAGAAGAACACGGCCAAGCTCACAATTGAGAATCTTCAAGTGCAAATGGTACCTCCGGGCCAAGACAAACTGCAGCGGTCCCACAACTCGGCGCTTCTACCTGAGGTCATCTTCAATGTGGCTTTCGTATCAACGCTCGATACTCGTCGCCTGGCTTTCCAAGCTGTTGGAAAATCACTGGACCTCCGTGTCACATCCGGTTTCATCGTACCGGCTGCGAAGCTTGCCGACTCCATTGGCTTGTCAATGAAGAATGCAAGGAAATCCTCAGCGAATTGGACGACAATAGTTGCTACGGATAAACCCGCCCCGACGCCTGTGAAGAAGCCACAACGCTCGCTTTTTGGCAACAAAAGACTAGAGTCTTGTCTTGTTGACCTTGAGTTTGCCGGTGCAACGGTTACCTTGACGGGCAAGAAGCAAGCTGAAGGAGCCGAAGGCCATGCCTTTGCACGATTTCACCGCCCTACTCTGTCTGGGAAATATGGCCAGTTCACCAGTGACGATGCCAATAGTAGCACGACTCTCAAGTCTCCAGGCCTAGCCTGGAAGACGGAATACAGAGATGATGGCAATGAGGATCCTGCAGTATACGGAGAGATCAAAGTTGACGCATCCAAAAACACCCTGTACCCATCGGTCGTGCCATTGATCATGGACATCACATCCAGCATCAAAGAAGTTGTCAGCAGTTCTGAAGCAGAATCTGTTTCACCGGACTCACTGCGCAGCAAAAACAGCCAAGCCCCCAAGCCCAAAACACCGGAAGAGGATAATATACTGACGGCTGATCCCAGCGCAGTTCTTGGGCGTACAAAGCTCAATATTGGATTGCGCATCTGCAAGCAAGAGTTTACATTGAGCTGTCAACCTATCGCGAGAGTTGCAGCCACTTCTTGCTTTGATGACATTTACCTCACCGTCAACACTGTGCAATCGGCTGATTACGGCAATTTCTTCGCCATCTCTGGAACGTTCAGCAAGCTCCAGACTTCTGTACAGCATGTTTACTCGAGAGAACATACTGGCCGGTTCGAGGTCGATTCTATTGTTCTATCGCTGATGAACAGCAAACACGTTAGTGGCACCAGTGGTGTTTCTGCCATTCTCAAGGTCAGTCCCACAAAGGTCGACATCAACGCCAAGCAGCTTCAGGACTTTCTACTGTTCCGCGAGATTTGGGTACCTCGTGGGCTTCAAGAGGCAGCCACGTCTGCGCCTGTCAGTATACCTTCGGCCGAGGCCCCGCAAAGTCACCTTGTGCAACGATACCAGCAGGTCGCAGCCACCGCTGCGTTTCCATGGACTGCGACGATATCCATCGCTGCTCTCGATGTCAATGTAGACCTTGGGCAGTCTCTCGGCAAGTCAGTGTTTGCGATTTCCGACTTCTGGATATCTTCTAAGAAGACATCGGATTGGCAACAAAACCTATGCCTTGGCTTCCAGAGGATTGGTATCGATTGTGTCGGACGCCTAAGTGGCTTTGTTGCATTACAAAACTTCAAACTCCGCACATCCATAGAATGGCCAAATCGTGAAGCCGCCTTGAATGAAACACCACGGATTCAGGCCTCTATTGGATTCAGTCAGTTCCGGCTCAAGGCTGCATTTGATTATCAAGCGTTTCTGTTTGCAGACATCACCTCGATGGCGTTTATGATGTACAACGTTCGGCGGCGGGGAGAGGGGAGCGGCGATAGACTCGTCGCCGTTTTTGACGGTGAAGCCGTGCAGATCTTCGGCATGACGACCTCGGCAGCATCAGGAGTTGCACTCTGGCAGGCGATTCAAAAACTCATACAGGAGCGGAAAGCCCAGTATGAAACCTCGCTGCGAGACATTGAGAAGTTCATGAAGCGAAAGTCGCTTGCAGCAACGGGGGCATTGACACATTCTACTGCAACCTTAAAGCCAACAGTCAGCGATGTCATGTCGAAATCCCCCATTTCCCTAGATACGGATGTTGTCGTGACCCTGAAGGCCTTGAACCTCGGTGTGTTCTCGGGCACCTTCTCAGATGATCGCATCTTCAAGCTTGAAGCACTCAATGCGCAGGCTCGTTTCGCAGCTTCTCTTCAACATCGTCGTATCCATAGCGTCCTGGGACTGACGCTCGGCCAGCTACGGATAGGTCTGGCTAATGTCCGACGCGTTTCAGCACCCAAAACCGTCTCCGAGCTATCAGTGGAAGATGTTGTGGCTTCCGCTACCGGGTCTCGCGGAGGCACAATCCTCAAGGTTCCCAAGGTTGAAGCCGTTATGCAAACGTGGCAGACGCCAGATTCTCGAGTGATTGATTACATATTCAAGTCTGCATTTGAAGGAAAAGTCGAGGTCGGGTGGAATTACGCAAGAATCAGTTTCATTCGTGGCATGTGGGCCGCTCATTCCAAAGCCTTGGCCCGGACTTGGGGCCGAGAACTGCCGGAAGTGAGCGCAATCAAGGTCACTGGTGTTCCGGAGCCATCAGTTCCGGGAGAGGGCAAGGAAGAACACGGCATGGAGCAACAGACCAAGATTACCGCCGAAGTCAATGTGCCGCAATCCAAGTATGAGTATATTGCTCTCGAGCCACCCATCATCGAGACTCCGCAGCTCAGAGATATGGGTGAGGCAACGCCACCGCTTGAATGGATCGGTCTCCACCGAGAAAGGCTGCCAAATTTGACACACCAGATCGTTATTGTCAGCTTGTTGGAGCTGGCTGGTGAGGTGGAAGATGCGTACGAAAGGATCATGGGCTCCTCGTGAGTCTAGTGTGACCATGATGGCGAAGCCAGAAAGAGCATTTTAGGTGTTGGAGGTGGAGGTAGTAAAAAAAATTAGTCATTCGGCATAACCATAGCGCGGGCGTTCAATGATTAGGGAACTCAAGGCTGCATGCAACTCAAAGCCAACCATGTACATATTTACCCAGGGAATAGTGTTACACAGACACACACTACTAATAGGAAGCACTATATTGCAAACCAGTACTGGTATAAATGATTGCTTATGAAACTGCCAGGAACCACGTAATTTTCAGCTAGAGTTCGCACATGATTGCCGTACCGCTTGCATGCAACTCAGGGCCATTCTTCTTTAAGAGGAATTGCATCTCCGCGGATGGCTAGGTCATATGACCTGGCGTTTCTCTGGCGTCGGAACTCGGAATACTGATGCATGTAAACCGCGTCTGCCTAATGAAATCATCTCTTGCGTGATTCCATGCATGGGGTTTTCTGCGGGGTATCTTTATGCTCCAATCTATAGATGAGTATTGAGAACATATTTTCTTGTTCAACGAGCGAGTCTCGCCAGTGACATGCAGCATTTAAAGAATTTCCTTTAGCTTCTTTCTTTTCTTCTCCCTCTCTTCTCGGCTCATTTCATTCCTCATTAGAAAAGCCACCATGGCCGAAAGTAAAGTCCCAGCGGATTATATCCTAGTCGAGGGCTACCCCTCGGTTGGGGATTACGTCCATCTGCGCACAGCATCGGGGCTGACGCCCAAGAATGCAGAGCAGGCGAGCGCCGCCATCCAGGGCAGCTGGTACGGCGTGTGGGCGGCCGAGGCGTCGTCTCCGGATAGGGCCGTGGCCATGGGTCGCATCATTGGTGACGGCGGATGGTACTTTTTGGTGGCCGACATGGCGACGCTGCCAGAGCATCAGCGCAAGGGGCTGGCTGATGTTATCCTCAAGAAGCTCTTGGCGCGGATTCAAAGCCATGCGGCTAAAGGAAGTAAGTGTTCCATGATCGGTACCCATCTTTGCATGTTTATATGGTGGTCCGCAATAAACGGTATATGAGTTCAAATACTACACATCAGCTTGCATCATGTTCAATTCTAAATCTTGATGTTACAGACGCGTACGTCACGCTTGGTGCAGACGTCCCAGGCCGTAGGTTGTATGAGAAGAACGGGCTCAAAGACACAATGCCAGAGGTGATGGGCAGTAAGTAAAGCCAAATACCTGCTTTCCCCACTCATCATTTTATCGATCGTATCTCAGTAACTCAAGACGATGCCAGTATGTGAGAAGCTAACATGAACATTGCAGTGAGCATGATTATCGAGGCATCGGGGCAGTAGATTCTACGAAAACCGCATTCAGAAAGGAGTTGTTGGAACTGGGAGTGGGCGGTGAAGCCTCGTCACAATGTCCAAGTAATCCGGCTCATTATCGTCGGTAATGACACCATGACGAATGAAGAAATCAATCATGACAGAGGCACAGTTGGTCTTGAACTCCTCGCGTAGTAGACTCTCCTTGACTTGATCCACGCTCATGAGATAGAAGCCCTCGACCTCATTATCCTGAGGTTTCGGTATGACGTCTTGACCCACCTCGAGATCGTAGCAGTATAGCACATCAGGCACGCAAAGACCGAGCTCGCCACCTGACCCTGCCGCGCTCTCTGCGACATAGGTGATGACGCCGACGGGTTTAGTATGTTTTCGTACGAGAGCTCCAGGTAACGATGCCTCCTCGTCGGCCTCGTGCACTATGCACTCAAACGGCGACTCCTCGGCCCTGACGCCGCCGGCCACGGTCGTGTCCAGCTTCCCCGGCCAGGTCATCATTTCTCTGCTCCGCCGGGGCACCCATATCTTGAGCTCGCCGGCGGCCGTGTAAGTGTATACAGTCATGTGGGCTCCGCGGCACGAGATGCCAAAGAGCCCAGCCGCGGCCCGGAGCAACTGCACTCTGCTGCCCCCACTGCACCGGGCGCCCAAGACCTTGTAATCTTCGGGCCAGACCCTCTGGAGGTTCGCAAACACCTGAGCCTCCCCCGCGGCGTCAATCACCTTTTTGAACGCGGCGTTGCAGGCCGCGGCGGTATCGGCACCGTCCGAGGCATCGCGGAGCTGCACGGTACGCGGGATAGAATGCGAAATACTAAAGTCCGAGGTCCAGGGCATGCGGTCCACGACCGAGGGCAGGATGAAGCCGTGCGGACGAGGATCGTTGGGCAGGAAGAGCTGGTATAGGCTGGCAGAGCGGTCTGGTGCGTAGGGCAATCGAGGGATGTCGACGAGGGGATAGTTGTCCGTGGCCTTGACGAGGTCGAGAAAGGTCTTTAAGGGGGACATTGCAAAGTAGAGGACAATTTCCTAGTATATGATGACAGCGTAAAATGATGACTTTTTGTAAAGTAAAAAGTTATTTGAATTATAGCTATTCCCAATTAACTAAACAGATGCAAGTACATACGAATACATCTAGGACGTACATCTTGTAGCATGGTCAACCTCAACTTACCTAACCAGTTAAACCCACTTTTGCAATACACCCCCTTTTGCAACGTGTTATTTCCACTCTACAATATAACCCAACTACAACACTTTTATAATATCTTAACAGCCATTTATTTAATTAATTCCATTTTTTTAAAATAACTAAATTAAACGAACGCGATATAAAAGAAGCAATTAAAAAGGTCGAAAACGGTGAAAAATTAACTAAAATTGCACGCGACTTAGGTATTTATGCATCCACTTTATCGCGTAAGCTATAAGGTGCGCGGCTTTATCGCAATACCTACGAATTAACGCAAACTCTTTTAAAACTATAAAAATAGGAGCTTAAAAACTGGATTTTATACGAAAAACGATGCGGACAAGCTCTTTTGAAACGAATCGTACGAAACGTAGCTTCGCAAATCGCTATTAGCATCGAATTTAATAATTAAGCTATTTATATTAGGAAAAATTAGGTAAATAAATTCGTATAACGCTATCCATACTTGGCTATAAAGCTAGGACGGGTTATTAATACCGATCGGATTAATAAGATTAATTCCGGGGCCATCTAAAAGTTTTATATATTTATAAATAAGGTCTTAAAATTATATTTAATTAAACCTAAAAATATATATAATATAAATAAAATTAAGGTTTAAAAAAATAAAGCTAAAAAAAGGATTATTATAAGCATATCGAAATTACGTCGCTCTCGCATTTAAAAATCGGAAGCGACTAAATAAATAACTACGATCTATAATATTAACGCTCTCGGCTTAATAATTATAATAATTTATATCTTAAAAAAAATAACGCTATAAGCGTAGTAATTTCCTAAAAATCTAAAAAAAGCTAAATTTACTATTATATATAAAGGATAATTTAATTTTATTATAGCCCTCTCGTAGCTTAAATAAATATTCGGCCTAAAAACGAGGCTTTATAAAAATGCGTAGCGGCTACGCCTTTAAAGGATATTAATACTAAATAGCTATAATACCTATTTACTACTAAAATTTATGCTTATAGCTTATCGCATAAAGATCGCGTTAATATATTTACCTGCATATATTAGCGAAGCCTTTTAGCTATTTAATAAAAATATATTTTCCTCCCTTAAATATTATTATTATTAATAGCTTAGCAAATAACGTAAAATAATAGTAATTAAACTTATTTAAAAGCAAAAAATGCTTATAGCTTACGCTGCGGCTTATTAATTAGCTTTTATATAAAAGATTATATAAAATAGCTGGCGCAAAACGGGCATATAGCCCCTAAATCCTAGTTAAATATTAAATAACCCTAAATTTTTTCCTTTAATCCCGACCCCCCCTTTATATATACTACTAAAACCCTTAGATATAGCTAAAATTGCTATTATAACTTTTTATAATAGCAAAAATCTTCGGGATGCTTTTTTTTCCATTTAAAAGAAATATTTAGCGTTAAGGCGGGAAGTAAGGCAATTAGTAACGAAAACGGCAAAAACACTAGATTTAATAGCAGCAAAACTAGCTATAACGCGCTAAAATAATGTTGCACGGATGTTAATATAGCATCGTATAGTGTATAAAATTAGCTTTATAACGCATATTATATCGTTATAATAGCTATAAAACCCATTAAAATATCGTTAAATAACGATATATAGGAAATCAGTAGAATTTACCCTGTACTGACCTATAGTTAGTATAGCATTATTTATAGCCACTATTTATAATGCTGTATAATTAACAAATTATTATAATTAACTATTATGGCTATTATAGCCACTAGAACCCACTAGAATCCAATAAAACGTTCCACTGGATCCAGCCCCACTAAGTGTGGCCAGTGCACCTGGCCACAATAATCCTAGGTTACAGGGTAACCCACACCATAGAAATCCATAAATTTCGATAGTTTCTTCGATTATAAATCAACTTTATTACTAATTAACTTGATTTATAATCTAGTTATTAATAATATATTCTAAAATATTCTTTTATAGTTAATTTTATAGGTATAAAAGGTAGTTATTCCTCCGTAATTAGTTATTCTTTCTTTAAGCTTTAATAAATTAGTTATACAGCCTTATAACTACCCTCCACGGCCTGATTCTACGAATCATATAAACGCTTCCCTGTGCCTAAGTTTATAATCCACCAATCATACCTTAGAATAAATAATTTATTTTTAAATACAAAACTAGGTAAATATAAGCCCGATAAACGTTAAACAGTTACTTTTAATCCGAACCAGGCATTTGCCAGTCTTCCACATATTAAATCTGCTTAAAATAAGCTAAATAAGCGGCTGCGAAAAATACCACAAAAGGAACAAGTTCCTATTAATAATTTCCTTAAAATGCAGCCTTTTATAATTAAAAAACGACGTAAAAACTAGATCCATAATTGAAAAAATCAATTTGAGTGTGTTATAGTGGGAAAATATTTAATTATATTATGTGTTCTGTATCGGACTTTGTCAAAAATCCGTTGCAAAAGGGGGTGCATTGCATAAGTGGGTGCAACTGGTTAGGTACGCAAGTACATGACACGGACCCCCACCTTGATAGAACTCAGCTACCGTTGACATGCAACTGCTCCCCGCTGTGATTGATCTGATCAACTTGGTGTGCATTGTCATCACCTGTCGTTCTTATTCCGTGTATGAACTGGCTAATTGAATAACAAATCTCACAAACAATCAACATTTAGGTTCCTTCAAGGTCGGCCTGATCCCCAAAGTTGTCGAAGAATTCCCGAGTAGATCTCAGTGCCCAAAACTGCCAATTGACCAGAGCTTATCTGAAAACCTATAGCGGGGTGCAAAGGCTATCTGACTTCCAATGGTCTAAAGCCCGCTTCTTAAATCCGGCAAGCAGCATCACTGGGTGCTAGAGTAGGTACAGTGAGATGCATCAAGCTACAGGTATGATGCAACAAATGGCCTTGACCAATGTAACAACCAGTCACACCGAGCTTCCCATCAGTGGCGCAGGTATTTGTAGCTACAGGTTATTGCCGCTGGCTGATGCAAGATCAGTCGACTTCCTTGAAGGGGTTATATTTCTTTGCCTCTTGGAGCCTAAGACGACGGTTAATGCGGGGCAAGCTTTTCACAGCTTTGGGCGAAAACAGTCATCCGGCAAGGGATTTTGGAATAAAAACTCAAAAGAAACCTGGAAATTTGTGAAGCTTTGACCTTTGTGACCACTGCCCGAAGGTATGATTTTTTTTCTTTAGTAGGAAGAGCTTGGGTAGCTGACAGCAAATTTAGAGCTATGGGAGCTTTGCAAGCATAGGTATATATATAAGAGGTCGTCGTCATTATTTTTTACTTGTGGCCCAAAGATAGAAACCAGAATTGCTTCACCAGAAGTTGTTGCAGACTTATCACGCACGCATCACAATTGAAAGAGTTTCGCCTTCCGGCAAATCCCATCTAGAAATCCACAGGGTGCAAGGTAAGTCTCAGGTTCCCATAGCAGCAGAGCCGAATAAATTTTTTTCTTCTTCGTCGCTCCCCTCCGCCATCTCTCTTTAAGTAGGTCTGGAAGCCCTGGCCAGCTGTACAGCCAATCAGCGCCCCGACTTTGGATGAGGGGTTATTCAATTCGGGCTGTTTTGCCCCACCAAGCCGCCATTTCCAATCTTGTTGCTTTGCTGCGCAGTGGATCAAGGCGAAGTTTTTGAGTGGGCAAAGCCAGAGTGGGCAGAGGTTTGCCATTGCCCCGCACCTCTCGACTGGGACTTGTTCGAAGATTTCTCTGCTCACCCGATCCGAAACTTCCTCCTCCCTCCCCCCCAACCTCACCAAGTCAAAAGGCTGGCCCGGTGTGAATAGTTGCTTGCGACTGTTGTCACCTTTCTCAAGCTCCTTTTGTCTTCTCGTTTACTGATCCTTTCTTCCTCTGTTTACAGAGGTTTGTGATCAGCGAACCCCGCACTCGCCGGGTTTTTTTTTCCCGTTTCGAAGTAAAAAAGAACACATAGGCAGGTTATTATAACAATACCGCCAAAATGGTCAAGTAAGTCGTCACTATCATCGCCGCGCCCATCTTTCCATCACAGCAGAGTCCAAGAGACATTGGGTCTCGAGTTTGCGCGAGAGATGGGCTCGAAATCCTGGTTCAGCGAGATGGATTTGTGCTTACAAACGAAAATAGCTTCACCATCGACGAGATCCGTGGGCTCATGGACAAGCCTTCCAATGGTAAGTTGCACACGGAAAGCCATCGAGTCTATCGCTTCCCACAATCTCTTGCTGACATGCCGCCCTTTCAGTCCGTAACATGTCCGTCATTGCCCACGTCGATCACGGCAAGTCCACCCTGACCGACTCCCTGCTGGCCAAGGCTGGTATCATCTCGACCGCAAAGGCCGGTGATGCTCGTTCCATGGATACCCGTGCCGACGAGCAGGAGCGTGGTATTACCATCAAGTCCACTGCCATCTCCCTGTTCGGTGAGCTCCCCTCCGAGGAGGATCTCAAGGACATTGTTGGCCAGAAGACCGACGGTAACGGTTTCCTGATCAACCTGATTGACTCGCCCGGTCACGTTGATTTCTCTTCCGAGGTTACTGCTGCTCTCCGTGTCACCGATGGTGCTCTGGTCGTCGTCGACACCGTTGAGGGTGTCTGTGTCCAGACCGAGACTGTCCTGCGTCAGGCTCTTGGTGAGCGCATCAAGCCCGTTGTTGTCATCAACAAGGTCGACCGTGCTCTTCTCGAGCTCCAGGTCTCCAAGGAGGATCTGTACCAGTCCTTCTCGAGAACCATCGAGTCCGTCAACGTCATCATCTCCACCTACCTCGACAAGGCCATGGGTGACCTCCAGGTCTACCCCGAGAAGGGTACCATTGCTTTCGGTTCCGGTCTGCACGGTTGGGCTTTCACCATCCGCCAGTTCGCTACCCGTTACGCCAAGAAGTTCGGTGTCGACCGCAACAAGATGATGGAGCGTCTCTGGGGTGACAGCTACTTCAACCCTCACACCAAGAAGTGGACCTCCAAGGGTACCCACGAGGGTAAGCAGCTCGAGCGTGCCTTCAACCAGTTCATCTTGGACCCCATCTTCAAGATCTTCGCCTCCGTCATGAACTTCAAGAAGGAGGAGACCGCTACCCTGCTGTCCAAGCTCGACCTCAAGCTGGCCCCCGAGGACCGTGACAAGGAGGGCAAGCAGCTCCTCAAGGCCGTCATGCGCACTTTCCTGCCCGCTGCTGACTGTCTCCTGGAGATGATGATTCTCCACCTTCCTTCCCCCATCACCGCCCAGAAGTACCGTTCTGAGATGCTGTACGAGGGTCCCACCGATGATGAGGCCGCTATTGCCATCCGCGACTGTGACCCCAAGGGACCTCTCATGCTGTACGTCTCCAAGATGGTGCCCACTTCCGACAAGGGTCGTTTCTACGCTTTCGGTCGTGTCTTCGCCGGTACCGTCAAGTCTGGTATCAAGGTCCGTATCCAGGGTCCCAACTACACCCCTGGCAAGAAGGAGGATCTCTTCATCAAGGCTATCCAGCGTACCGTCCTGATGATGGGTGGCAAGGTCGAGCCCATTGATGACATGCCTGCCGGTAACATTGTCGGTCTCGTTGGTATTGACCAGTTCTTGCTCAAGTCTGGTACTCTTACCACCCTCGAGACTGCCCACAACCTGAAGGTCATGAAGTTCTCCGTCTCGCCCGTCGTCCAGCGTTCCGTCCAGGTCAAGAACGCCCAGGATCTGCCCAAGCTGGTCGAAGGTCTCAAGCGTCTCTCCAAGTCCGACCCTTGCGTCCTGACCATGTCCTCCCCCTCTGGTGAGCACATTGTCGCTGGTGCTGGTGAGCTCCACCTCGAGATTTGCTTGAGCGATCTCGAGAACGACCACGCTGGTGTTCCTCTGATCATCTCCGACCCTGTCGTCCAGTACCGTGAGACCGTCATGGGCAAGTCCAGCATCACTGCCCTGTCCAAGTCTCCCAACAAGCACAACCGTCTGTACATGGTTGCCGAGCCTATGGATGAGGAGCTCTCCAAGACCATTGAGGATGGCAAGATTGGACCCCGTGACGACTTCAAGTCCCGTGCCCGTGTCCTCGCTGACGACTTCGGCTGGGATGTCACCGATGCCCGCAAGATTTGGTGTTTCGGTCCCGACACCACTGGTGCCAACTTGCTCGTTGACCAGACCAAGGCCGTCCAGTACCTCAACGAAATCAAAGACTCCGTTGTCTCTGGTTTCCAGTGGGCCACCCGCGAGGGTCCCATTGCCGAGGAGCCCATGCGTTCCGTCCGCTGGAACATCATGGATGTTACCCTGCACGCCGATGCCATCCACCGTGGTGGTGGTCAGGTTATCCCCACTGCTCGCCGTGTCTTGTACGCTGCCTCTCTGCTCGCCGAGCCCGCCCTTATGGAGCCCGTCTTCTTGGTCGAGATCCAGGTTCCCGAGTCCGCCATGGGTGGTGTCTACGGTGTCCTTACCCGCAGAAGAGGTCACGTCTTCGCCGAGGAGCAGCGCCCTGGTACTCCTCTGTTCACCATCAAGGCTTACCTGCCCGTCATGGAGTCGTTCGGTTTCAACGCCGACCTGCGTGCCGGTACCTCTGGTCAGGCCTTCCCCCAGATGGTCTTCGACCACTGGCAGCACCTGCCCGGTGGTTCGCCTCTCGACTCCACCTCCAAGGTCGGACAGATCGTCTGCACCATGCGTAAGCGCAAGGGTCTCAAGGAAGAGGTGCCCGACGTCAGCAACGTAAGTCTACAATTTAGTCTCAAACCCCCTTGAACTACACTTTACTAACATATCGTTCCCTTAGTACTACGACAAGCTGTAAACGGCCCACTACTGTGCTGTTAGACTTTTTTCTCGTGGCGTACTTGATGCATGCCGCGAGACAATTCCTCGCATTAACAGGCCCAGGACTTCACACATAAATGCGAAGCCGAGGGTCACGAAGATATGATGCGGCCATGGATAAACAAAAGCTATAACGGTGGCAGAAAGCGTGGAACTGTTTAGTAGCTATCGTCCATTTGGTTTGCCTGTAGTCATGATGAATTTGATTCCCAGTTAGACAAGAACCATTGATCCCTTGATGAATGCTTGAAAGTGACTGTAAGGTGCCTGTAAAATAGCATAAGCTGGCAAATATGTTTTGACGTGTTGACCAGAAGTTCCGCTACGGTGACCTGCTTAAAATTTGCTATCTGGCAACTTGTGTTGCCCATACACAACATTCTTGGTTGATACAATGAGCCTGACTAGAACAAACTGTAGAACATACTGTTGGGAAACCTTGGAGCTATATATGATGGCGTTTACACGCGCAATACACAATAACTCTTACTCTGAGCAGTAGGTACCTATTATCCATGTATTTACAGGTAATAATAATAGTGGAGATGATGGGTGAAAAGGGTGTTTTCCTTGATGAGAATTTTCTTCTTGATTCTTTAATTATTCCTTTATTGACCAGACTAATATCTGCAATCATTCTTTGCCTTGCATGTCGCCATCTCACTGTCTTCATCTACTACTTCGTCACAACCCAGGTTGAGGATCATGGGTTTCTTTCGGTAAGTCAACACTTATTTGCCAAAAATTCGTGCAATTCGTTTTTCATCCTGCAATACCATGCCATGCCATGCCCTGAAGCGACAAGCCTGCAAATGCTTCTGAAATTCGTCTTCTCCTTCACCAACCCCTTTTTTGCAGAACGTCTGCCACCAAACATTACTTTTCTGCGGGCTGCTCCATCAACTCCACAATCTACTCTATACCATACTTTCCCCCAAGGCAGTCCTCCCATCAAGAGGAAATTTTATAGTCTCCACAATGTTTATCGGAAGCTATTTTACCTGTCTCGTAGCTACTAACCCGAGAATCGGAAGCGGGCTGTTTCTAGCTGACCCAGACCGTCACGGGGCGCGATATACCTCCGGCGGTAGGTATTCGTAAAGTCCTGGAGGATGGAGCGAATCTGTCTAACATCACCGCTGTCGTTTGATTGCAGCCTTTCCCTGATCTTAACCATGACGCGTTGGACATCAGCCGGCGTGACAGTTCCGGGAGGCAACAATTTCATGGTTTGCTCGACCCACACGGTTGCCTCGCCAGGCATAATCTCGAAAAGCGTGAGTAGTGCGCCACTACCATCGGCAAAGCAATCCCGAGGGAAGGTTATCATCATGCCGGCTAGGATGCGCTGCACCAAGACATCCCCCTTGGCGGTGAGCAGCTGCCGAACAATTTGTCGTAGCTGCTCTACCACCGAAGGGCCAAGATGTTCCGAGGACGATGGCGGGTTCTTGCTTCCCCATGAGAGTAAGTCTCTGATGTAGTGGAGTGTAGCGGTCAAGGGGTCACGCTGCTCCAGGCCAAGCACGGACAGGCCGGCCTCAAGTATGGGCGTGAAGAGATGCGAAGGAATGAGCTTCTGAGGGTAGTACAAAAGGGTATCAATGAGGAGACGGAAGAAATCTTCTACCACATCAGGCAGCTCCTGAGGAGTGAGTTCGCTAATGAAGCGCAGCATGTTTGTCGCTTGTGCTTCAAAGAAGACATAGATGGACTCGGTAATGCCCTGGTCAACATGCTCGCGATCGTCCGAAAATTCGCGAAGGATTGCGCCAGTGACCCAGAGGAAACAGCCTTGCCGGGACCTCTCGAAGCCAGCGGCAAGCTTGTTGGCCATGTCTGGCAGAATAGGGGTCATGGCACCTCTATGGCTAATGACCATGAATCGCCAGCAGCGGCAAACTCGCTCGCATATCGGTGCGAAATCGATGAACCCATCTAGAACTGTGGCGAGGATCGGGAATGCCTCCTTCCAGTACTTGACTGCAGGGTCTTCCTCCCCGGCATTGACAGGAGGGACGATGACAACTTGCTGGACAAATATCGAAATAAGTTGCAAGTGGTCTGCGACAGCAAGCTTGCCATCATCATCGGTTGCGTTGTTCGCCTTTGTCATCAGTCTTTGCATGAGAGGATCGCAATACAGCTTCAATAGTCTGTAAATATCATCCTTTGGCTGAACACTGACAACATTGGCAACACCCTCGGTGATCTCCTCTTGGCTCGTGTCGGGCAAGTTGTCGAGGATCTTGTCGTAGAACTGCTGCAGTTGTACAACCTGGGCACTGAGAAGATGCTTGCAGTCCGTGCAGAAGTACTTGATGGCCATTGCCGCGGCTCGAATGACCTCCTTGGAATCAGTCTGGAAGGAGGAGACAATGTAGTTGAACTGATCTTCCAAGAATTGAGGGTGAGCTGCAGTCCACTCGGTATATCTTCCTATGACCATGATCGTCGCGAATCGCAGCTTTTCGTGTGCTGGGATCTGCACAAGCAGAGGCATCAGTTGTGGTAGGACAATATTCTCGTCTTTGCCGACCATGCGGCCCATGGCTCTCATAGAAAACAACGGGGCCTCAAGCTCTTGCCAGTGCGGAACTGACGTGGCAGTCGCCTGACTAGCATATTTTTGTGTCCAGATCTTGATAGCATCGAGTACCTTGGTTAGACACTCGGTGACACCCATGACCTCGCAGGAGTCCTTGAGGGTATCGCCCATGGCGTGTCTGAACTCACGAAACTTTTCTTCGGCTACGAGATCACCGTCAAAGAGGTCTCGTGGGTGGAGATCACGCCCATCTTCCGACTGAGGGTATTGTAGATGCTTGAGTAAAATGTCCACCAGCTTGGAATAGACGTCGACAAGCTCCATTCTCGCTTCAATAAAACGTTCCAGCACGACCAACTGCTTCAGTTCGTACCAAAAATCAAAGGTGTATTCGATGACATCTCTGTCCTTGTCGCTGGCGGCACATTCGAGAATTGCATCCACCAAGGGGCGGAAGGCGGTGGTCTCTCGCGCGATGGCCACCACCCAGGCTGTACCAGCATCTGAAAGAACACGGGTCAAGGATTTGTATGCCTCGACATCCTCCTCCTCGACAACCTTTTGAATCTTGGGCCGCAAAGCCACAACCCGGGGCAGTAGTTTTTGAACGGTCTCGATGTTCTCGTCAACCTCGCGTGTCTCTCTTACCATTGTGGACAGACACTCTGCCGCTTCTTGGAAGGCTTCATCACCTTCGACGGCGTTGAAGACAATGTCCAGCAGAGGAGAGTTCACCACATCAGTGACTGGGACCTCTCGCAACCAAGATGTTATGCACTCCAATAATTGTGGGTTTTTTGCTGCAGAAGCTAGAATGTGTCAGCTCCAGCTCGATGGCAAGGGGGAAAAAAAAAATGCAGCTTACGTGACGAGTGCGCATAGTTGATCAGCAACTGTACGACCTGCGGCGCATTGTCCGAAAGTAGTTCGATAGTCCTCAGATTTAAATCTTCTTCCTGTCATAACCGATTAGACCCTGACCCAACGTTCGATATACCACCACGATTCGCCACCAGCGGTTAAACAAGCATGAGACGTGTTGGTGTTTCGCGATCCACGTACACTGAGGGTGATCTTGCGACCTTCGGTCACCTCTTCGGGAAGGATTCGGAGGAAATCCAGGATGGCGGCATGGCTCTCGGCTTGGTTACCCAGGGAAGACACAACCAATGGAAGTACGTCTTTCCACTCTTTCATCTGAATAGCCAGTATCGCAAGGCAGACGCAAAGTTGAACTCTGATGGGCTTGGGGCCAGGTGCGTACACCTTGAGGAGTTCCAATAGCTGGGTTCGAACTGCCACATGTTGTTCGGCGGGTATTTGCGTTGCTAGATCGTATGTTATCTGTCAATGAGTCAGATGCGACCGATTTGATGCGAATATGTAGAACCCCGGTCGTCCCTACCTTGCCCCTGAGCGTTGTCGCTGCAAACAGCTTGACATCGGCCTCAGCATCCGATTGCAGTATGGAAAATGTTGTGGTCCAAGCACTTGACTAGTTCGTGTCGCCAGGTCAGTGAAATGGTCAGAAGCCATCCAGGTGCGCACTCCCACAAACATACCGACTTCTGAAACTCCTCGAGGAACTTGTGCGCGCTCTTCTTCCGGTCTGCATCATTGCTGCGCATCGTCAACATGGCCTCGAGCACCTGCTCCGGCGGAAAAGTCGCCTGCGCGCCGTTGGAAGCCATGGTTTACGGCTTCGAAGATTCGTAGGTCTAGTTGGAGGATTGGCGGAAGAGGGATCAATGGAGCATAGGCGCGCGCGCCGCCGTGGAGGCAGTTGATCAGGCTGCGAGCGCTTCGGTGTCGGAGGGGTGTTTGGAAACGCCTCCTCAAGGCACGGAGGTGGGGTATTGTATAAAGTATGCTAATAACAAGGAAATGGTGACTGTATGTGAAAAGAAGGACAGTCAAAAGACCTCCAGCAGAAGGAGCGTGAGTCGGGCTGTGGTTCAAATAAAAAGTGGCCTTCAGGGAGGAGGAGGAGGAAGTATCAATCGGTTTGCGAAATTGTCTGTCAAGTCACTCACAAATAGCCCGGCGTCATTGTCCCAGCAATGGGCGGAAGTGGGGAGCAAGGTCGCCATCGGCCAGGTGTGGCTTTTGAGAGGAGGGGTCTTTTTGTGGCTTGTTATCGGCAGCGATAGGCGGGTCCAGGTCTCTCTGTCTGACCGAGTCTGAAGCACTGACCCCCGTCCACTGAGCCCCAGAGCCTCGCACCCGCACCATTGGTTGCCGCGTCTTTCAGGCCCATTTGCCAAACAGCAAGCTCTCACTACCTGGTGATTAGGTATTTTCCGGGCCTACAGCAGTAGCCTATTTGCTTTCAGCCTCGCCCCAACACCATTGAGGCACAACCAATACACACCTACGAGCCTCTACGACGCGATTGCTCATCACCAAAAACAACCATCAATTACGCGATAACCCGATATCGAGATTGAGACTGTACGCGACAACTCCAACAACCCGCAGCAAACATGACTGGTCGAGGAGGCGGTGGCGGGCGCAAGGTGCTCCTCCCTCCCATCAACTTCATCTTCAAGCTGCTGCAGTCGCATGCCACTGTCAAGATCTGGCTCTATGAGCAACTCGCTATAAGGATTGAGGGAAAGATTAGAGTATGTCGATACAGAACTCCGTTGGCGCGTGCCTACCGCTGACTTCAGCTCTCCAGGGGTTCGATGAATTCATGAATCTCGTCATCGACGACGCCGTGGAGGTCAAGCAAGTTACCAAGACAAATCCCGAGGAAAAGAGAAGGTCACTAGGTATGGTAGCCTCATATTGGGCAAAGCAGTGCCTTTGTGGAATAGGTTAACTCATTTGTTTACAGGTCAAATCTTGCTCAAGGGCGACAATGTTTCGCTCATCCAGGAGGCCGTATGAAGTTGGACAACACCACAGTGACTAGGGAGCTTCGGGCGGTCACAATATTTGATGAAATAAGCACGGTCAACATGATATCTCAAATGGCGTAGGATGAAAAAAAGGGGGAAAGCCCAACACGATTAGGGCACGGATATGGTCAAAGATCTATGCTCTATGAGATGACTGCTTGAAGTCGCCGTCTCCAAGGAAGAGCCCGTCAATGGGCTGATCATGAGGTCCAACAGGAACAGATTCTCCTGATGAGGGCGGGAGGAATTGCTCTCGCAAAGCTAGCGCATATAATAGAATGGCCGGGTGACCATCAGAAGCCCTTTCCTCCTCGTTTGCCCGTAATGCGTATCGGTGAAGGAAGTAATCATAAAACCCTTTTCCGTGGCCAAGCCTGCGGATAGAGCCCGTCTCCGGGTCTGTATCGAAGGCGACGCCGGGCAATAGAATTAGATCAAGCGGAACATCGGCCGAGACATTACCATCAAGCTCGCCGACGCTGCGCTGCCGCTGATTGACGGTCGCGGCGTCGACGCTCGGGATACCCCATTTGTCGGGCTGAAGCGACTCATAGTCTGCAATGTCGTTCAAACTCACCATGTCCATGAGCCTGGCTGGTCCCTCACCGGGGGGCAGGCCGGATTTGTGCAGATAAGGGACGAAAACCTGCTTGCCAGATGACAGAGCATGCCTCACGACGGGATCCGTCTGGATCTCGCCGTGCGGCATGGAAAGGTAGACCGCAACTCTCTTTGCATTGATGTATGGTTCAAACCGTGAGAGTGAGTTGAAGACGTGGGAACCTAGTAGCTTTGCATTAGCCCTTGGCGTTCGTCAGCCTCATTTGTTTACATTGCGATCGGTCAGATACCGACTTTGTGAAGTAACCGAGTCGGATGGGATATTGGCCAGACGCTGCTTCATCAAGGCCCGGAGCTGGTTCTTGGCTGCGTTGAGCGTGGACGAATTCATATCGGCGTCAAGAGCAGGACCTGGCTGCTGCATCCTCGCAAGGCCAATACCGGACTTGAGAATCTGGTCGCTTGGTAATTGATGCCAACGATCGCGATATGGTGGACCACCCCAACCGAACTTATCAAAACAGGTGATGTGAGTTGAAATCGGATGGTCTCTGCGGCGCGCCCGTTAAACCAGTGGGCGGTGGACGGACTTCGGGCAGGCTGATGATTCACACTAGCAATTAGGATGCCCCGCCAGTGCCCAAGCAGGGAGCGCAAGATGTTCACTGGGCAAGGTTGGTTGACTGCTGTGGAGGACGGCAATCGTAGTGCTGGAAAAACCAAGCTTTCGGCAGGCTCAGGGCACGTCGAAAAACGATCGGAGCCCAGGAGTCGGGGCTCAGAAGGGCACTAAGACCCCGAACAAGGCCCTTGCTTGCCCGCGATTTTCAAAGCTCGGTGTCCTGGGTGCTAGCTAGATGAACTTGTCAAGCTTGTGGCCTGCTCAAGGCGAGAAAATCTGCTTTTGTCAATGCAACACGGCAAGACCGCCACTATAGTAATCATATTCTCTGAATTTTTTAATTTCAATATAGTAGATAATGTTTTGCAGATTTTTCTAGCTTTCCCCAGAATGTCTATTCCTGACCGGCGAGCATATCTGCGGCGCACGAATGGGCAACAAGGGTATTATGCGTGGTGATCTGCAGGTCGGTTGGACCGGCCGCCGGGGTCGTGGAGGAGAAAATGGAGTGCTTGAGTGCTTGCAGACAAGACCGTCCGTGCATCCAATGATGTTGCGGTTATTTTGACAGAAGTCAAAAGAGCATACCCGAGCGACCAGATATGCAGGGTGAATCAGGTCCGAGATGCTTGTGCTGCATAGAAGAAGCGATCTGATGATTTGGAAAGTCTCTTTTTCTTGGTTCCTACCTGTTTATCTAATCTCTGCTGCATCTAATCAATCAGTCAACCGATCGGCCATCACGATGCGTCTCTAGGAAAGCCGCGTGCTGAAAATAAAACCAGCCCATACCCAATCGTGCCCGTCTGATGCGTTCCTTGGTGGCCGTTCCGCAGGCGCATATAGCGCTTGACTAGAAAGGCTTTTAGCAGACTTTTTACCTAGTCAGCACAGAGTTTACATGTCACTCGACCGCTAATGGCGCCGCAAATACTCTTGGTGAACCTAGACTAAATAGGTTAATTGACGACAATTCTTTTAGTGATTTGTACCTGTTTCTTCTTGGCTGCTGGGTACTTACCGACTCAGCCGCTCTTCTTTATGCTCCCGCTACTCGACAACATCTGACATCCCAAACGCGCGATATACCGCTCAGCAAGCAGACGCATCAGTTTTCACACCCCATCCCGTCGTTCTGACTGTCTGTCTTTGGTGGCCACGTGTGCTAAGACATTCCGGCCCTGAACAGTCGCCTGATGACAGCATAGATGCGCACCCTTGGGCCTGCATACATTGACCTACATACCTAACCTATTTCACTTACGTGCCAGTAGCGCTATCACATCGACCGCCTGTATCTCACCTCTCACTGTGACCCTCCCTTCTGGTCCACCATTCGCTCTGTTTGTTTTTTTCCAAGGCCACCCACCAGGGTGTATCCATTTTCCATTCCATTTTCCATCCATTCCCTGCTTGGTGTGTGTGTCATCCTGCTCCCTAAATCCCTCCTACTACTTGCCCTGCCTTGCTTGGTTGGCCTCGCGCTGGTTCATTCCAAACGGTACCTCTTGTACCTTCCTCCCGGTTGTTTCCCCTGCGCCCATTGAGGTCAGCTTGAGGTCCCCATCTTGTCCCAACCAAAGCCTTGACTTGATGCCGAACCCGACTGCGAAAAGCAATGACGATTCTCACAAGGCCCCCACCCCAACTACTACTGGACAGACCTTCCCGTTGAGACCCATAACTGCAGATCGATCCACTGCGGCTGCCTGCCCCTCGCTGGATGATGCGACCTCCGCCGAGAATATTATAAGTCGTGACCAATCTCCTCCGCCTGCTGACCAGGGCTTTGAGCTGGAGGAACTATTACTCACGGACTCTGCTGCTGTTGATCCCCATGGCCCTTCCTCGAACGACCATCCTGATTCAGATTCATCCTTGACCAACTACAACGAGTCTGAACTCACTAACCTCCCCGACGATCCCGAGCAACGAGATCCAATGTCGAGGGCACCGCTTTTGCTGAGGTCGTCGCCGGGCTTCGGCACCGGCTCCTATGGAGCTGCGCCGATCAATCCTGTCACTGAAGAGATTACCGAAAATCAAAATGAAGAAGACATATACAACGATCGAGACGTGGAGGAGGTGCGCAACAGGAGGCGCAAATCTCAGAGTACCACCAGATCATTTGGCACTCTGAGCAGGACGGGCACCGTTAGCAGGTCGGGCACATTGGGAAGAGCAAGTACCTCGTCAATGCGAATGAAAAGGAAATCCGAGGAGATCCTTGGGGGTTCCATCTCTGTAAGCGGCCTTTCGGGCCGCTTTGGTGTCACCGAAACTTCACTGGTTGAAGATACCATGTCCGACGCAAAGTCAGACGTCTCTGAATACATGGGCGAGTCTGGCGACGAGAGCGAGATCGAATCCATAAACGAGGACGATCCACCAGATAACTCGCCATACTCCCAAGTACGAGCTTCCGTTGCGCCAACTGACAACTATACGCTGTCCATAAGTACACCCCGCATGTGGATTCTTTCAACACTATTCGCTGTGCTTGGATCTTCCACCAACCTGTTTTTTTCTTTGAGATACCCTAGTGTTGCGATTACACCCGTTATAGCATTGTTGCTTGTGCATCCCCTCGGTCTTCTGTGGGATCTCCTGCTCAAACGAGATGACGACCCCGAGGAAGAGTTTGTCGACGGCGTGCGTGTTGCCATCTCCGCCGCAGGATCACCCACAGACCCTGGAGTTCCCCCTGTAAAGCAACGGAGTCGGGCTCAAAGATTTCGGCTATGGCTGGCACAAGGACGCTGGAATGAGAAGGAGCACAGCTGTGTCTATGTCAGCAGTAACGTCTCGTTCGGATTTGCGTTCGCAACCGACGTCATTGTCGAACAGACGCAATTCTACAAGCAGGATGCGACCATTGTCTACCAGCTACTTCTGACGCTGTCGACTCAAATCCTAGGCTACGCCTTTGCCGGTCTCTCTCGGCGCTTTTTGGTCCGTCCCAGCGGCATGATATGGCCGGGAACCTTAATGTCGGCAGCCATGTTCGGCACTCTGCACAAGGAAGAGAACAAGCCCGCAAATGGATGGAGGATGAGCCGTTGGAAGTTCTTCTACCTGATTTTCTTCTCATCGTTCATTTTCTACTTCATTCCAGGTCTTCTGATGCCAGCTCTGAGCTACTTCAACGTCATCACCTGGTTTGCGCCGGATAATGTGGTTGTGGCAAACCTCTTCGGAGTTGCCTCTGGCTTGGGTCTGTTCCCACTCACTTTTGACTGGGCACAAATTGCCTACATTGGCTCGCCCCTCCTCACACCGTTTTGGGCAGCCATGAATGTTGTTGGTGGTTTGGTCATTGTCATGTGGATCGTTGCGCCGATCGCGTACTATGCCAACTTATTCTACTCATCATACATGCCTATACTTTCGGCGTCCGTCTTTGACAATACTGGCAACGTTTACGATGTCAGCAGGATCCTCACTTCGGACTTTGTTTTTGACAAGGATGCCTACAAAAATTATAGCAGAGTCTTCCTGCCCATCACCTATGTCCTCAGTTATGGGCTACAATTTGCGGGTCTAGCCTCTTTACTTACACACACGGCTTGTTGGCATGGAAGGGATATTTGGACACAGTGGAGAAGATCTCTAAAGGAAGTTGAGGAAGAAGGGAAGCCATCGTATGAGCCACTTGGCACTGAGAATAACAGTCTCTCGCCAATCACTAGGCAACCTGGCGACCTAGGAATGAGGAGGTCGACCCCAAATTTTGACGATCTTCTTAGTCGGGAAGATGTCCATAACAGATTGATGAAGCGCTACAAAGATGCGCCTCTATCATGGTACTTGCTCACCGCAGCAGTTATGACAGCAGTCGGCATGTTCGTCGTCGAATAGTAAGTTTACCAATACGCGCACCCAGTTCAGTTCGCCGACTAACAATTCTCCAAAGCTACCCGATTCACCTGCCATGGTATGGACTGCTTCTGGCATTGGGCATCTGCTCTGTACTCTTTATTCCCATTGGTATCGTCATGGCCGTCACGAATCAACACAGCAGTATCTACCTCATCTGCCAGCTGATTGCCGGTGCCGTGTTTCCGGGACGGCCTTTGGCGAACATGGTATTCGTAACATATGGTTATATCTCCTCGGCGCAGGGCATCAAGTTCGCAGCAGATCTCAAACTGGGACACTATATGAAGATTCCGCCAAGGATTCTTTTCAAAGTGCAAATGGCCGCCACAATCATCTCCTCGCTGACACAAATTGGTGTGCTCAACTGGATGTTCGCCAATATCCCCGGTTTGTGCACCCCGCAGGCAATCAACGGTTTTACCTGCCCAATTGCCAGGGTTCATTTCAATGGCTCAATTCTGTGGGGTGTAGTTGGTCCATCCGAGTTCTTTGGACCTGGCGCAACATATCGACCATTGGTTTGGGGCTTCTTGATTGGTGCCATTGCCCCCATCCCGCTCTGGCTGTATGCCCGAGGCAAGAAGAACACGATAATTCGCAAGATCAACCTCCCAGTACTCTTTGGGTCACTTAGCTGGATTCCACCAGCTACTGGTCTAAACTTCTCGGTCTGGGCTTTGGTTTGCTACATCTTCAACCACTTGATCAAGAACCGGGCTGGTGCCTGGTGGGCCAAGTACACAATGACACTGAGTGCGGCGCTTGACTCTGGTCTCGCTGTGGGCATTGTTGTGGTGTTCTTTGGATTCATCTTCCCAGGCTGGATGGACGGATTCAGCTGGTGGGGAACTGAAATTTACAAGCAGGGCTGCGACTGGCAAGCTTGCGCCTTTAAAACCGTGGAAAACGGTACACACTTTGGCCCTGACCAATGGTAGGGAATGACTTAGGATAAGGGAATGAATTGGAATGGGAAATGGCACATATGATATTGAAATGATAGATGGAGTCTTGATGACTCAAGGATAATGCATAGTGATGGAGTTTTGGGTTCATTGATTACACAGCCTGCAAATCGCAGATGGCATATTATTCAATATTGATATTTGATTGGAAAGCACATATGGGAATAGAAGATGCAAAGGTTCAAGCAACAGACGGCGCTCAATCATATGATTCGCCGTGCCACGGGAGCGTAGCCATCTTTGTCTTGCCATTTGGGAATGTGATACCGTGGTGGACGGCCAGCAGCACGATACAGCTTTTACGACCCGAACCAATATCTTTCTTCATTATCTATCTGCAAGATCCGTACAGATGCTGGAGTAAGATTAGTACCCATAAATATCTCGGGATGTAGGATCTTGGTCGTATACCAAAACGCGAGGCGTGGAATTCAGTACCAAATGTGCCAAACGCTCTAGATGAATGTATATGATAATGTGATTTGATCGCCGTTGAAGATGGTGTCACAAACTCCGGACTTCAGGCATACTACCGTTTTAAGCCTATGATATACCAGCCATATAGGATGCAACATTGTTAAGCATCGTGTTTTCTTTGCCTACCAGGCGTGAGATCAAGTCGTTTCGTGCTCTTTGCTGCATGCTAGCTCATGCTGGAACGTAACCAAAAGTTGACGCATAAAAGACGTAATGTTTCTCGTCTCCAACAACATATTCTTCTTCTTCTTTTTTTTTTCTCCTTAAACCATCTTTCATGTTAAGCGCTCTATATAAACTGAGGCGGAACATACGAGAGTGCCGGATTTGATATGAGAGGATTCTATGAGATTTATACTTGACGCTTCAGCTCTCGATTTGACCCAATCTCACTAATTTATCGTGGCGGCGCATGTGGGACCAACGTGGTGTCGCTAACTGACCCAATACGAGAGGGCAGTCCCAACTGCCAATAAGGCGGTATAGGTACGAAATTCTGCCCAAAAGCAAGGGATTTTACATTCGAGAAAATCATCCCGTTTGGTTGTCGTTGGTCGTGAAGTAGCGGTCGTTGAATGTAATGGACTCACTCACCATATCGCAGCAGCAAAATGCCGCTTACAACTTGTAATTCGAGAATGGGGAGAATATATATTTGTCCCAACACTCGAGCATGCTGTGTAAAACAGGAAATGCAAAATGAATAATCCCAGGAGACAAAAAACAAGCCACAGATCTGCTCGGATATAACTTGGGCCGCCGAATTATAACGTCATTCCGTACATCTCACCTCCTTATCAGATCCGAGCTCGGCAGCTTAATCTGTGGCGCCCGCAGCCCACTAGCGGTGCATAAGTGCGCGCGCGCTGTGCCTTGAGGGTCTCGAGGACTGTGACTTTCCGCCTGACATGATTCTTACTGTTTTCGAGTTTAGAAATAAACCGCAGATCGCGAGCAGAAAGACAGACCGACATCGATTGTGAAAGGTGAAAAAATCTACAAGATGATAGCTCGAGGTTTCCTCTGCCGCGTCTCGCTGCTAGCGCTAGGCCTGGTCTCCATTGCGGCCGCCGTCAACGGAACCCAAGGAACCGGCGTATCGGCCGCATCCCTCAGTCTAGAAGATATTGAGGAAAGACTCCAAGTGCGTACCGGGACGGCCTTCATTTACAAGAGCAATAGTCGCTGACATGAATTGCCCCAGCTATGCCCGGTGGTTGCGGATCTGAGCGCCGAGAAGTTGGCCGACTCTGCCGGCGCCTCCACCCTGACATCCCGAATCTTTGGTGTTCTTTTCCCCGGTAGCCCAGCAGTAAACGCCATTCTTGCCACGCTATACATTTCTGGACCGCCAAATTTCCTCCTCGCATTGTGCCCTCCCAATATCGACCCGTCCTCGCTGTCCGTCATGGTGGCCTTTGCCGTCGGCGGTCTAATGGGAGACACCTTGTTCCACCTGCTCCCAGAGATCTTTCTCGGCGAGGACAGCCCCGAGCACGTCAAGTTTGTCTTGGTCGAGCCCAACAGGAATCTCTTGCTTGGTGCTGCCATCTTGGCTGGCTTCATGACATTTGTTGCCATGGACAAGGGGCTCCGCATTGCGACGGGCGGCCACGGCCACGACCACAGTCACGGAGCCCACGAGCATGGGGATGCTTCCCAGGTCCAGGGATCTTCGACATCGGTACAAGTTGTAGAGGGAGAGGTAAAGTCTAGGAAAAAGGCCAATGGCAATGCAGAGCCGGCAGCCCATGTCGAAAAGGAGATTAATCCTAGCGTCAAGCTTGGAGGCTATCTAAACATGATGTACGCTTGATCTGGCATGCCGTTTTTTAAGCGGCGATATACTCTGGGACAATAATGCTGACGGTAATGTAGCGCTGACTTTACTCACAACATTACCGATGGCCTCGCAATGGCGGCTTCATTCTACTCATCGCCCACCATTGGCGCAACAACTACAGTCGCTGTATTCTTTCACGAAATTCCACATGAAGTCGGCGATTTTGCTCTGCTCGTGCAATCCGGATTCTCCAAGCGCGCTGCAATGGGAGCGCAGTTTGTCACTGCCCTCGGGGCCCTACTCGGAACCTTGATTGGCATTGCTGTTCAAGAGTTTGGCGGCAACTCGGCTGGTGATGCAGTCACTCTGCGCGGTGGTCTCTTTGGAACCTCTCTGACCTATGGCGATCTCTTGCTTCCCTTTACGGCCGGCACCTTTTTGTATGTTGGAACTGTGGCAGTTATTCCCGAACTCCTCGAGACGGGCCCGAACAAAAAGGCCGAGCTGCAGAAGACTTTGGTCCAGTTTGCGGCTATTGCTCTGGGCGCCGGAATTATGCTGTACATTTCGTGGGACTAGAGAGTGTCTGCTGTTCTTTTTTGTGCAAGAGTACATGGAATCACAAAAGTGTCAGCTTATGTTGCTAGACGATAGAATAGAGTTTGCATCGTAGACGAAAGGGGGTCAAATCTGAGAGCAAAGACCACTACCTGGTACAAGATAGAATCAGATGGAATGATGTAGGATGTAGTCTCTGGGTCATCCTCAGAATCAACATTGTTTAGTCCATGTCTTGCCAATACGCGAACCTTTTGTGAACTAAAAAGTCATACTAGGCTGCTGACGTGGTCTGTTGGAACTTGTTGGCATACTTGTCGTTGCAAAGGCGTACCACCTCCTTGATCCCCTTGATAGACTAATAGCCTAACCTAGGTGGCTATAGCGCGCGCGCGCTCGTGGAAACGTCAAATGCCATGCGCCCCATGTTTGTCTTTTCTTTTTTTCAGCCTTTCCATAGGGTCGAGGTCAATGACTCGTGGGGGGCGAAAGAGTCATGCCAAGACATGGAGAAAGCTCTAGGTAGGGGTCCAAGCAATAGTTTGTGTATGTTGTTTGCTACACTTGAATATGGCTTCCAGCTTCTTTTGGGCTGGAGGGCATGAAATGGGGGATGCGGGGCTGTGGAGGAGCATGCATCCATTTACTATAGACCATGTACTATCGTATATTCCGTCCTTGCATTTTCAGGCCATGTGTTTTGTTATTGGCTGGTTTTCCATGGTAATCTTTGGTCAAAAGACAGCTTGTTTGGTAGAAACCCGAGTACCTGCTCATGTTTCAAAAGAATCAACGCGAGAACGAAACACTGTTTGATCCATTAATAGTTGTGCTTTGCTGTCTGTTGAATTTTATTGGCTTTTTGAACATGAGACGACTCCCAAAAGACAGAGTGGAGCGGCGATATACTTCCGTAGTTTACCGGTGGACCCAAGCTGCTGGGAGAGAGACAGACGGTGGTGGAAGTCAGTCTTTGATCCAGTCCGAGGTCGGAACTGTACCCTGGCCAAGGGTCTGTTCTATTTTTCCTTCCATGCCACAGTGTCGACCATTGTTCGTGATTCAAATGCATGGTATTGTGAGCTCCGATCTAGTGACTCGTCATTCATTTCAAGAGTTGTTCCCTGTCGCTTGCAATCTTCCGGCGATACTAGCAGGTGGACGATCTGAGTAGTACCATCTATTTCCATCAAAGCTTGCAATCTGCGCTAAAACTGCAAATGGATTATACAACAAGAATAAATGAGGCGTTCATACCAAATGCTAAACGGCATAGCATAGTTTTCTAATATCAAGTGCTTATTATATCACCAACTAGGACAAAACAAACCCCGATGATTCAACTTAATGACGATAGTTTTGACGGTAAGAAAGCCCGCATCATCACCAGATTCTGATCTACAACTTCTAGAAGCTACGCCCTAAAGCGGGAACCTTTCTGTCCAGTGCATCATCTTGTGTCGCGCGGGAAAGCCAGTCACTGACTGGTCGTCTATAGGTATTACATTAGCAAACCTACGAAAGGCGCATACTAAATACTAGTGCAATGATATGGAGCTCAATGCGGACTTGAAAGCCGCCGTTGTGAGCAGGTCCACCAACTCCGAAGCCGAAGCCGTGTGCTTCGGGGGAAAATGTATCCACATGTTGTGTCACTGTGAAACCGCTTACAGATCGAGTATTTGCGGTCAAAGTTGTTTTCCTAACAAGGCCGGTCCGGCCTCTGGCAGAATGTGACTGGACTCCAACACCACGAGCCCGCTCAAGTAGGTTTAGTCCCGCTCCCTTACAACATGAAGGGCGCATCTCCGGCCTGAGCTTAGCGACCGGCTGCAAGGTGCCATCAGTCTATCCAATGACCTCAGCCCAGTCGCTTACCTCCCTGTGCCCATAGCTGGGGAAGGGCAGCATGGGGTCAGACACAATCTTGACCGAAGAACCAACGCTTTTCCCGCCCTCTAGCTACAATGGCTTATGAAATGCGGGATTGCGGGAGGTGTTGGTACCCTTTTTTTTTTTTCTCCTTCTGTTCTCCATCACGGTGACTCTTAGCACCAACTTTGGGCCTAAAACATAGCAAACTGTTGTTAGTTCGTGTTGGCAATCATTCCCACGGCTGTCAAATATAAGGCAGCGCCCAGAAAACTCTCTTGTCAACATGTAGGGAACAACATCTGGTCACTCCACACACACTGCATCATCTTGCCCGCATGCAACATTGGAACATGACGAAGCAGTGACACAGACACGGCACTTCAAAGACCTACGACCACCTTGGGACAACCATCAGTCATCACGCCGCTCACGATATATCATACATGATAACACGTCCATATCCAACAGGCCCATAATTACCTGAGGAAAACGAGTTCTTGAATAACAAGACCTTTTTTTTTTTTTTTTTTTTTTTGATTGCCAAACCGTTGATCAACACACTGCGACCATGTTCTCCTCATCTGGACAGGAGACGGCCGCAGTCGGCAACGTCACACAAATGTTTGCTGGCATCAAGTCCAACATGACAATTCAACTCGACAATCATTATGCGACCCGGGTATATACATCAGCGTCCTCCATCTCTGGTCACACCAAGATCCAGGTCGCCAAGGACACCCCTTTCGACAAGGTCCAGATACTTTTGCTGGGAACGACAAAGACACGCATGGATGGCGTTCGTGCCCCTCACACGACATCACACACATTCTTGAAGCTCGAAATGCCGATTCCAGACTCGTCGTATCCTGGCTCGAGGATTTACCGCGCTGGTCAAACCTATGATATTCCATTCAATTTTGTCGTTCCCAACCAACTTACAATCAATGCCTGCAACCACAAGGTTGACACCTCTGCCGTACATGACACCCATCTCAACTTGCCTCCATCCATGGGGCCGTGGAGCGGTCAGGATGACATGTCTCCCGAGATGGCACGAGTCGAGTACTGCATAGTTGCCAGGGTACTTGCCGAGGAGGACAGGCACGGAAAGAGGGCAAGGATCCTCGAGGCTTCTCAACAGATTCGAGTCTTGCCTGCACACGCCGAACATGCACCACTGGCAATTGGTCCCAAAGATGCAGTGTACAAAATGTCCAAGAGCAAGACAATGAGGAAATCACTACTCTCTGGAAAGGTTGGCAAAGTCACAGTCTCGGCCAAGCAACCAGGGGCTATCATGCTGAGTCCAGACGGCGCTACAGCTTCCAAAACAGTAGCTCATGTAGACCTCGTCTTTGATCCAGCCTCGGCCCAATCTCTACCACCCAGAGTGATTGGTGTATCGTCCAAGGTCACGGCATTGACCTACTACTGCAATGGAGCCATCAGAAGCTTCCCCAACATGGGAGACTGGACACGAGTCTACGGTGCCGACAGCCGCGGATCGTATCCGACGGCCACATCCATCTCAGCCATCCCGATTGACAATTGCAACTGGCAGCAAAGCCTCAAGGGCGAGACGCGAAGAGGATCGACCTATTCGGCAGACACGGCGAGCACCAACGGCAGCGATATTCTTTCCGACACGGACCGTTCGAATCATGACGAATCCAGAAGCCGTCGAGGCAGCAAAGACTCTACCAAATACGCATCTCCCGTTTACCACACGGCGAGCTTGAAAATCCCCATCGAGTTGCCGACGCACAAGAAAACGTTTATCCCCTCATTCCACTCGTGCATTGCATCTCGAGCCTATGTCCTCTGGATGACCGTGTCCCTGTCGTGCAGCGGCAACAGCTACAGCATCATGGTCGGCGTGCCGCTGCAGGTCGGCGTCGAGTCTAGCGACGCGGTGCTCGAGTCGCTCGAACCGCCGAGCTTTGAAACCGCCGTACAAGAAGCCGAGATTGACGACTTCCTGAGGCCGCGGTCGCTCGTCATGCCAGATGTCGTCTTTGAGCGTCACGGACTTCCTGGATACGCGGATCTCATGTCTGGGCGCATGGTCGCGGTCAACTGACGGTGAAGGAGGAGTTTCTTATGAGAAATATGAAAATATTGAAAACGGGGAAATGGGGTTTGTCATCAATTTCAGATCAAGATATGGAGTTTTGCAGAATAGTGTTTTGTTTTGTTTTGATGCGGGACAATAGTTTGGCGCAGGCATTTGTTTTCAAATGATATCCAATCAACTTACAATCTTGATAATACAGTATTTTCTCAATAAACTTTGAATATTCTATTTCAGAAACCCCAAAAATGTGAATATTCCATGAGCACAGCATTCATGAGTTACCCGCCAACATCACGTCTAATCTTCTGCCTGTGCTCTCGGTCACATCTTACCAGACGCATATTTTTGTTCAATGTAATGTCAGCTCAAGCGTCTCCATATTTCCCTTTGTCAGTACACGAGGCCATGTGAGTGCTACATTTTCGAGTCACTATCCCGTCAAAGGAACCCGTGCATGATCCCAAGCACATGGCTTCCCCCCCCCCTATCTGCGCCCTTGATAGAATAAAAACAATACGGATGGATCCCCGATGGAGAAGAGTCACGCCCTCCGAGCCACGCTACTCAGCTGGTCCGAGTCGGATCTGTAGAAGGCAATAAATAGATTGGTTAAGAGACCCGCTGAATGAAATGACCCGGGCTCGGCACGAGAACATGAAGAAAACCCTGACAATTAGGACGGGACGCCCCAGTGGAACCAATAACCCGAGGTTGCAGGCACATGCAATGGCCATATGGATGCAAAGGGCAGTCGAGTAGGTAATATTTACTTGAATCAATGTGTCCTAGTCCACCGAGTGTTCTTGAACACTTTGGGAAGAGTAGGTTACTGGAATCATCTCGCACAGTGTTTTATTCCGGAGAGGATCGGTTTGCTGTCACCAAGCAGATTTGTAGGAAGGCCAATCCATTTATTCTTGTCATAGTATCTTCCAGTACCGCCACGCATTCAATTTGGGGCTGCCCTTTAGTAGGAGCAAGGCCAAGGTAGGTGTATATGTTGTGGGAATTCCTGCCAATTAGATATCCGTTCCTGCGCATTTTAATTTCCTGTCGCCAAAATTTGTACCTCTATGAGTATCATCAAAAATCGCCATGGCACCACTTTTGCTGCTCAGAGGCCTATTGGCCATCATGTAGGCGGTGTGCAACGTGACCGAACGCAGCCAGCCAGCTATACCGGGCCTCGAATATCACCATACGAACAAAGCTTTCGGCTGTCACTGCTTTTCTTTTTATTCCCTCACTTTCATGTCTGCGTCACTCTTTTGGGTTGTAATTATGGTCATGGCCCTCAATGTGCTTCGCTTGCATCAACGTCTTTTGGAGATGCCGACTTTTCTTGGGATCTATCCAAACCGGGCTTGGACGTATTAGTAGCAGACTGTTGCCCTGGGGCCAAGTGGCGAGTTTTGTGGACGTGTTGAGTTGTCTCGATGGGTGGCGGTATAATGGTTTCATTTGTCACCACATGCCTGACCCTTTCCTCAACATAGCTAGTAGACAATGTGAGTATTGATTCAGAGGTAAGATGGATTCGGGTGAGCTGCCACATTGAGCTTTTCACTTACCCTTCTGCATCCTGGTTAGGGGCAACCATCCCGGCGCGCCGAGGCTCCTCGACTCTGCCCTCATCTGGATACCTGTGGGCATCCCTCTGCGACCCCTCGGCAGTCGCCGCTACATCTCGGTGGTCATACTCGCGGTCAGACCCGGTTTCGATGTAGATGTGTTTAGTAGGAAGGACTACCCTTTCCTTGATGGGCTGAACGGTGCGGTGGTAATGATCCTGGTGAACATCTTTGTTGACAATAGTCTCCACCACTTCGTGTTCGACGCGCTTCACAGTCTCGTGCTCAACCGGCGCTGCTTCCTCCATGTGCAAGGTTTGCTCGGTATTTGTCATTGGAACCTTTTCCGTTCCCGCCGGTGACGTACTTTGCGCCGATTTGGTGGTGTCAGTGCCTTTAGCCGGAGTAATGAGGCTTTTCACCGAGTCTACAATCTTGTTTAGAGCTCCTTCCGGTAATGTTGAAGCCATGATCAGGACTCGAAGTCATTCAAAGCTGGACCAGGAGACGTATATGAAATGAAATGCGAAAGCTCTTGGCCATCGTTCATCAAACAAGAACAAGTGGCATTGATAAGGTTCACAAGAGCAAGATTTGTACGTCATACAACCAGTGTGGGACGACTTTGCATACCCCGAGTCTGATTTTCACGTGGGGAGCTACATTCAATTTCTTAAATATTTCGTTGCAACATGCCCTCAAAGGGCTGGTATATTTAACGCAGCAGTAGCAGAGCACATTTGGACTCTTGCTGACAGAAGACTAATTGGACATGAATTGGCATAAGCACATTGGGTATCCTAAGTGTTTGCAACTGCGACAAAGCTAAGCCAGTCGGTACCCCAAGACTCATAAATGTCGACCTCGAGATCCGTCAAGAAAATGTACTGCGATACGGTTGAAAGCGAGGCGACGAAAGATCGCAGCTGGGTCGTGGTCATGGTCGGCACCGAATTCACCATGAGAGCATACTTTCCTCTGGCTGCCGGAAGTGCCGCCACTGCAGCCGCCTGGGAATTCATCCAGGTGTCATAGTCGTGCTCAAAGACAAAGGTAAAGTCGAGATTGGTATCCACGAGGTAGGCGGGGTCGACAATGGTTCCTGGGTTGTGAATAACCTGACAAAATGTTAGAATGAATGTTGCGTAAATCGCCGGACAAGTGAACAACGTACCGTCTTTGCGCCCTTCAAGCCCGTAGAGCTCTTGACTAGCGCGTCGATAGTTTCCATATAAGTCACGGAATCTTGATTAAACTCGTACGGAGCCTCGTCAAAAAAGATTCCATGCATGGTATACGTGCTTGAAATAGAGGACCATCCAGCATATGTCTCGACATCCGCAATAACGGCGTCGATATCCCTTCGAGTGTAGTCTGTTCTAACGTATCCAACGGTCTGTACATTGGCATAGGTGTTCAGCTTGGCTATCGCCGGTCCATAGTAGTAGTCCGGAGCTGTTCCACTTCCGGGACCGCTGTTCGGGTTGATTACGACAATAAATGACACGTCTAGGCGAAGTTCGATGCTGTAGCAAGTTAGTCTTTGTATATCATCCAAATGCAAGTCAAAATAACTTACGCTGTAAAAAGTTTGGCCCACGATATATCGGCAATGGGGTAAATGTACAGCGGGACCACAATCGTCATGGACGCCATGGCTGAAGTGCTTGTCAAGGAGCTGGCAGAAGCCGTGGTTGACGTGCTCGTTCCAGTCACTACAACAAAATCAAACCAGTCGGACCCAAACGATCCATAAATGTTGCTAGAGAGGTTGGTAATGTAAATGTACTGTGCAACATTGTTGACCGAGCTGACAAATGATGCCAGAGCCGTCTTGGTCATGATTGGGACCGAGTTGAGCATCACACCAAGGTGGCTGGTTCCAAGTGCTGCAACGCTCGCAGGCCCAGAAGACTGCCAGTCGGCATAGGTTTGCGACGATACGATGCTGGCATCGATATTGGCACCCGCGAGAAATCTCGTGTCGGGAACGATTCCAGCATTATGTATGACCTAATATTTGTTAGCAACATGGGACTTGACACCCGAAACTACATTTGACTTACAAGTCTTGGTCCGGCGAGGCCAGCTGCATTCTTAATGGCCAAGTCGACAGTCTCCGAGTAAGCAAAGGCAGCACTCGACCAGGCATGTGGCGACTCATCAACAAAGATACCATGCATTGCAAGCGTGGAAGACTTGGCCGACCACCCAGCATATGTATTAATCTGGCTAAGCACACTTGACATATCATTGGTCGTGTAGCCAATCTTGACATATCCGACTGTCACCACGTTGCTGTAGGCGTTGAGCTTCTGAATAGCGGGTGTGTAGTTGTCATCTGGGTACGTGCCACTGCCCGGGCCACTGTTTGGGTTGATGATGACAACAAAGGTCAGGTCCGGACGAGATTCAATTCTATAACGTTATTGTCAGTGATGATTCACAACTTGGACTAGCAAGACAAGTAGCCGCGGTCACTTACCCAGTGTACAATGCGTCATAGGCTCCAGAGAGAGGGTATTGATACAGCGGCACAATGATTGTCGGGGAAGCAGTGTTGGAGCCAACGGTGGACGACGTAGCAGAGGCAGAGGTTGATGTTGCACTGGAACTTGTGGACGTTGAAATGACGCTTGACGAAGTACTCGTCGAGGTGACTGTGGATAGGCTTGAGGAGGTGGAAGAATCTGAGTTGGTGGCGGATGCAGAGTTGGTATCGGAGGCCGAGCCGGTGGAGGTACTAGAGCTCGTAGTAGAGTCCGTGACTGTGGATGAAGTAGATGACGAGGTAGAGCTGGAAGAATCCGACGAGGTGGTTGAAGAAGAGACTGACGACGAGTCCGTGGACGAGACAGTTGACGATATTGTCAAGGAACTGCTAGAAGACGAAGAATCCGTCACAGTGGAGATGCTCGAAGAGTCTGTGAAGGTAGAAGATTGTGTCTCTGAAGCGCTTGAAGTGATTGACGCTGAGACTGTTGAAGAGTCTGTAGTAGTTGCCGACACAGTTTCAGAAGCACTTGATGAAGTTGTCAATGAGGCTGTAGATGACGAAGAATCAGTCAAAGAGGAGCTCGTGGCCGACTCTGTGGCTGTGGAAGAGGAGCTTGTTGAATCAGTTGCTGTAGACGAGATAACTGATGAACTCGAAGAGTCCGTAATTGCAGCACTGGTCGAGTCTGTCGAAGAGCTTGTGGTTGACTCGGTGGCTGTAGAAGAGACACTCGATGAAGAGTCTGTTAAAGAGGAGCTCGTGATCGAATCTGTTGCTGTAGAAGAGGAACTCGTTGTTGAATCAGTTATTGTAGATGAAACAGTCGTTGAACTTGAAGAGTCCGTGATTGTAGCACTGGTGGACGACGACGAGTCTGTCGAAGAGCTTGTTGCCGACTCCGTTGATGTAGAAGAGTCAGTCGACGAGCTCGACGAAGTTGAGTCGGTCAAAGTTGAACTTGTGGACGAAGACGAGTCGGTCGAGGAGGAAGCGGTGGTTGATTCCGTTGCTGTGGAGGAAATGGTCGAAGAACTTGTAGTAGAGTCTGTGGCTGTGGAACTACTAGTCGACGAGCTCGAGTCCGTCTCGGAGACACTTGATGAAGAGGTCGCTGATGAGATCGACGAGGATGAAGAGTCTGTCACGGACGAGCTAGTCGACGTAGAGCTAGACGTGGAGTCTGTTGAAGAGCTCGATGCAGAGTCTGTTGAGGAGCTTGATGTGGATTCCGTCAGAGTGCTCGACGATGATGAGTCTGTTTGGGTGCTTGACATTGACGATGTCGAGGAGGTCAAGGAAGCACTAGTCGACAGAGTCGCTGGCACCGTTACAGTCGTGGTGTCTGCCGAGAGAGTGATGGTTGTGGCATCATAGCCCATGCAACCGCAGGCTGAAGCAAAGCCTGCGGGTGAGCCACATGCGGTTGCATATGAAGGAACCACGGTCGGGCATGATGTTACTGCGGTTGTCAAAGCCGCTGCCGCGCTTGACACAGGGGTTGTGACTCGACGCTCAATGATTCCACTGGCTGTGCCGGTAGTCGTTGCATCCGATCCTGTCACTGTAACAGTGACGAGAGCAGGAGTGACTGTACAAGCCTATCAAGATTCATGTGTAAGTTGTATATCAAGCGAATTCAAGGAGTGCAATATATACCTGGAAAGAACTACAGTCGGTGTAGGGACCCGAAGCCGAAAGGGATGCAACAATTACACCAATATTGCAAAAGTTCTAGAAAATAATAAGTATCATGAAGACAAAGTTCTAGATGAAAACATACGTAGGGGCATATCTCCAGGTAACTTGACACCACAGCCGACGATGCCACAAGCTGCGACAAGGAGCCCAAGGCAACCAAGAGAGAAGCCGATTTCATCTTGTTGGATGTACTAAAACCTTGGGAAAAGAAAATCAAGGCTCACACCAGCTTTACGAATGGCTTTCCTCGGCGAGAAATGACCAGTGACTCGTCCTCATTGTAAGACTCGGCAATGCTCACATGGCATCTTTATAATGCCTCTTTACTTCGTTTTCGTTTTCCCATCTTGACACTAAGAGACGACTCGAGAACGCCATCGTCTTGTCTTCTAACCAGAATATTCTCATGTGTCCCTAAACGGACTGCTAGGCAAGCCTCATTCTCATTACCGACTTGTCTGGATGTTTGTCAACTTTGTCGATATGATTTGCTATTTCCCAACCAGACAAGTGATGGCTTCACCGCTTGCCATCAACTACTAAACGCCATTGCATGATTCTGGTGGTTTTCCACGAGGCCATGACTTGGCCTTGAGGGTTTGTGGCTGCGATAGCTCATCAATCATCGCGGCAAAGTCTCAGCTGGCATCCACTTGTGCAGCTAGTCATTATTATGCACCCCAGGTCCGGCTAGGCCTTATCAACCCCCTTTGGCGCGATAATCGTTCATATTACTCGAGCGCAAGTGGACCAAGAATATAAAGTAGAGGGGATGATTTGCAACTAGGACCATAGTATGATGGGACTCTTGTCGCACAGACAGTGGAAGGGCTGGAGACGATGCCATCACGATGCAACTTTATCCGGCCTACGACTTAAGCTTATAGCAAGTATATCCGGTGCGCAACGACACAAGTACAACAAGCGCTTCGGTTCCCTGGGCATGCTACATTCTCTACCCGCTTTGCATGTTTATAGATGCGCGAATACAAGAAAAATGTCCAGGCCAATCTTTTAGATTCGCAGCCGCCACAATACAATAGTTTCTCCCTTGTTCACCAAATAGTCGGCATCTGTTTTTGTTTGATGAGACCGAGATGGAATTTGGCAGGTTGTGTGGCGTTGTCAACCATTTTGACAAGCAACGACGGCGCCAACAGCTGAGCGGCCGAATCAAGTCTTAGTGGAAAGGGGAACACACCCCAACGCCCAAGATCTCACTTGGAGGGGATCGCCACCAAGCCCTATCCATCCAAGCCTTATCGAATCGGCCAAGTTGGGGGAAATGGAAATAAGCATGGCTTGACGTTTGTCGCATTGAAATAAAAAAGACATTATCGAGACTAGAGCCAAGGAAGGCACACGACTAATCCAGCGCCAAGTCTGGAGACGAAAGCGCGAACGAGTAGAACAGGTGACTCGAGAGAAAACAAAACAGACATTGGCTACTTGAGTAGTTATATTCGCGAGCCCTCCTTGGTCTCTGTTCCAGCCCTTCTTCGGCCTGCCCCGAATACAATGATACCTCCGTTTTTATCTAGGAGGTTGCAAACAATCCGACCAAATCCTCGGGCAACCATCTCGGTCTTTATCTTGCTAGGTATTTTGTCCGGCACTCGAATCTTTAAACGGGTGATTGCGGATGATCAAATGAGATCGAATATCTGCGGGGAGGGGGATAGACTGGGGCGGGTCAACCAGGATTGCGATATGCGCCATACTCCAGATAGGGACATTTTTGCCCATGATAACATTGATAAGAACCCTCAGCAAGCAAGGCAAGCTCAGGTCCCCCCCCCTACATGGTACGATGCATGTCGCCTTGGCATGCTGAGGGTTACGCAATGATGTAGCTTGCAAACACCTCTGTTCTCCCCCAAAGATCGACCAACTACCGCGTGCATGTTATCAGTCGGGACGTCCGTTACAAGATAGACGAATGTAACGTGGGACAGACGACATGGAAACGAATATATATATTTATACCAAGAGTCGCCAAGGTGGCAAATCCATCCTAGCGATATTGTACAAGGCCAGCGCCGTGACTTTGCTGGACATTGTAGCCCCCTTCGACAATTTTGATACACCATGGCGACAGTGTCCGAGGTTGCGACGCTTCCTGCAGAGCTCAAGTCCACCTTGGCTCTGGGTCACGATATTGACAAAAAGGAAGGATACAATGAGAAGCAGGATGTTGAAAGCGTAGGAGCAGGGCAGGTATCTAGCAACGATGAACGTCAGTAGTCTTTGTGTTGCACCACCCCGAGCAAGGGGACCAGCTGGGGGAATAACTGACAAAAAAGTGAACAGCGCCCACGTATACCGACGAGGAGTACAAGAAGCTTAAGAGAAAGATTGATAGATATTTGCTGCCCTTGATGTGGCTCTGCTATGGTATCCAACAAACCGACAAGACATCTCTCGGCACGCAGGCCACGTTTGGACTTCGAGATGACACCGGACTCGTTGGCCAGCAATATGCCTGGCTCACCACCATCTTTTACATTACTTACATGTGCTTCGAGTTCCCCTCCAATATCATTCTGCAGCGCTACAAGATGGGGCGGACGCTTTCCATTTACATGCTCTGCTGGGGCGTCGTGGTTCTCTGCATTGGCTTTGCCAAGAACTTTACCCAGCTCATTACTCTGCGCGCTCTCCAGGGCATGTTTGAGTGCTGCATCAGCCCCGGCTTCATTCTGGTCGTGGGCAGCTGGTACACGACGCGCGAGCATGCATCGCGCGCCTTGGTCTTCCAGAGCGCCAACGCCGGGTTCGGCATCATCTCCAGCCTGGTCCTCTACGGCATCGGCACGGTCGAGTTCCGCGATCCCGAGTCCGAGTCGTGGCGGTACATGTCTTACTTTTTGGGCAGCCTGACCATCATCGTCGGCGTCCTCTGTCTGTTCCTGCTCGGCACGCCCTCCGAGGTTCGCTGGCTGTCGGAAGAGGAGAGGAAAATGGCCAATGCTCGGATTCTGAGCAACAACACGGGACATGATCGCACCGGCATCAGAAAGTGGCAGTGGAAGCAAGCCCGCGAATGTCTAGTCGACCCGTGCTTCTGGTTTGCTGGAGTCAATGCTTTTCTCAGCTCGGTTCCCAATGGAGGGCTTACCACGTTTGGATCCATTATCAACACGACATTTGGCTTTACCAACCTGCAGGTCATTTTGCTCGACATTCCCCGAAGCACCTTTTCCGTGCTCTGGTTTGTGTTTATTGGTGTCATGACGAGCCGCAAAAAGGACCTTCGCATGTATGTCTTACGACACTCCTTCCAAAAGAAATATACTAACCATGGATTAGGTGGTTCATGATGTTTTCGACGCTTCCGCCTTTTTGCGGATTTCTCATGATGGCCCTGCTACCCAACGAGGCACATTACAAGTGGGTGAAATGGGGTGGCTATTTTAGTAAGAAGATTCCGACACTCCCAATTTTCGAAAATTAGCTGCTAACCTCTTGTTTCTCAGTGACTGTCCCGTTTGTCGTATCCCTCTTCTTGGCCTGGACGTTGATCCCGTCCAACACTGCCGGACGAACCAAGCGAACGCTGACCTCATCCTTTACGTTTGTCGGGTACTGTGTGGGCAACATGACGGGAAGCCAAATCTTCAAGTCGCAAGATGCCGTAAGTAAAATAGCCTTGATCATGTCCAAGGCATGGCAAAACTGACAATTTCATTTAGCCAAGGTATATTTCGGGCACCACTGCTTGCGCCGTGTGTTTTGGTCTCGAATTTCTTCTCATTGCTAGTTGGCGCACACTGTATGTTGTCAGAAACAAGCGTCGCGACCGCAAGCTACAAGAAGAAGGTATCTCGGAGGAGGAAAGAGTCAAGAGAGGACAGGTTTTGGGAGAGCAGGATTGTACTGATTTTGAAAATCCCTACGTAAGTTGTCTTGACAAGGGTAGGCAGAATGGCCATGGGTTCCAACACTGACACGATTCCAGTTTCGCTACACAATGTAGTCCTTGCAGAGAATTTCCAACGTGGACCATGGTAAAACGGTAATCAGACTCTCTTCATACTGTGAGGGAGTGTATTCAGCCGAGACATGCCGGGCCTGTTTACATGGATACGGCCAATGCCAAGAGTATAATCTTGACCCACGTACTTGATCGGTTTCGGAAGCATTGCGGAGGGATAAGGACAGATACGTAGTAGAATGATACCTTGTCTTGGAATATGGTCACCTGCGATAGGTATCTGGCGATGAACCGATCTTGCATTGTGGAGTCTTTTGGGCTTGGGCGCAGCCGATTTCATAAACTAGGTTGATCGGCATGTGTATCCACTGCCGACAACAAGTGTCATGAATGCGCCACAATGTTGCCAAGCGGCATCTTTGCTGGACTCGTCAGCCTTGGATCTGACCTCACTGCCAGAGGCATGATTTGAACCATGGACGTGATGCCTGTAGCTTGATCAATCTTTGTTGTGTAATGGCAATTCTCTTATTTGTCAAGTGGAAGAAAGAAGAATGGTTGGCAGATGACTACCTAACCTAGTATAGTATATGGGTTGGATGGAGCGCAAAATAAGGCGCTGAAGGCCCACCGAGGTAGATCATATATGCACTAATTCTAGGATCCTGACCCAAAAGCCAGCCAACCAGGCCATTGACAATTCATTTGATCCTTTTTCGACAGGTTTTCATGACCCAAAATACCAAAGCCTGCGTTGTGATTCGATGTCCTCTTGATTCATGGTCGCTGGAAATAACCGTCATTATGCTGTGGCGCTCAGCAGCTCAGTGTAAGCCCTTGTACCATGTAAATCTAGCTTGCTAGCCTAGTATACACTCTGTACAGCCGCAGTGGGTGGGTATCTGCAGGTGCGTATTCGCTTGTCTAGGTACTAAATTCCCCGGCGTATTTGACATCTGTCACTGCTTATTACCTGACTGGGCCATGATTCTCGGCAATCTCACGCTAGATGACTCTGAATACGCGTGTGTGCTGCTTTTGGCATTGTATTTGTTTATAGTAATCATCCACATTTGCGTATAGCATCCTACCATTATTCATGACAAATTATTCTTTAGCTATTCATTGAGCGGAATGTCGCTAGGCATACTCCAAGGAACAGATATCTGGCGAATACGCAACTTTTGGAGATGACCTCTCTCCTGGCCGAATAGACAACATATATAGTTTTCCTTATATATAGCTACTTACAACGTGCCAATAGATTTGTGACTACTTCCAAGCAACAAGCACTCGAGACTCATATTCAGATCAAGACTTGAAACATCACAACATTGACTTCAAAGTTATTACAAAACACAAGAAACGATGAAGACGACGCATATCCTTAGTCTAGCATTGTTCTCTGCACTGGGCAAAGCTTCTTACCCAGCAAGCGAACCAAAGGGCCATCACTTTGTGGCACCCAAGGCCGACGATAGTGAGTTGGAACCCAGAACCTTTTGATAATATCCACATACTCACCTGGTTTAGGCCGCTCACCCTGTCCCGGGCTCAACGCACTCGCAAACCATGGCTTCCTTCCGCGATCCGGCAAAAACATTGATCTGATCATGGTCCAGACGGCCGCGGCTGAGGCGCACAATTTCCGAACCGACGTCTTGACCACGGCCTTTCAGCAAGCCGTCGACTTTAAGCTCTCGACGACGGGCAACTACTCGACCATCAACCTCGAGGACCTCAAGAAGCACGACACCATCGAGATTGACGGGTCCCTGTCGCGCAACGACTTCTACTTTGGCGACGACTTGCACTTTGACCCCCTCATCTGGGCCACCGTGGCCAAGAGCCTCAGCCTCTACAACCTCTCGGGCGAGGGCGGCCTGTATATCACCGTGGAAATGGCCGCCCGCGCCCGCGCCGCCCGTGTCGCTGATGCCATCAAGGCCAACCCGACGTTTAATGCTTCGGAAAATGAGCAACAGGGATCCCCGGGCACCACTGCTCTCTGGTTGACCACGCTGTGGGATCATTCTTTAAATAAGACGCACAAGGACTGGACAAGCTCGTGGTTTGGTAAGTTTTCTTTTCTTTTTCTTTTTTCCTCCTTTTTCTTTCCTCCTTTTTCTTTCCTCTTTTTTCTTTCCTCTTTTTCTTTCCTCTTTTTCTTTCCTCTTTTTCTTTCCTCTTTTTCTTTCCTCTTTTTCTTTCCTCTTTTTCTTTCCTTTTTTTTTCCCTGCTTTTTAAAATAAAGGGCAAACCCGGATGCTCGAGTATTAGGTATTCGCGCTAACTCGTGACCCAGAATTTGAACGCATTCCATACCTGCTGGGATACAAGAAGCCTTCTGTTCAGACGACCCCAATGTTCCTTGGAGCCATGGTCCAGGCAATCAAAAGTGTCCCTGTTTAGTCGTATCATCTGGCAGTGCGGGTGCCAGTCCTCAATGGCTTTCACAAGGATATATCTATCTGCAGTATAGATAGACCCAGGGTCCTTTTGGCCGCCGTTGGGATTATAGGCTGTGTGGCTCGATTTTTCAGTATTTGTGGAAATGATGTAGATACGGACTACCTTGTATCAAGATCAATCCCCGTCTTTTATACACCTGATCCCAAATTTGCGAGTGTCGCCATCATTCCACCAACCCATGATAAACTTTGGCTCCGTACTCTGAGTCTCTTGACCATTTTCATCAGAAGCATGAAGCGCCGTGTATTGCTTGTGCTTTTTCTTCTTTCCCACCTGCTTGTTGACCATGGCTGCAGTCGTATTTCTGCTCAGGTTCCCATCCACAACAAGAGTCATTGTCCCGGCAATCGAACACGGGTTATGAGGTAGTACTTTGCCAAAGTCCATCAATGAGCGCATCAAAACAACTCCAAGTGACATCAAGCCTAGCATAATTTGCAATATCACCTTGGACAAAGCGTTTTGCTTCAATCTCTGAGGTGATGCCGAGTCTATTGCTTCGAAATCGGCATTGTAAAATACTGATACTGAGTCTGTATTCTCTGCTCTGGCTCTAGGGCGGCTCCCAGGGGCCGTGGTGGAATTTGAAACTGGTGTCGAGGCGGTGAAACCCTGCTCAGATCGCATATTCTGAGATAATGATTGTGCTAGCAATCTCCCCCAGAGTCCTCGAGCTTGTTGCATCAGTGCCCCAGTCTTATTCTCGCCCGAAATCTGTTCCAGTGGAACCTTGTACTTTCCATCCAAGAGAGCCAGGATGAACGGATCGAAGCACGTGTCGTTTTGACAGTAACCGTACCTTGTGTAAGAGTCATTAGTGTTGGTCAGACTGCCCCAGTTACCAGGGTCCGCGTAAGGGTCCGAATAGTCCCATCCCCAGGCTGGATTTCCCGTAGTGGGATTATTCAGCCATCTAGACGAGTTTTCATGTATGATGGGAGGTTCTTGATCGGAAAGCTCCATTTCGGGCCAAGCAAAGGTCGCATCCACAGATAATTGTTCGAACTTGGATCGGCAGAGCAACACTCCAATATCAACATCTGTTGGAACCCACCCCGAGTCTGACCCCCATTCTGATTCTCTTTCCCACCCATCTTCAGTGCCCACATGCATTGCAGTGGCTTGACCAAGAACTATAGCAATTGATGGGCATTCAAGTGAGGGGCGCAAGTTCTCGGTCGCGACGCTGCCAAACGAGGGGATGGCGGCCGCTTTTCCGAATGAGCTTGGCGTTGAGTCATTCTTTAACAAGAAATTCAGCATCCAAGGCATCTGTGTGATGCTGCTGCTGCTGTTGACGCTGGCTTGATCACATAAGCGGTCGTCAGGTAGGCTCCCACGAATACTGAGGATTGGTCCCATGCCTATGGGTACATTACTTTCCGTATATCCGGTGATTGAGATGTTCAGGTGTGACGGCGGTACCGCAGTACAGTTGAGATCACCGCGAATTCCCGGTAGTCCGCTTCTGATGGTGCCGTTATTCACCTCGCCAAGGGAAGAACGATCCTTTACCTGGAGACGTGGCAGAGCAATAGATTCGTAGGTCCAGCTGGGATACTTTAGCTCATAATATGTCGTCAACTTGGTTAATAGGCCCGTATTTGGGTTTGCGAACGATAACGCGTCACTAATGTTGAACCTATCCAGCCTCCGCAGCGTAATGCCAGCATGAACTGGGGCCTCTACCGTGCTATAGAGGCCAGACAGCACTATCGTAAGAACAGACGCAATAAGCTGTGCCAAAGTAATGATCGACAGACCAAAGTGCTTGTTCTTGAGTGACGAGTATCCCAGCTGCGGGCCAGTCTGGTTTATATAGGTAACGGCGACTGAGCTCGAAAAGTGTGATGGTCGTTTGGCCAAGCCGACGTACGGTGCGAATACAGCACACGCCGATACCATGCTTGCAAACATGGCTCCGACTAATAGAGAGATGATGGACGGGATATAATTTGCCATTGCCTCACCCCATCGAGATCCAATCTCCACAAATCCGTTTTTCTCATCAGACTGTCTTTGGTACAGCTCGAGAAGTAAAATAAACAGTAGAGGTAGGATAAAAGAGGCGAATAAAAACCAGTCCTGGATCCCCAAAGGTTTCCACCATTGAAGTTCAGTTTTCATAACTGTCCTCGAATTCACAAGTGCTGTATATTTTTCTGTGGCTGTGTTGATTGTGAGCTTTCCTGCTTTTCCTTCCCGAGAGCCAGTACTGGTGAAGAGATAAGGTGCAATCGCCCCTCGGATGGTCTCGTCGGGAACATGTCCGAGATTTTGAAGGATCTCTGCGGCGTCCGATGTCAGATCTAATGAGTTGACCATTGCGAGTACAGAGCCAGGTTTTGAAGCTACAACACTCCTTGGGGCCAAAAATACCAAGCCAAAACTGATGGCAGCCAAAATTCCAAATGCAGAGCACATTATTGCCGTTGAGAGCATTGTGACATGTAATCTGTTTTGCGTGAACATAACCGCTCCTCTGATTTCTTGTTTCTTATCCGATTTGTTTGAAATCATTTCATAAGCAAGCTTGGCTGCTATTCCATTAAAAACTTGCAAGAAGCTATCTTGCAGTAATTCGGCGTCCATGAATTGATGCATGGACGACACGTTGGAGTGCAGCTTCATAAGCCCGAAGAAAAGCGGAGTAAGAAAATATTCTTCGCTGTTAGGAACCACAGTGTTGACTTGTTCAGCAGTTCTCATGACGGCATGCGCGATAGCACCCTGCGAGAAACCCAAATCATCTTGCGTGGGGTGCCTGGCGGTCTGGAGACTCTCTACACGTGCTGTTTTGGAGGCGCCATCATAGAAGGTTGAGTAGTTGCCCCAAGTATATGACGGTTTACAGAGCATAGCTGTTATGTTTTTCAGAACAAATGTCCCATTGTCCGCAGAATTGACCTCTGATACCGTTGATAAGACACGATTATCATTGGTTGTGTTGTACCATGCGGTACTTGAGACATTGACAAGCGGCCCATAGCCAGACCCGGCCGAATTGATGTCGCGATAGTTGTATGGAAGATTGCACGCATAAGAGTCAATCCTGGCTTGATAATCAGATATTGAATCGTCGCCATCATAAAAGGCAATATCAGCCACAATGGCCTCCGTGATAAGACAGTCCGGAGTGATGACATTTATCGTAAAGTAGCGATCTTGAGAGTAATTTGCATAACCAAGAGTGCTGGGCGGTGGTCTTTTTGGAGCTTGTGTAGAAGTGTCGATGTCAAGGATCTCGCATCTCGTGTCGAAGCCCAGTCCGGCGACTGTGGCCCATATCTTGGCGTTTGAGGGGATACTTTGGGTATCAGCTTGTATTGTCGGTGATGGTACACAAGCGTCTGAGAAAGCCCCCAAAGGCTCTGCAAGATTGCCAAAATTGACAGCATAGTACATGTTTGTTGCGAACGGGCCAACACTGTCCAGTTTGAAGGATTCCGTGTCGAAGGTAGGAACTGACATTGGGACATTGATAAACTCCATCTCGGTCGGGCTTAGGACAAAGAGGGCAGTGGAAAATGCGGTAGTGAGTAAGATGAGAAAACGACCGGCGACGGTCATGACTACGGCCCAGTGGCGGTTCCGCAAACCACGCCAAATAATGGTGGTAGATAATGGGGAAATGTAATCCAGTAGGAGCGTAACCTCTGCAGGTTTGGGCCCCTGCCGAAGTTCTTGCCAAGGTACCAGAGATCTGACGGAAAGGTCGATGCTATACCACAGATAGAGAATTACAGTCAGAACTTTTTAGGTCAAGTTGCATTAGCAAACAATGTATACGTGTGGCCAGACTCATCATGACTCACCTGCTGTTGGACCGTATTTCCAGCCATAATGTCTTGTCTCATCTTCCGCACTTAGACCATTATTTTGAACCGATGTATGGTATAATAGTGCAGTTACAAGCATACATATTAAAAATGTTGCTGACAGTGACAGCAGCACTGGTGGTTGAAGACAAAGGGGTTGCCATGGTTCTGCTATCCATGTCTCTTCCTTTCCGTTTGGTGAAGCATCAAGGGATGATTGTTGTGCCAAAGCCTGACTTTTGGTGCCCCGAGTGGAATCGGTGATGTCTGTTCCATTTATTTGTGAGTCCTGATAGCCGTTCTGATGCAGCGACGCAGCTTTCGGTGGCCCAGTTGGCCCACGTCTTGGTGCCTCGACATATTCTGTATTGTCGATATCCTGTTCAGTCATGTGATGGTGAGCATCCATTCAGATCTACGGGGCAGAAAGACACCTCATACGCACAGTGTAGGAAAGATTGTGCCCATTCCCATCATATCTTGGACTGGATTCTATTGTCTCCTCTGTGTAAAATTGTTGATCACAATACTGTTCAAAGCTGGTTTCTGAGCGCCCAAGTCGAGTAGGACTTATAGTCGAGACTGGAGAGACTGAGTCGGGAGGTAGAAGCGTGCGGCTTAGGGCTCGATCTTCTGTTGGCGTTGGCATGATGATCCCGCTTCATGCAACGGACCCTCCGAGGTCAGGTCGACTGGACTGGCTATGAGTAGAGAATACTCTCAAGGTAGAGGAAAGTCGACGATATATCCACATGCAAGGCTACTTTCCCGCCCCTTTATTGCATTGACATGGCGGCCGCCTTGATGCCATGCTCCCGATCTTGGCATTCCCAATGGGTATCTTTTGCATCCTTATCTGCTTGGCAAATCCTCGTGCCTCGAATGTAAACATGACTGGTAAGCACTGCAAGTGGGTAGCGTTGGGGGCTATACTATGTACTGCGTGCAAATGAGGTAGCAGCGGGCCTTTGCAGGCATCGCAGGCCTGTTACTTGCAGTGGATACTTGGCCGCTTTCGATGAAAAAAAAGAAAAAAGATTGTCAGTCACCACCAAGTACATAAATCGCAAGACGACGACCAATTATTTTATTTTTGTACTTGAATCCATCACTTGGCATACTCCAATGGCCTAGGTAATAGCTTGCCTACCCGCTTACAATACTTGCACTTCACCTGCTAGCGATGATAGTGGAGCGCCAGAAGGGCCTGTCATTGCATTTTATTCCACTGAACGGCCGTGATGGTAGCCGCCAACCAATTGCAGATGTCCGCAATGATGAAGGATTGCATACCTAGTACTAATAGTTTAATCTCCCCAGCATCTACCCAACTTGTTGTCTGTGTTGAGATCATGACCGTTTTTCATTGGAGTTTCATTGGAGTCGGACTTGCATGATTATGCAAAGAAATAAAAGGCCGCGAGATATGATAGACGGCAGACAGTCAGTCATGTTTTCCCATAGCGATTCGGACAACCATTGTCACGAGATGGGGCTTTTCTACAAGTCATATGAATGCTGAAATCCTCCCGCACTGTATTTATTTATTTTATTTTTTTCCACAAGGTTACCCTGCGGATACCTGGACCACTCTAATAGGACCAGCAAGGCAGAAAACCAAAGGCGATAGCGCAAAAGGCCCATGGCAAGATGGGAAGAAGACGATATATATAATCCGGCCTTGTAAAAGCCAATTCCCAGGACAAGAACCCAAGAACCCAAAGATAGACAATCTGTTTCATTCCAAATTGCGGGAGAGAATGGATCAATTACCTGGTTCCTGGTAAATATTGCACAGCCCCCCTGGAAGCCTAAAGCCAATGTGGAGCGGAGTTACAGGGTCTTGCAAGGTAACCTAGTAACCTTGATGGTTTATTTCCGTTGACCGTTGGCGCCTCGTTGGTGCAACTCTTTTACTGGTAGAGAGGATCAAAAGGTCCTGTTTCGCACATCACTTCTGAAAAAGGATCTGCGGGTTCAAGACACTTGAAAGAGCTGTCACTGTTTGGCCCTCGTGTCCTGTAAGAAATTACCTGGCTTGTTGCTTTCAATGTGTAACCAATGATTGAGCGGGAGCAGTCCTCGTGAGTGGTTGAATTCAACAGCAACAAAAGAAATGCGCTTACGTCACTTTACTCACAGGGTCTCTTGGAAAAACGTATGAATTAACTCTAAATTATCGCTTATCTGGGTAGCGTGACAAATAATTCCCGGTCCTTTGGGAGATTTGGAATTCCATTCCACTAAGAATGTGGCTGAGAGGCACTCGGTTTGGTTTTCGCTGTGCCTGCTGTGCCTATGCCCAGACTCCAAAAGCTGACGTGATGCTTCTCGTCGGTGTTCGTGTCAGTGTCGGCATCGGCCTTCAGCTCCAAAGTCCAAGGTGGGGCAGGGGAATCGTAGAGTAGAGTTATAAGTAGGTACCTACCTACATACTTATTCATAACATTGTGCCGTGGATACTGGAGACAATCACTTCCCAACCAAGTCTTGCATTTATTAGGCGAGTGTAACCTCCACATATATGAGAACAGGCAAACTTCTGGAGTTCATATAACATCACTCATTCGCTTTGACTAAAAGAAACTGGACATGAACAACACTGAAGCAAAGCAAAAATCAACATTTAGACCGCGTCGACCGCACAAAAAGTCGAGGAATGGTTGTCTAAGATGCAAAAAGGAGAAGCGCAAGGTACGTGGACGACTTGGGCTAGTTTGGTACAGCTTGATGCTGATATAATGCATTGGCGCTTTAGTGTGACGAGCTCCAGCCCCGATGTTCGCGATGTGAGAAGCGAAATGTTACGTGTGTGAAGCCAGAGGGCAAAGAGAAACACGTCAAGGAGTGTGAAAAGCGTTATGCGACACTGTCGCATCTTATACAACAATGCAACAACAACAACAACAACAACAGCAGCAGCAGCCATGATGATATCGACACGCAGTCCGAACCGAGGAAGGACTTGTTGTTGTTGGACCCGGTAGAATCGGAGCTGTTCAACCATTACCTAGAACACACCGCCCGGAGCGTTGCCGCCGACAGCGCAGACCTGTACGCGCTCACCACTGGCATCAAGAGGCTGGTTTCCGACAGCAAGATCATCATGCACTCGGTCCTGGCCCTCGCCGCCATCCACAAGTGCTCCACCATGCTTTCGGACCCCGTCCAGAAGCAGCTTGCTGCATCTGGACGGGGACGGCGGGACAAGCACGCCGGCGTCACCCATCTCCTGCACGCCGCCGAACAGTACCACCGCCAGGTCCTCCACCAGGCCCGGGGCGACGTCAAGCACATGCGGCGTTATGATCACGTCATGGTGAATGCTGCGCTCATGGTCCTCTACAGCTGCGCCAACCACAGCGTCCGCATCAGCCTGATGACGGAGACGGCGGGAGGAGCCGACGACGCCTGCAGCATGCCTGGGAGTTTTCGGCCCGGGGATTTGCAGTGGATGTCCATGATTCGTGCCATTCAGTCGGCATATTCTGGATTGTCAAATTCGAGAGCGGCGTGTTTGGACGAAAACAATTTCCACAGCCCGTCAGATGAGCAACCCTACTACTGCATGGATATGCCTCGCAGTCTGTTTGATGAACTCGACCTTTGCGGGGTGTCGGGTCCAATCATGAGGACTCGGCGGTTATTTCTCCCCATAGTGGCAGCGACTTGGAACGGGGCGCTCGACAGACTCGACGCCGCCGTCGAGCGCAGCCGCATCAGCGAGCTGCGGGAGACCGCGTCCGTTTCCGAATATCAAATGTGCACCAGCGCCATGCGTCTCCTGCGCGACATATTCCTAGAGGTCTTTACGGCCAAGCCCTCGTCACAAGCCTCATCTCCCGACTCGTCGTCGAGCGAAGGCGCCAGCAGCAGCTCCGAGGGGCCCTCCAAGGCCGATGAGATTGCAAAACTCGAGCCTTGGCTGCGCGACTACCTGGCGCGCGTCACTTCCAAGGCACCCCGTCAACCTCTGAGGCGGGCCATCATGGCGTTTGTGCATCGGCTGCCCAGCGGATACACGGAGCTTGTGCAAAATGCCATTGACGTCACCTCGCGGAGCCCCGACGGCCAAGATGACGCGACGGACGATGACCAATGCAGCATTGAAAGGCTCAGTTTACAGAGGCTGGCAGTTGATATATTTGCCCACTGGCTCGTGCTCGTCATGTTGCTCGACGGCATCTGGTGGATTGGCGAGATTGGCACCTGGGAACTCAAGCAAGCTATATCAGCAATGGCCATCTTGAACCGCCTTGATGGTTCTCAGTATCTGTGTGGCTGGTGGCCTTCAAGCATGTATAATACCAAGCTTGAGATTGACCAGCATGAAGTCAGAGATCTAGATTAATGTATCAGGCCGTCTAGAAGTAGATAGAATAAAAAGTACATAATCATGGCGTCTTAGACATCCCTATAAGATATCCCCAATGGTGTGAGGTTCCCATCACTGTCCAGCATTGCCGCCCACTTTCCTACAGTACCCGTGTCAGGCGTAGGGGCAAACCACGCATATCGCTCCACCCAGTCGAGCGTATCAAGATATGCGACGCTGTCCCTGGCGAAACCTTCAACATAATCCTCTGGTAGGGGATTGTCTACATTCCAGTTTGTGCAGGCAAACTCGGTGATCCATACGGGCTTGGTCGGACCGAGTTGGTGATAGGTGCTCCAAATATAGTCGTAGAATTGTCCCAGCGTCTCGCCGTACCAGTGAAGACAGTAAAAGTCGACATCGCTTCCCTGCGCCTGAATGTTTGCAATGAACTGTTGGAGCCAGACAACGCCCTGCGGAGCAGAAGATATGGCTGGACTTCCAGCTCGTATGCCGGCTTGTCGCAAGGGCTCAATGTATTGCACCCAGACACTGGCAGCTAGTTCTACTGGCATGTTCGACTGGTCCGGAAGTTCTGGTTCGTTGAAGCCTAGTACGGTATGTGCACCAGCTTGAGCTATCTTGTCGGCGAGCTGATCGATATAGACATGATTCCACTGCATGGGAACAAACTCGAGCATGCCGGATGTGGTATTGGGCTGAGGGTTGGGGCTCCAGTTGTACAGCCAAGTGATCTTGGAGCCAGGTTTCGTAAAAGGAAAGACTGGGTCCTTGTTATCAATGGGCCAGCAGAGACCGCGTTTTGACATTCCAGGAGCTGGTGGTGGCGGAGGACGCGGCCTTGGTGCAACCGGGGCTCGGCTTGGAAACTCATTGACAACTTGTCGCATGGCCTCTGGAGGGTTGTTCGTGCTTACACAGCCACCCGTGCCATTGACAACATGGGTGATTTCGCTTCCAGGTGTACCATTCAGCCAGACGGTCGTCAAATGATGCAGCTTCACGCCATCAGTCTTTGGTGTTTCAATCGCATTCTCGACCTTGACGGGAGCGTCGCGAAAGTACGAATAGACACCCAAGCCCCAAGCCTCGTGGGTTGTCACGTGGTCTGCAACCTTGTACGATGCGTATCCGTTTCTCTGCCCACCATTTGACTTCCAGCACTCTTGATTTGGTGGATCGTAAGGAATTTCGGACTGGTAAAAGTATACCCTCCCGCCGTTGCCATTCCACAAGGTCTGATATTCCTTGTGATGCTCATTGAACAACCCGTATATCGTCACATCGTCTCCATTGACCACGATACCATTCTTTGAAGGATTCGAGTCCCATCCTGCGCCAGGCCCATGATCTGCACGCCAGAGCCAGAGTTGGTCACAAACAGTATCGTGACTATGGATCATTATCCCAACGTCGTTTCTACCCGCCTGCCGTCCAGCCGTACGGACAGTCAAGTCATGCAAGAATGTTGGGTTGGAAGCGTGTCTCGTAGATGAACCTGGGTGGCCGATCTCTAGTAGTGCCGGGCTATTCACAGTTCCTGCGTCAATGATGAGGCCAGCAATGGTGACACCGTCGACATCTGCTACGCGAATGGCTGCGTTGCCATGAGTAGGAATAAGTGAAGGTAGACCGAGGCCTAGAATTATGGTATCTGGCCTCGTAACCTCAATCGCCCTGTCCAAATGATACACGCCAGGAGTGAAGATGACATGTTTTCCTGATTGTAGCGCCGAGTTTACGCTAGAAGCATTTGCCGTTGGCGGTTGTGCAATGTAAAAGTTGGAAATGGGTATGGACTGTCCGGGAGTGGCGCCGCGTTCCCAGCTCGGTCCCTGCGTGTCCATCTGAAGGGCAGGTACAAAGACGGCGTATTGGCCATCTGGCATGATATAAAGATAGGGCTTTTCGCGAACGACGGGAGTGCGGTCTATGGTAGTATACGGCTCTTTGGGATAATTGGCTTCACTGGGTGCGTTGTGGTTACCCACAAATACCATATTCCAGACGCCGTTGGCCCAGGAGCCCCATCGACTGTTTCGAGAGAACCATTGCTGCTGAGATCCAGGTAGCACTTGGCCATCAATGACCGAGTCGGCCATGTAACCGCCACTGGCCCAACCGCCAGCGCCGGTGGCGGGATCGACCTGGAATAACCACAAACCGTTACGGCTTTTGATATGCAGCCTTCGCAGAGGCGCTGCCTACATCCGTGCAATACTCAGGTCAGTATGCAACAAAAACCGACCGACTCTGGCATTTATGACTGACCTGTGACACGGCTATCGTGGTGGTGCAGTTGGTAGCCTCTGAGGCATTTATAGCCAGGTTCTCAAATGAGCGCCAAAAGTTGCACGTAGCATTACGGTTTGGCATCCAGTAGGCAGGCACATTGGCACCGCCCTCGATGAGTACATCGTCGGGATTCTGGCCCAGTCCGGCCACGTGAGTATAGAAACCAACGTCAAAGAGTACCCTGTAGGTGCCCGGCTTGAATAGTAGAGCGTAGCCCTCGGCGCAAAACTCGTTTGCCTCCATCTGCTTGAAGATGGAATTTGCCTTGGCTTGTATGGCCTCTGCAGGCATGGTATCGTCAAAGACGTGGACGTACGGCCCAAAGATGGTACCATTGGAGTGATCTGTCGGCTCGTGGGAAGCCATGGTAAGGTAGCGCCGTGTCATGACACGACTTGACAGAATTCTGTAATACAGAGAGAACTCCCGTGAGATTATCAAAACTTCAAAGAGAGAGAGAGAGAGAGTACACCAAAAAAAAAAAAAGAGTGTTGTTCATTGATGAATGGATCTGCAATGAGCTGAATTGGGTCAAACTGGGCTAAAGCGAGACGAGCCCCCACGTCATTCTCCTAGGTTGGAGAGTATGCTCAAGTGGGCGGCGGCACAAAGCCCTCTGATTGGCCGCCCTTCTGAGTACCATGTCTGATTGTCAACCGAGGCTTCTACAGGTCATCATTATTAAAGTAAGACTTGCCCTTTTCCGCGTGATTGGTTTTCTTTGGATTTTTCCCATCATATCAAACTTTGTCCGTGTCTCGAGATACTGCCGCGAGTACGAGTCTCTGTTTCATCATGAACGACGGGAATCACGAGGCCAAAGTGTTGCCGCCTCTACCTCTCCCCGCGGGGGTATCGGAGGCTTACATTGACTGTACGTCGTCCTGCGGTCTCAACTTTCACGTTTTGCAGGCCGGAGACCCCACAAAGCCCTTGGTCCTCTTTTGCCACGGGTATCCAGAGCTGGCCTTTTCATGGCGCAAAGTCTTGCCCGAGGTCGCCAAGGGCGGCTACTATTGCGTCGCCATGGACCAGCGAGGGTACGGCCGAACCACGGGCTGGCCAAACAGCAAATACCACGACGTTGATCTCAATGACTATGTCTTGACCAACCTCGTGAGGGATCTGGTTTGCCTCGTCTACGGCCTCGGATACACCGAGGTGCACAGCATCATCGGCCACGATTTCGGCGCCGTGAGCTCGGCCATGGCTGCGCTGATGCGTCCTGATGTTTTCAAATCGACAGTTCAACTCAGTCACCCTCATCATGCACCGCCAGTCCCTAGTCTCGGAAACGAACCTCCAAAGAAAAAGGTTGATATCCAAGCCGAGCTGGCCAAGCTCGATCCGCCGCGCAAGCATTACAAGTGGTACAACTCAAATCCCAGCGCAGCAGATGACTGGAACAATCCACCCCAAGGGCTGGAAAAGTATCTACGAGGTTACTTCCACCTCAAGTCGGCGGATTGGGACAAGAATGATCCTCACCCGCTCAGCAAGTGGGGAGCCAAAGACCTCGAAGTGATGCCAGAGTACTATATCATGCAAAAAGATCACACACTGCCAGCCTCGATTGCGGAGAACATGGAGGGCGAGGACTATTCCAAGACGGAGAAATGGCTTTCCGAGGCGGACTTGCGCGTCTATTGTGACGAATGGAGGCGAACCGGCTTTCAAGGAGCACTCAACTGGTACCGAGCGCAGACTGCATCAACGCCACAATCCGCAAAAGACATGCTTCTTTATGCAGGACGGCGTATCGAGGTTCCATGCACATTCATTAGTGGTAAGCAAGACTGGGGCAATTACCAGCAGCCCGGGGCATTTGAGGGTTACAAAGACCCAAAAACTGTAAAGACGGGGTGCTACAGAGGCTCCGTGTTGATTGATAGAGCTGGTCATTGGGTTCAGCAGGAACAGCCAGAAAAAGTCGTACAGGCAATTGGTGACTTTCTCAAGACGTTGCAATAGTGCACATTTGACAGTCAGAGTAATACTAAGATTCTTTCTATTGGTTATCAAGGCTAAAGCTAGAATGCATCTCCGACAATGACAGGCAGGATACTCGTTGCACTAGGAGGCTTGATCCTTTTACTATCATGGGAGACTCGAGAAGTATCGAAGATTGACTGTATTCGTCTGTATGGCCGCCTTGATCTTTGGACCAACATCGACCAACTTTGTTTACTGAACCGCATCAGTGGTCTCTCCGGAACCACGAGCTTCCAAGGTTTGCTGAATACGCTGACTTGGAAGCCATTGTTCAGCGGGAATGATCCACCACGAGATCAGTGCCAAGATTGTTGTCGCGCCCATGATGACTGGAGCATAGTTGAACGTGTCCGCTGCGACCGGCCAGGCGTACGGCGAGAATAAGACAGCCACGACCCAAGCGTTCCAGACCACTGCAATTGCTTGAAATGGTTTGCTGAGCCTGCCAAGGCTCCAAGCCGGCTTGGGAAACGTTTTTGGCGTGAGAAGGAGGCGTCCAAGACAAATGAGGCCATATGCTGCTGCAGATGGCACACCGGCGGCGGAAACCAAAGACGTGAATGCTACAGAGGACGGCAGAATTGTGCATGTTATGACGGATGCCACCCCCCAAACCACAAGGACTGCATTTCGAGGCTGCCCGTCAACGACCTTGGAAACCCAACTAGACCAGGGTAAAACACCATCACGGGCGACGGCAAAGACTAGACGAGACGCTGCAAGGACAGCGATGGCGGTATTGAACCAAAGTGCTGCAATGCAGATAATGTTCATGAAAATGTGGCCGCCATCTCCTAGAATAGCGGCATAAAGTGGCACAAACGGTTGCGGTGAGCCAAAGGAGAAGAACGTGTCGGCATCAGGCTGAAAAGGTCAGATGGATCGACAAGCAGGGGAACGGGGAATGTCCATACCACACAGAACAAGAAGAGAATGACTACGATGAATCCGCCAATACCACTGACAATTGTGCTCCAAAAGATACCGCGAGCTGCTGTTACTGCTGCGTTCTTTGTTTCTTCCGCCACGTGTCCAGAAGCATCAAACCCAATTAGGATTCCAGCAGTGGCCAAGAATGAGAGACACCAATTCCAGGCATCGGGGGCACCAGTTCCATTGTATGTAGTCAAAAAGGCATCATGGGCCGATCTGAACCCAATAGTCCGGCTAGTAGCCACCGGCAGCCAAATCATGTTCAAGAGAAAGTCGAGAACAACGAAAGAGGTCGACAGGTAGAATATCCATTTGAAATATCGTGCTAGAATGGTCAGCTAGAATACAAGCAATATCTGCTGCTAAACGTGATACTTACGAGGTAGTAGATTCCATATAGCGGCCAAAGCCAGCATGACTTCGGTCAAGATCCATTGGACAGCACGAAACTTGACATCGGTCGTGTCCGTGGGGAAATCTATGTCAAAAACAACAATTTCCTAGCAAATTTTGTGTGAGATTTAGTCTTGGCAATGGCTCAACACGTGTGTACACTTACCGATAGCATATAGTTGACGGCGCCCTGAGTATTACCTATAGCAGATGGTTAGTAGATACAAAGTATGAAGGTTGCTTATAGCACTCACTCGCGCAGAATGTCGTCCATGCTGTTGTGCTCCACCATGCGACGACAAAACCAAACAGTCTGCCGTATCGAGGTCCGCCAGCCTCGGCAGCCCAGAGGTAGATGGATCCAGCCAGCGGAAGAGACGAGCATATTTCGGCTATGACGGCAGCGGTTATGAATGTGAATACACATGTGATAATGAAACTCGTCCTGTATTGGCGGTCAGTGGTGCACAAGTGAGAGAGGTTTGTCAAGTTGTAGTACCAGTAGGCTAGATTACCGCCAGCCGCTATTCCGGTTGCGAAAGTGACTCGAACACCACCGATAAAATAGAGGGCAGCTATACCGTCTCGTTAGTCCATCATCCAAGATTAGAGTAAAAGACGGCGTACCAAAGGTGGTTGCAAAGTTGTGAAACAGATTAAACGATCGGTGCAGGACCTGAGGCAGAAATTTATTAGGACGACCGACTAGCAAGTTTTACACATATGGTGACTGCTTACAGGTTTATAGCCTAGATTTTCCTATCGCGACATGAGTATGATACACTTAAGAAAAAAAAAAGCATTACATTGTCGTAAACTTACCAGGATTTTGGCATCTTGAGTGTTGCCAGTGGGCTCGACTGAGCTTTCCAGCGGCGTTTTGTCGGTGGAATCCTCAACCACTCCATGTTGAACCATTGTGGCAGAGGTCACGCGGCTGATTTCCGGATGCCGCTGTGTCGACGAGCCTCGTTGCCCGGCTGATATCAGTGCCGTTGTTTCGTTTGGACGTTTGTGGACCATTTGAATCTGACTCGTCAGGGAAACATCAGCCAAGAAAAGAAAGAAAGAGAGAGAGGCGGTCGGTGTGGTGATTAAGTAGGTCGGCAGCAGCAGCAGCAGGCAAGTAGGGTCGCAAGAACCTGTGCGACCATACAATACCTTCTAGGTTACCTAAGGTAGACTAGACTTAGGCCTTGTATGTCCCCCGTGGTCGGCGGGCTGGAGGGCTAAAACCTCTTAGCCGCATCCAGTAAGCCTCAAACCAGCACGTCATGGTGCCCAGGTCATTGTTAATTCCAGTCCAGCAAATAAATCCCACATCAGATGATTGGTGGGGTCTGATCATAAACGCACAACGTCGGTTGGATTTCTGGGACTTTTAACCTTTATCTTGCACACAAGTTGGACTATATTATTACAAAGTTTGAGTATGCGGCAACGAAGATGGAAATAAAATCCGGCGAAAAGTCCCTCGGTCGTAATATACCTTCCCTACCTTGATGCTGCCTTTGCAAATATGATGCATCACCTTGTTGGAGACTCGATATCAGGCGAGTGGACTCAATACTATACTGCCATCGAGGGAGCCAATCAGACTCTGGGTCACTATACCCCCTGGGAAATACAGGAAAAGCTCCCCCCTGGCATTAAAAATATGGATCTCTCTCGCAGTCTAGCTGAAAGAATACAATCATCCGAAGCATTATCGATGGCGCAACTCACGAACCGAGGGGGTTCTGGCCTCGGTGTTGCGGACCATTTTCCCACACATCATGGGCAAGTAGTATGGATGGTCTTTGCTCAAGTAAGACCTAACCCCTAGTATAACTTTGCCCGCACTCGCGATGCTCTCGTCAGTCTAGCAATACTTTGGCCCGTCGAACCTTGAAGTCTGGAGATCAAGGAGGGAAAAGATATAGAAATTATATCATGGCGTTTGGGCCTTGTGCTGCACTGGCGTTGTTTGCTCTTGTAGCTTGCTGCATAGCTGTAAGTCGTCTGCCATGTGTAAAATGTCTTGCTGACTTAAGACTTCATCACTCAGAGTTTCATCCGCGCATACCTCTCGCCATTATCTTCGATTCCGACTGCGACCTTTTGGGCACCCCATTCCCGCTTGCTATGGGCCTTTCCAACCGAGTTTCGAGGGCTCATTACAGTCAATCTACCCAAGCTACATGAAAAACTTGGTGCGGTAAAAAGTAAACCATAACAAGTGTAAGATGTGCTAATATTTTCCAGGCCCCTTGGTTCGCATCGGCCCAAATGAAGTCTCCTTTTATTCGGTAGACATGTACGATGCCGTTCACAAGGTTGGAAGCAAGTTCAAAAAAGACCCGCGAGTCTATGGCGAGTTTGTTCAGGGAGGCAATCCAGCTCTATTCTCCATCACGTAAGCAAAAATCCCATCTAGATCTAAAGCTCAGGCTGATTGATACTAGCGACCCAACGGAACATTCAAAGCGAAGAAGACTCATGGGTCAACTCTTTAATCGAAGTCAAATGCACAAGCTCGAAGGCCTCATGATGCATCATATCAATGCCTTTGTGCAGCTCCTAGCGACCACGAGTCACAAAACCAACCTAACACCTGCGTGCCGTGCCCTGGAAGCTGATATCATTTGTATGCAATTGTGGTTATTTGCCCGTCTCAATGTTCCTACTAATGAATAAAGCAGCCGACTTTTCATTTGGTCACCCTATTGGGGCCATCGATGCGTACTCTCGAGGAGCCGAGCTTGCAATGGTAGCCAAAAACGATGAAAAGGCTACTTGGATGCCCTTGGTGCGTAGCTCGAATCAATTATATATAATGATTCCACAACTTATATTTATCCACAGTTGACAAGCTTTCCTACTTTTTGCGAAACGTGGGAGCGGCTTGAAGCACTCGTGTTCTCAATAACAGGCTACCGGACAATATATAGCGAGGCCATGACTGCTTTTCATGAGGTATGTCCTCTCCATCTCCTGGCTTTCTTTCTTCGCCAGAGTATACTAAATTTGTCAACGTATAGTGGGCAGAGAAAAGTTGGCGCAGTACTCTCTCCGGGGGCGCAAACAACAAGAAGCCACTCTCTCTACATCCTAATCTCGTCCAAACCATGGTCGATTCAGGGCTGCCCCCGCTGACCGCATTGTCCGAGGCGACCGAGAACCTGGGTCCCGGCACAGACACGACTTCGGCATCGCTGGCGCATATACTCTGGGCCTTGGCACACAATCTGAGCTACCAGGACGATCTCTTTGCCGACCTGGCCGCCGTGTCCTTTTCCACCGACATGACGACCTTGGAGGCCACACCCAGGCTGCGGGCCTGCGTCAAGGAAGGCATCCGGTGGACTGGTGCCGCCGCCGCCATGCTTCCCCGTATCGTACCGGAAGGCGGAGCTGATCTATTTGGCCACTTTCTCCCGGCAGGCGTAAGTACATTCATTCCCGCCAGCCTTCCTTACTTCCCATTCAGCCTTGAGTGCTAATACCAACCGACTCAGACTGTAGTCAGCTCGTCACCAATATGGTATCTCCACGATTCGGTAGCCTTTCCAGACCCGAAAAAGTATGACCCTTACCGCTGGCTCACATCAGATGGTCGCGAAATCAAAAATGACTTGTTACGCGACAAGTTTTACCTGCCTTTCTCCAAAGGTGCCAATGTTTGCATGGGCGCACAGTAAGCCTTTTTATCATACTAATTGCGGACCTCGCGCGTGAACTAACACAGTCTCATGATCCAGCTTTGCATATCTAGAATTGTACTTGTCGGTATCACAGGTAATTCGCAATTTCCGTCTTCATGTCCATCCATCGCTCCAGTCCCAGCTATATTGGGAGGAGCAAGGACAATCAGGTCAAGGTTACTTTCGGCGCGTTCATTTGCCCAGTCGAAGAGAGTGGGTAGCAGCTGTGCCTACCGAAAAATTGTTAGTTGTGCTTGAACCAAGAGCGTGAGCGTTGACTACCTACCTCTAAAGAGACCGTTAGTTCCGCCGTCATGGCCTAGAAGCTCAAAAAGGGGGATGGGAGGGGGGAATGGACAAAGATATTGACACACGACTAATACTGTGGCAGTGCCTGCTTGTGTGTGACGATTAGAGCAAAAGACTAAAGAAACAGCAGTCTATTCGGACAAGTCACGGCTGCCTGGTAACACATATGCCCCATGAATCCTTTTGTTTTTTATTAGGTGAAGAGGTAGTGCACTGTATGTACCAATAGCTACATCTAAGCTCCAACACCCATCTCCCGGTAAAAGGCCTCGCTATTTGGCTGGCGTCCCAGGAACTGTTCCAAAGTAGTCATCTCGTCTTGACTACCACCACGCTCCAATACAGTGTGGCGGTATCTACGGCCCTCCTTGTTGTCCATGGGGTTCTTTTCAAAGTGGCTGTAGAACATGTCGGAACTATATACTAGAGAGGAAAGATAACCATAGTAGCCAGCATCGTAGCCACCAATCAAATGTCCAAAGGTAGCCTGGCCGTGGCCCCAGGTGCTAGTCTCCCCGTCGGGACCATCTAGACCAGCAATTTCGCTTCGAAGATCATTGTACAATTTGCTGAGCTCCATCTTTTCAAGATCCTCATGACTGGCTGGTGAGTGGACAGTCATGTCAAAAATGCCAAAGTGAAGCTGTCTCAGGTTGGATAGGGCATCATTGACATGCTTTGTAGAGATTTGCTTCTCAATCAGATCATCAGGAATGGGCTCTCCCGTCTTGTAATGTTTCGACAAGGCTTTGATCTGGCTTGGAGTCCAGCACCAGTTCTCAAGCATTTGCGAAGGTGCTTCCACGAAATCCCGAACTGTATTCGTTCCATGGAATCGGCTGTATTTGCAGCGTCCAGCCAAGTCGTGAATACCATGGCCGAGCTCATGGAAGAGCGTGACTACTTCATTATGCTTGAGCAATGAAGGCTTCTTCTCCGTTGGCTTGGAAAAGTTGCACACAAGAGCAGTTGCGGGGTATCGCCTCGAGCCATCAGCCTTGAGGTAGCCTGGCTGGAGGTTGAAGTTTGCTGCATGGCCATACTTGCCAGGACGAGGATGGAGATCCAGGTACAGGTAACCGACAAAGGAGTCGCCCTCAAGGCTGTCGTCCCACACGGAAAATATGATGACATCCTCATGCCACGCAATGTCTTCTGCCTTGTTGGTAGGAGATAGTCTTGCCCGCTCCTCCTTGTCTAGTTCAATAAAGACAAGACCAAAGATTTCTTCGAAAATCTGTAGCATGCCTCGAATCGTGGAGGAAAGAGGAAAGTACTCGGCAATCTTGGTCTCGTCAATGCTGTACTCCTCCTCGACCATCAAGCGGTCGTAGAAGCGGTGGTCCCAGAGGTAGTATTTACCGTCTGGCTTGATGCCTCTAGACTCTTCGTCCTTCTTCTTGAGTTGCAAAAGGTGCTCCTTCTCCTTGACACCGCCGGCGGCCAATCGTTTGCGCAGGTCGGAGAGGAATGTGTTTACAGTGGCTGGTTCCTTGGCCATCTTGTCTTCGATGCGGAGGGCGGCATGGTTGGGATAGCCCAGCATACGCGCAGCCTCATCTCTAAGCAGAATCGCCTCCCTGAATAGCGGGATGTTGTCGGGGATCTTGTTCTCATTGGCGATAAAGATCTTCCTTCTGGTCTCTGGGTTCTTTGCAAACTTGAGCGCTGGAAATAGATCCGGGTATTTGAAGGTCAATCTGATCTTGCCCTCATTTTCATCCTTGCCCTTGGCCAATCCCTCAAGCACATCGTCTGGTACACCATCCAGCTCTTCCTTGGTGAACCAAAGTCCCTCGTCCTCCTCGTTTAGGTTCTTTTGGAATTGTATGCCAATTTGACTTAGACGAGTCTTGATCTCTTTGAAGCGGTCTCTCTGAGGGCCCTTGGGAAGGCCGAGGCCATTCTTGATGTAATTCTTGCGCTCCTTGTCAAGTAGTCGCAGGCTTTCCGAGTCTAGGTCGGCTTCGTGTTCCTTTTGGCGCTTGGCAATAGAGTCCACGAGCTGAAAGATGTCCTCTCTCATGTTGCATTCAATTCCAAACTCGTCCATGATCTTCTCGGCCTCGGATGATGCATTACGAAGCTCGGCGTCGCCCGAGACATACTGATAGAAGCCAAGAATGTGGGCAGACAAGCCCGCGTGGTCCTCGTCCTCGGCAATGGGCTTGAGAACCTTGGTGAACGAGGCTTGGTCGACGGGGACATCGGCGGCGAGCTTGTCCAAAAGGGAGCGTGTCGAGTCGCAAAGGGCTTTGGCATCGCTGACGATGGACTCCTTGGTGCCAGTGAATGTCGGCGGAGCTTGCGGCGGGTTCTTGTATTTGTCGGGAGCCATGGTAGCAGATATTATGGTCCTTGTCTGGTGAATAGAAGTTCGCAAGGGGGCAGCAGAAATGAGCGACCTCGGACGTAGGTGGTTGAGGTAGGAGGAGAGACGAGGAAGGGCGCGAGTGGAAGCCAGGGTGATGGCGAGGAGGAGTACGAAGGAGGGGATGAGAATAAAGACGAACAAGAGGGATCTCTTGCTTCTTGTACTGTGTATAATTGAGGAAGCCACGTTACTCAAGAATGGAGAGGTTGGCACTTTCGTTTTACGTTTGGTTTCGGTCTTTGTTGCTTGGTCTGGAAAGATTCAATAGTAGCTGAATGGGTTACGTAGACGATAGCTGCAAGGTGCTGCAAGGGAGACACTGCAAGGACCTTTGGCGGGGCAGCACTCAAAGCCAGCCGCGGGGTGCAGTGAACTGAATGGACAGGGCGTTGGCTAGGTGTGAGCCGGGCGCCTAGGTGCGGCAAACAAGTCGGGTGTGGACGCCACTACCCTGACCCTGATTGAATGTTTGGTCTTTTTGGGAGGGATGGATTAGACGGGGCCGGCGAAACGCGGGGTAAATGTAAAAAGTACCACCATTTGAACATGTACAGTACAAAGATGGACGATATATGCCGACATACCTAGTGAGGAATGGCCAACCCAACAATGCATCATATGAAATGTTGCCCGTGTACATGGTATATTCCGTAGTGCGGAGGCGGGCATAGTGTAGAGCTTCCCAACCTGATCGTCTTTACCCACATCCTTGCTAGGTCAAGGTGAATACTACCTATAGCTGATGGTGAGGCTTTCGGTGGACCCAAGGCATCATCTTGGCATTAAAGCAAGGCCGGTAATGCCGGTATTTGTCTCTGTTTCTGTTGATGTGGTCGTAGCCGTAGTCTTACACTGTTTACGTATAAACATTTAAGACCAACACTGTATTCAGCAGGACAGGGCCGTCAACTGCATTTGCCGAAAATTGGCAACCAAAAATCATTTGAGCCTAATCTGTCCAACAAGAAAGAGCCTCATTACTTGGTATATTCATCTAGGAGTAGAGCCAATCCACGGCTACCCAAGGTCATACAAGTGTCCCATCAATCAATACATAAACGCCGTGCCGTATCATGCAAATTCCTCGTCGCATCGCGTCGCCATGATGATTATCATGGTCCGTGTCGTCGCCTACAAACAGATGACCCCTTCTTTACACCTCGTCCATCTAGTTAGCCAAGATGGTTCGGACAAGCTCAGTGTAGTTGACCTGTCCGGAACTCGTGTCGACTGCCTTGAGAAGCTCGTCCACCTCCTCGTCCGTCATCTTCTCGCCGAGATTCGTCAAGATGTACTTGAGCTGTCCGACTCCAATGAAGCCCGTCATGTCCTTGTCGAAAACTTGGAATCCTCGGCAGTACTCGTCAGGCTCGCCCGGGTCGCGGAAACCGCCAGGTCGGTTCAGTACGCGCTGGAATGTCTCAAAGTCGACTATATTGGCAGCATACGTTAGTCAGTGTCGGTTGAGTTGAGTTTGCTCTCAACCTCCTCCAAGCATGGGCTCGGGCTTGTTCATGGTGAGTGCTAGCCGCTCTATCCATTGCCAGTCTCAAGAAGATGATGCGCCGCATGTAAACAAAGGGCAGTCAACTCACATTCGCCACCGACATTCTTCTCCAGGTCCCTAATTTCTGCCAATGTCGGGTTCTGTCCACATGCGCGCAGGAGGTCTCCTAAGCTATCCAGAGTGACGCGGCCATTGCCTCGCTTGTCAAACAGAGAGAAAGCCTCCTTGTAGTTGGTAGAAGCCTGAGATTCGTAATTAGCGGCCATTGTTGATTGGCTTTCGAGATGCCCGCAGATTGCGATGATAGTGGGAGAATTATGCGCAGGAAGGGAATCAAGTTATAGAAGGCAGCAAGTGCTCGAGAAATGGGTATGGTTGTTGCTGGGCGAATGCGCCTTGATGGTGTTGGTCGAATGCAAGAGATGAATTGTTGATGCGAAGTCGGGGGCTGGGCATGAGTTGACTTTGGAGAAACAAAACTTTGGGGATTGAGTTGTTGCAGTTTCGGCCGCTGCAAGTCAGCCAGCCAACCAAACCAACCAAACCATCAGTCAGCCCGATTTGGCGCAGGCAACACATCGCATCAGGTAAAGTTTGCTGCCGGCCTGCCACTGGCCGGGCTGGTTGCTGGTTGCAACATTACTTTTGAGTGCTGCCGATGCGCTAAAACAAGGATCCTGCCAGCACTTGCTTTTGGGGCTGTTGCTCCCTTGTTTTTCCTTTCCTCTCGGCTTCTGAGGGGTAAAATTGTACCACGCACGCATGCAACTCGCGGGGATCTCTCCTTTTTTTGTTTACAGCATTGGCAGTAAACCAATAACGTAGGGCGAAATCGAGGCAAACAGCAAAAGACTCACCATTATGGCGGTATGTGGTCGATAGTATTTGAATGAGGTTCGAAAACAGGTGGATCAAAGAGCAGCGGTGATGTTTTTCGGAGGAGAAATGTTGCTGAAACAGTTGATGAAAGGAGTTGGGCAGCTGGACTGTGTGTCTTTCCCCTATTATTAGTATTATTTAGGGAGCCAGACTGTTGAACGAACACATTGACAGGGACCAATTTCACCAGGCGCTTGGTCTGTGCCTTGATCGCGGCCCAGCTCGCGTGGTGGGGAAGCCCATTGTCAGGGCAACGTGCCTGGAAACAGACACAAAGCAGGACGAGGGTCAAACTTCATGGTTTGAGTGGCTTTAATAGAGGATAAACTATGTAGTCATCCATCGCCTTGTTGCTGGGATTCCTTGCCTTTGAATCGGTGCATTAATGGCTAAAATGCTATCTGACGTTGTTCCGGTAATGCACAAAAGAGAAGGGGGTTTGACCATCTTCCACGACTTTATTCCGCCAAGTCTGAGAAGCTGCATTCAGATAAATAGCTGCATGGTGTTCTCAAGTGCAATTCAATCGCTGATGGATCGTCTAATAGTTTCTTTTCAAGGGTAGCAAAGTTTCCTCACCTCCGCCTAGCCATTAGGATATAAGTCCCCCAATCCGACACAACGTCGGCCTCTTTCCACTTGTCTCCCATGGCCTTCCACTCTGGCACCGCGTCAATCATGTGATCCCACATGATATCGACGACATCTCCCTCTCCTCCTTCGGCCCTGCTCCTACTCTCCGGGTAGGCCTCCTTCCAACCTGTAAAGCAGCTAAATGTTCGGGTATACGCCTCGACTTCGCCGAGCTTCATCTTCTTGGTCTGCCAGGCGATCCGCTCCTCCTGGCCCTTTTGTCCCGGCTCGTGCTCCAGCCTCTCCACGCCCTCCCAGTCGCTCTCTGGCGGTGTTACGCTCCGCAGCAAGTTTCGGAGTATATTCCTCCCCGGCTGCTCCCAGTATTTGCCCATGCCCTCGACGCCGGGCGCCACCTCGCCGAATCCGTACACAAAGTGCTCCATGATGGTTGTGGCCTCTTCGTAACCAAGCAAAATGTTGTCCTTGTAGCCCCAAAAGGCCATGGTGCCTCCTGACTTAACCACACGCGCTAGATTAGGCCATACCTTGGTGTAATCAAACCAGTGAGCCGCCTGGCCGGCGACTGCCATGTCCAAGGACGAGTCGGGAACAAAGTCGAGATCCTCGGCAGAGCCATGCTTGAATTCAATCTTGGGGTCTTTGGTCATGTCCTTGGCTTGATTCACCATGCCCGCGGAAGGGTCAATCGCCAAGGTGGACTTGAAGTGCGGGCTCAACTCGCGCGAGATGAGCCCATGGCCGCATCCCAAGTCGAGCAGCTTACCTGAAGGCGTAGGCAACTTGTGATAGGCGAGTAAAGTCTTGTAGAGGACCGGTGGGTATGATGGCCTAAAGGCCGCATAGGATTTGGCTGAGAACGAGGTACGACTGTCAGCTCTTGTTAGTGCAAAACCCGGTATGGACGAGATGTTCCCTCGAATAAATGTGTGTTACTTGCGCAAAAGCCGACATGGTGCTACAGTTTTGTAATGGATGATTCGGATATTCAAGGTTTTAAGCATAATGTACAAATGAGACTTTTTACTACCAAAAAGAGTGACACTGCTGACTCTAGAGGTAGGTGGTAAGACGGCCGGTCGTCCGAAACTGTGCCGAGGAGATACATTGCCTATCACGGGTAGGCAGGTCCCTGAAAATCGCCTACTATTTGCACGCAGCCCCCACATGACATGACGCCAGACACGACGGGCAACTCACTCACATGCATGGCACTACATAATCAAATGTGGACAGGACATACCCGCAGAGTGAATGACAAATAACGGGAATAGGTTGCATCCATACAACATATTGCGTGATGATAGTCTTGGCAATTTCTCAGGGACAACAACTACTACATATATAAATCACATTTCATCAATACGTCTGAATACTTCTGTGCATTATCCATAATCTGCTGCTGCAAACATATAACTCAACATGTCGACCGAGGCTACTGTCCGCGCCTTCTTTTCATCGCCCAACTTTGCCGTCGTGGGTGCCAGTACCAACCCAGCCAAGTTTGGCCACAAGAGTAAGTTTAGTGAACTTGCGACCTTGACAATACACCTTTGCTCACCTTTCAAGTCTTTGCCTGGTATACCCAGCACTCCATTGCAGCTGTTCCCATCAACCCGGGCAGTGCCAGCATCGACGTGGGCTCACAATCGTACGCAACCAAGCCGTCTCTCTCGGCCCTGCCGAATCCCAAGGAGACGTCAGTGTCCATTATTACGCCTCCCTTTGCTACCCTCAAGGTTCTCAAGGAGGCCAAGGAACTTGGTATCCCAGCTGTCTGGCTGCAACCTGGTACCTTTGACGATGAAGTGCTAAAGTATGCTCGAGCCACGGGTGACGACGGATATGGAGGTCATGTTATTGCGGGAGATGGCGGCCGAGGATCCGAGGGATGGTGTGTTCTCGTCGATGGGGAGAGGGGACTCAAGGCTGCTGGCAAGCTGTAGTACCTATTTGCAGAATATGTTCATGACTCGGTGCGAAGACTTGATAAGATTGAAATTATAAATGTTCTTTTCTTGCTCGTTTATCGTCCCTTTTCGCCATGACCCGCGGATGAGCGCTGTCGAGTTTATTGAATCATAATAACAAAGTTTGACAAGTCATATCTGCTTGTACACTCGCAATCAAATTGATCAAGTTACAAAGAAACGACAAAAAATATAATATCTTCGCAAAAAGCAAAAGTGAATTGACTTTTGCTCACAACCCAAAGAAATGTCGAAAAAGACAAAAATGTGGAGAAGCTGGGAATCGAACCCAGAACCTTTTCCATGCTTTTATCGCATGCTAAGGAAACGTCATACCACTAGACCACATCCCCGGAGGTTAGAATCATCATGATTTGATGATTGGATGCTGAATTTGAAGTTAACAATGTCCATGTCGTACTTGTGTATGTTGCAAGACAGAAAATCCCTCATCCTGATACTATGAGACGGGGTTTGGATTAAGCGGGACCAGCCGCGCTAGGGTTTCGGCCCATCTGGGCTCTAGTGGTATTATGCAGTGCATCAAGTATCAAAATCCATGCTTATATGCAACATCTATGCCATTCAAGCAAACCCGCTCCATGTAGAACCAACGCTGTGCACATCTCCAAAATGAATTCGGGTCCCGTTCCCGAAATTATTGTTCGATATGGTGTTGTGATTCTGCGGCGCTGAAAGAGCCTGACTGAGAACATTCTCAGCAAGTATACCACTATCTGACGGGTCGTACCGGCCCAGCACGGCCTTCGTAACTGCTGCTGCCGTGATAGCAGCAAAATCCTGCCAGCGCTTGTTCTTGTGGCTGTCAGCGTAGTCACAGATACCCTTGATGACGATGCACGGGACCTCTTCCCACGCGCCGGCAGCTTCCATTTCAAATGCAATAAGCTGATGTTGTTTAGCGAGCGCATCGCGGTGGGCGCCAGACTTCATGACTGCATCACCCGACCCAATGCGTCCGACGAAGATGGCTGGAGCCTGCGCCTGCTCGGGTGCCATATCTCGCTTCTTGTCCAAACGCGCCCGCACCACCAGATGATCCTCTTTGCAACCTAGCTCTGCGCAGCAGCTTTGAATCGCTTCAGGGCAGGGGCCCTCGCCGCACAGATTGCATTCCTTGTAATGTCGGTGTACATATGTCGGCGCGAAGAGCTTGTCTTCGGCAGAGCCCGGGTAGAGATAGTCAGCCTGCCGTCCATCACGGACGGCGGCGGCCTGTATATCCTTTAGATGCCCGGAGGCTTTTCCTCGCAAACGCCCGCGCCCGAGCTCCGTCTCAAAGACAGCGACTAGATTATGGATTGCGCGACCCGGCTTACGGGAACCATCTTCGATCGTGTCTTTGGTTTTGAACTCGGTTGGGTATTGCCGGCCAAAGTCGTACTGGACGATGCGTTTGCTGATTACGACGTCTCCTAAAATAACCTCGCTCGTCCCAGCACCTGGAACGCCCCCGCATATGCCCACGAGGAACACAAGCTCCAGCCTGCTGTAGCTCGAGCGAAAGCTGGCCGCCGCTCCAGCCGCCGATGCCTTACCCATACCAGGGAGTAGTACTAGCACGACATCGTGCTTCCCGATGGTACCCGTCGTGTACTGGTTGGGGTCCCCCGGCGCCTTCCCATAGGGATCGCCGTCTTCGTCCCAGAATCGATCGAAGAGAAGGGACACGGCATCGAACTCAAGACTCAAGGCGCAGAGGATACCGACACGAAAGTCCTCGCGACAGGCGGGTTGTTTTTCGCCAGCCATGATGTGGAATGAGGACTTGTGGTGTGCCTGAAATGGTCACTGACAAGGCTGTTGAACTTCAGAGGCATCATTTCTGGCCCCCCCGGCTCGATAACGTAATCCACGTCATGCATAGGTACCCAAAGAACTCCTACTTTACGGCTGAACTACGGAAAATAAATTATGTGTTTACGAAAATCAATCTAGACTATATCGTCGGGACCTACCTTGATAATGAAATTAATTGCAGAGCGTTGTGATTATAATCCTTGTGTATACTTTCCTTATTTTCGAAACTGATTGCACACGCAACACTTTGCCAAGAACGGTAGCGGTTAGCAGGCGACAAAAACAATAGTTCCCACAAGCTAGAAACGAAGTCCTAAGTACCTTGGTTGCCTGGATTATCGCAGTCAAGGTACCAACTACGTCCAGGGACGAGAGAAGAACAGATAACTTAGTAGTCATTTCGCATCATCATTTATTAGTCTGTAATCTTACCGTATCTCAAGCAGCGCTATGTCAAGGTTTGTTGTTAAGGTGAACATACAGTAACCATGAAGTAGACAAGCAGCAGGGCACTTCAAACATGATTGTATTCTTCTCAAGCCTTGAGCTCCTTTACTTCCCTCCCATTTCTGAACACGTTATCCTGAAATCTCAAATACGGTTGTCAAGGATGGAGAGTACCGTTATGAAAGGGGATTTGGTTTGGCGAAGTTGAAGAAGAAGACACGACCTGATCTGCACCCAATGGCGGCCACTCTTCCATGGAAAGTCGATGTTGATGGTCGATACTCTGATGGTAGCCAGAGAAGATTCTGATCTTTGTATGAGAGCCAGGTATACTCAGTGTCGAAACCGTATGATGCAAGTAGAGGCGGGGAATCGGATTGTTTCAGAGGTTCTGTAGCAATTTGTACTTCAAAAGCGCCGAGCGTGGTTTGTAAATGGTACAACTCAGTCTTCTGAAACTGGAAGTCCTTTCTACAGAACGGGTCGTCAATCGCAAGTGACGACATGCATTGGCCAGTCGCCAGATCCCAGATCTTGATGGTCTTATCATCCGCGGCCGATGCAAGGCGTGCCGCGTTGTGCGACCAGGCCAGGGACCTCACATAATTGCCATGACCCCCAAGTGTTGATCTATGCTGACCGTTCACAGGGTCCCAGATCTTGATAGCGAAACTAGGCGTTGCTAATGCCAACCGGGTCATATCTTGCGACACAGCTACAGCACTTGCCCAGCCACTGGGTTCCTTGAGCGTTGACACGCACTGGCCCGTTGCAACGTCCCATATCTTGATAGTGCAGTCTTCTGATGCGGAAATAAGTCGAGTTGAATCATTTGACCAGGTAACAGAGTTCACAAAATCTTTATGCCCCTTGAGCGTAAATATACACTCGCCAGTCGCTGGATCCCAGATCCTAATGGTATCATCATCTGATGCGGAGGCAAGACGGGCGGCGGTATATGACCACGATATGGAGTTTATGACACCGTTATGGGCTACGGGTATTGATACATGGTCGCCAGTCTGTATATCCCAGATACTGATGGTGCAGTCGTCAGATAGTACTGCAAGATGGCTTGTGTCGTACGACCAGGACATAAGTCTTGTCTCCTTGCCGAGACCCTCGAGCGTCGATAAATATTGACCAGTTTCTGGTTCCCAGATTTTGATGACATGGTCGGCTGATGCTGATGCGAGGTAGACCGCGTTGTATGAAAAGGCTACAGAGGTGACCCTTGCGCTGTGGCTCTCGAGTGTTGAAACATATTGACCATCCGCCGGGTCCCAGATCTTGATGGTACGATCATGCGAGGCTGATGCAAGTCTAGCTATGTTGCTTGACCAGGATATGGCGTTGATGTTGTGGTCAGGGCCTCCGAACGTCGATATTATCTGGCCAGTCGCTAGATCATAGATCTTGATATTATAGTCGAATGCCGATGCAAGCCGGGTTGCGTCATGCGACCAGGTTATGTTATGAAGACGACCCTCGACCTTCACAGTTGATGTACACTGGTTGGTTGTCACGTCCCAGGTCTTCACAGTTCCATTGACCGCAGCGGACATGATTTGGTTCGTACCGCTGCGCAGCCAAGTTATAGATCGAACAGAAGTGTCTCCACTTTGAAGAGTCGTTATGCACTTATTAGTTGCCGAGTCCCAGATCTTGATAGCAACGTCATAATGCGATCCATATGCGAACAAGGCCGCAGTATGCGACCAAGAAAGAAAGTAGAAATCCTTTTCGTGGCCTCTAATTGTCGTTTTACAACGGCCAGTCGCTCGCTCCCAGATCTTAATGGTACCGCCGTGGGATGAGATAGACGCAAGCCATTGGGCATCATGCGACCATCCAACAAATCCGAACGTGGTGTCGTCCTCGAGGGTCGATACACACTGACTGGTCACTGGGTCCCAAACCTTGATAGTATAATCATTTGACGCTGTTGCAAGCCAAGCTGCATCTTGCGACCATGTAACGGAGGTTATGGAGTCGCTGTGGCCTTCTAGTGTCAATTCACACTGCCCAGTTACCGCGTGCCAGATCTTCACAGTTTTATCTCTTGACGCCGTCGCCAGCCTAGTTGCATCGTGTGACCAGACCACAGAGTTGACTGGTCCGCCATGACCCTCGAGCGTGTGCACGAGGAACGTGTTCCATTCTGGGTCCACAACCGGGAAGGGGGATATCCAGGAGGGCATTTCGTCGATGAAGGCATTTCGGATTTCGCTGTTCTGGGGAGAAAAAACGATTGCCGAATTGTAGAGCTGCAGAGGAAACCTAATCATGACAGGGATACAATTCAGAGTGAACCGGCTCGCGTCCCGGAGGAATCCTTCAAGCATGGTCCCAGGCTAAGCCAGGTTAGAACAATTCTTGAGCCGAAGCTCGCCTGATAAGTGATGACATACCTGGACGTATTTAGATAGGGTTTCCAGTATGGCGATACTCGCTCTTATCTTCTTTAGAAGACATAAGGCTTCCAACCAATGAAGGAGGTGGCGCTGAAGAAACAGGTCGATTTGCACCTCGGTGACGCGACCCTTACTCTGCTCTATATGATACGCCCAATACAGGCAGGCATACTCGACATGTGCTGGTAGGTACATCTTAACCACACTGGGATCGACTGCTGAGCCAGCCACATCAGGAGCTTGTAAATTACATACGTCTCTCTTTAGATTTGCCTCTAGGACTTGGAGACAGCGGTGTGCGAGTCTCTCGTGGCACTCTCTCTCGCCCACGCAGAACTCATGCCGTCTGATAGGGTCGACGAGAAAATCGCGGAAAGACAGGTGGAAGATCCTAATAGGGGTGTCTGGCTGGGCAGATACACTGATGAGGGAATGGAGAGTTCTGAGCCGGCCGTTTATGGCCGCTGGGCGGATGTCGAGGAGTCTTGCGAGAGCAGCGATGGAGAGAGGCGTCGCGAGAAGGACAATGGGGCCAACAACAGCGCGAAACTCATCCACCAAGCGACTCCTCTTCAGGCCAGCGGTTCCATCGATCAGCCGGTTGAGTATTGGAAGATATGTCGATTCGAGCTTTTCCAGCTCAGATTCACCGGCGTTCGACCGATATTCTAGCACTTTCTCCAACTGACTGACGGGGTCTGACCAGACTGGATCTGCGACAAAGCGGCAGATGGTCGTGGCAAAAATGAATAGAGGAACGGCCATTTGGACAAGGGTTTGGATAGCGTTGTTGTCAGGCCATCCTGATGGAAGTTGGATGTCCTCATAGTAGTCTCCTCGTATTCTTGCGAATTCAGACTGAAAGAATAAGAGTATGTCATGTTCAATCACGGGCTCAGGTATCTGGTGCAGGGCAATGTCCTTGTACGTGCCCGTTATTGACTTGAAACCAAGACGAATCGGCAGCTCGGGCCGGCTGGTGATGAATATTTTCATGCGTACCGAAGTCAGTGCCTTGACCTGTGGCAACAACTGGATGATAAGCCCGATGGTTTCATCCTGGTCGCATTCATCCAGCGCGTCGATAACGACCACGACTGGCTCGTCCAACCGCTGGATCTTGCTCAAGGGTTGTAGGATGAGCTTCTCAAACTGCTCTCGCATGCTCTTATCCTCAATGCCTTTGTAGGTCTCCCTGGCTTCCGCGACAGAGCCCTGGAGGGCGGGTTTCCAAATCACAAGCTGCGAAGCAATCGTTGTGAAGAACAAGCGCGCATGCCCTCGATCCTGCTCGCCTCTCTTGAAGAAGAAGCTAGCACCGAGTGCTCCCCTTTCCTGGAGCGATCGAGCAACTGTGCGGGAAATGGTTGACTTTCCCGTGCCTGCCATTCCGTTCAGCCAGAATATGCATTCGGTGGATGGATTGTCTGTCCACTCCATGATTTCGCGAAGGAGGTCGACTCGCGTGCCGGGAAGGCAGTCTCTGTTGTGCTGTTCGGCAAAAGAACCGAACTCTGCATCTCGAGCGGTGGGTAGAGGCTTGCGGAACGCAAGATTGTTGATAATATCGCCATGGTGGATATGCGTATTGTCTCCAAAGGTATTTTCAGATATATTCATGATCTTTTGGGTCTCCGCTGTTGCGCTGGGAATGGGACGAGCATCCATCGCCATCAAAGATAGAAAATGTCAATTCGGGCTTACAGAAAAACTCACAGACGCAAAAGGTGCCAAGCAGTGCCAAATTCGAAAGAATGGAGGATGTCAAGTATCCTCGCATAAAGGGAATAATCTTGACATGGTTGTACATGTGAGGGGAAAGGAAACCCCTCTCGTCCCATCACGTGCTGTGCTGTGCAAGGCTGTGGCCGGATGAAGAGCAATGCAGCTCAACTATCAGTGAGGGCAAATTGCCATTTTTGGTAATTTTGGCCCCCAAAAGGGCTGTCTCAGGAGTGTTTTCTCTCTGCCGGAGAGGGCTATGAAGGCATTCTGGAGGGCAATTTGGAGGGATAGCCCCTTTGTTCACTGCAAACACCAATGTTTGTTGCTATTAATATAGCATTAAAGCGGGTATACAGCACCTCCGTACGGTGGCAGTATTAAAATAAGGTAGGCCTCTCATCGACGACGCATCGATTTATTGTATTCCACGGCAGTCACCCTTTTCCCGACTGCAGCAGTCAGTATGCCTCTAACACAAAAAAGAAAGAAAGAAAACGAGGAAAGAAAAAAACAGCCAGTACAGCTAGTACAGCCATGGCATGCCCAAAAAGAAAGAAAAACACTATTCTATACATCGTGGCTAAATCGTAGCCTCAAGGTACAAATCGCTATTGAAGGCTATCTAGACTCGCTGTGTAGAAAGAGAGTGCATTTGACGGAGTCTATACGGATGAACACGAATGTTCTCACAGTATCTTTCGCGGCAGAAATGTTAGCATGGGGATGAGCACCACGATGTTGCCATAGAAAACTGTTGCTATAATGGGCGTAATGACGTGGTTGGTAATGTATACACGCACAACCTGAAGTGGAAAACAACTTAGAATCTAATTCTCTGTCAAAGATTGTCCTCCTCAATAAACCATATATACTCCGTGCTACTTCTAGTCATGCTTGAAATAATTTTTCTTAGGCTTTCGCAAGCAACTGAATTCCCCCATGCAAGCCCTTCTCCTGCGCTTAAGCACACTGCGCATTTCAGGCATCTCCATTGCCAAAGCACCACGAATCTTATTGTCTATGAGGCCGTCGAGCATCTTGTATTCCCGCGACTGCAGATCTGACGCCCGCGGGGTCGTGTAGTGCGACAGGACCTGATAGAGGAATTCGGAGTCGATCGTGGCCTGCATCAAGCCCTCCAAGTTCAAGGACGTATAACTGCCAAGCGCCTTGATCATCTCGGCGCACACTGTCTCCAGCAGAACCGAAACCACATGTGTCGCCAGACTCGCCGACGCCGTTGCTAAGACATCCTTTTTTACCACCACGATCTCTCGTAGAACATGATACGTAAAGGGACTCGCGTTGCGTGGCTTTCGGCCCGGCGCCGGCATCCAGTTGGGTAATGTCACGCCGGTGCTGATAGCTTCGGCCAATTTCTGGACCATCAGCCGCGTGTATGACTGGAAGATACGTGCGCCAATGTTTTGCAGCACGTCGGAGAGCTGGTTCCTCCCTTCGGCGAACTTGGTGGAGATGACGTTCTCAAGCTGGTCATTGAGGCTAGGCAGGACTTTAGTTTGGAGGTGTTTGATATTCCCAATCGTTAAGAGCATATGCGTATTCTGTGCATCAGTTAGTAGAGGAGTAGTATTTCACAGCCACTACTAGGAGGATGACATACCTGATCACAAGCACTGGCGGCGCCCCCACTTTCGGCTTTCGGGGCTTGTCCACTCGCCGGACCACTCGCGGCTGTATCACTCTCTACATCGCTGTCCTCGTCATCCTCATCTACACTTGTCGCAGACATTTCAGCATTTTCGGCCATGCCACCCAAAACAACATTGATCGTCGTGATGTATTGGCTCTGTATCATCTGACACATCTTCGGTGGTGGTGGTGGTGGTACGAGATCGGCAGCCTCGGGCTTAGAAACAGCGCTGGGAATGCAAAGTATTTTCTGCATACCGCTCAAGACGGCACCTTCGAACGCGGCCAAAGAGGCTGGCATCATGGTAATGCCGCCACCGTCGTCCGGCTGCACCCAATCCTCCACGAACTTGAAAGTTTCGGCATCCTGGTGCCAAGCTTGACAGAGAGCAACTACGCACCTCTCTCGAGCCACACCAACCAAGCGCTTGAGGTTCTCCAAACCATCTGTATCTTCTCGCCAAATGGGAGAGATGGAGGCCATGTCACACGCACCAGAGGCGACGAGTGCTAGCATTTTGGGGAGATAGTGGGCTCCGCTCCTAGAGTTAGACCATGGTGGCCAGAATGCAAATTTCTCCCAGGCATCTCCACGCTTAGGAGCAGGAGGGGCCACGCTGCTTAGATCCAAGTTGTTCCCCAAGTCCTTCCTCGATGGGTACTTTTCGGGGGTCTTAGGTGTGCTCGAAGACTCTGAGGATTGAATCAAAGGTGATGAACGCAATGACATATTTTCGGGAGGCGATTCGAAGAACACCAGAGCTTCCTCGCGGATCATGTCAATAAGCTCAATCATCTGGTTTTGCAAGCCGGCTGCCTCCGACTGAGAGAGTCGATAATCTTCCTTCAATTGGCCCTGGTATCCAACAGCTACGATATGTTGAGTCGCACCATTTATCAAACTCTCGACGCTCTGCCAGAGCTCAAGCACTTCGCCCAAGACACCTTGCCGGGACAGTAGATCTGTTAAAAAGCCCAGCATTTTCTTCCACAACTGAAAGCACCCAGGCAGTTCACAAGAGGACAGCTCATCCTCCTTACTGATGACCTGATGGTCGACGCATCTCATGTAAGATGCAATGGTCCGGCGACTAGGCTTTTCGGAGTTCGCAAGGCGGCGTCGCATCACCTCGATCTCTGTCCTGGACTTGCTTGCTGTGGACAAAAATTTCGCCATCAGGGACTCGAAGCGATTGAAAATCCAAGCTAATACTGGTTCATCCGCCGCGCCGACCTCAAGATGGGAAGTCTCCTGTGCTTTTTCAAGCATGATTTCAACCACCTCTTTATGCCGCATCCGTAAGGCCCACATCAAAGCAGTCAAGCCCTTGATCGGATCCGAAGCATCAACGTCCGCCTCCGCCTCAAGAAGCGTCTTCACAGCAACAGGGTGTCCGTCAGCTGCTGCAATAAGCAAAGGGGTTCGTCCATTCTTATGTCGACCTTCGATATTCGCCCCAGCTTTGAGAAGGGCTCGAATCAAGTCGGCAGAATTGCGCTCTATCGCACAAGTCAAAGCTGTATGACCATCATGATCGTGTGCCTCGATTCCGGCATTAGCTCCACCCTCTAGAAGGGCCTGAACCGTGGGCAAGAAACCCTTTCGCACGGCCCAAATCAAGGGTGAACCGACTTCTCCGGGACATCCTTCGACTTTGGCACCTGCTTCAAGGAGCATCTTGGTCATTCTGGTACGCCCTTCGAGAGCAGCGTAGCTAAGGGCCGACATGTGCCCTTCTCCGGAGGCGTTGATATCGGCGCCGGCCTGCACAAGGACCTCAAATGACGCCTCACTGTCCTTGGTGATCGCAATGATCAAGGGTGTATTGGTGCGAGGATCTCGGACTTGAGTAGATGCGCCCCCCTCGACTAGAACTTTTACAACTGCCTCCTTCTTATCGGCCACCGCACGCACTAGAGCCGTGCTGCCGTCATGCAAGGGAGCCTCTATATTTGCCCCTCCTTCAATAAGCGCCTTGACGGCTTCAGCATGCCCTTTTAAGCTGGCCCAATGCAATGCTGTTTTACCCCTTTGATCGAGGGTGTCGGTGCGTGCCCCTGCCTCGAGGAGGACCTTCGCAGCTCCAGCATGCCCGTAAAAGCTGGCCCAATGCAATGCTGTAAAGCCCCTTTGATCGAGGGTGTCGGTGCGTGCCCCTCCTTCAATAAGCGCCTTGACGGCTCCAGCATGCCCGTAAAAGCTGGCCCAATGCAATGCAGTACGGCCCCTTTGATCGAGGGTGTCGGTGCGTGCCCCTGCCTCGAGGAGAACTTTCGCAGCTTCAGCATATCCGCTTAAGCTGGCGAGATGCAGTCCCGTGTTGCCATATTGATTACGAGCTTCGATACTGGCCCCTCCTTCAACGAGCGCCTTGACAGTTTTGACATGTCCGTTTTGGACAGCAAGTATCAATGCCGTAAGGCCCTTCCCATCAGGAGCCTCAGGATTGGCACCGCCTTCAAGAAGTGATTGTACCACCCCGTGGTGACCACGACTCGATGCTATCTGCAAAGGAGTAACAGCTCCGTCCGCACGCTGTGTGGCTGTGTTTACGTTTGCCCCCGCTTCCAGAAGTATCTTCACCACTCCCTCGTGCCCATTCAATGCTGCTAAGGTCAGGGAAGAGTCTCTGTTGTCGTCGTAGACCTCGATCTGCGCCTGTCGTTCAAGCACAAGCCTGACTACTGATTCGTGACCACCCAGCGACGCCAAAGCTAGCGTGCTTCTATTATTCTTCGAAGGCGAAACAGAGCTCAGCTGAGCGCCATAGTCCAGAAGTAATTTCGTGATTTCAGTGTGCCCACGTGCCGCTGCAACGAGCAAAGCCGGATCTCCCTCATCATCGCAGGCCTCAATATTGGGCCCTCGTTTGAGTAATACCTCAGCTATCTGCTCATAGCCAAATCTTGATGCAATGATCAAGGGGGTATTCCAATTGGCCGTAGTGATGTTGACATCAGCCCCGTGCTCAAGGAGGATCTTTACAACGCTCAAATGTCCCTTCTGTGTCGATATTGCCAGTGCGCTCATATCAGCTGCGTTTCGGTGGTCAGGGTCCGATCCGCGGTCCAAAAGCATCCTGGTAACCTCGGCACACCCTCTAGACGCGGCCATGGTCAGGGGAGTCTCGCTTTGTTCGTCTTGCTGGCCAACTTCCGCTCCATGGTCTAGGAGCACTTTCACTACTTCTATGTGCCCATTCATGGTGGACATGATCAAGGCAGTCACTCCAAGTTTTATAGTTTGGTGGCCGATATTGGCGCCACGGTCTAGAAGTAGGCGTACGACTGCTAAATGCCCCTTGGTCGCCGATAGCACCAACGCAGTAAATCCATTTGTGTCTTGATGTTCAATATTGGCCCCGTGGCTCAAGAGCGTCTCTGCAATCTGTGCATCACCCCACCGCGCGGCATATAACAAGGCAGTAAAGCCGTTGCGCTCCTCGTAGTCCACGTCTGCGCCACGCTCCAGGAGGAGATTTGTGCAACCGAAGCGATTGTGGCGGATTGCCAAGAGCAAGAGAGTCGTCTTAGTCTTAGAATCGTTGTAATTAGCATTGGCTCCGCGGTCCAGAAACAAAGAAACGACCTTGTCCTGCTCCCTTCGTCCACGTGATAGAGCGAATAGAAGGGCTGTCTCTTCCTCGTGCTCGGGTACGCCGATTGTGGCCCCCTTGGCCAGAAGCTGTTGTAATATGTCGAGGTTTCCGATCTCTATCGCCTCAGTTAAGGGGGATGTAGAGACGGTAAAGTCAGACACCTTCACCAGCTCGCCCCGTGCGTTGACGTCCGATCCACGGTCTAGAAGGAGCTTGACTACTTCCACCTGGTTTGCACTTATTGCGCGCATCAGCGGGGTCTTGCCCAGTTTGTTGCGGCTCTCAATATTCAGCTGGTTATCCAATAGAAACCGGACACCTTTCAGATTGCCCATCCGAGCAGCGTCATGCAACAAAGTGTCACCATCTGTCAGAAGTTGAATATGGAGGTCCGCTCCTCGACCAAGAAGATGATTCAGGACCCCCACGTGGCAGACTCTGCTCATCGCCCACATCATCGCTGTCCTGCCATCACCATCGGCGGCATTGACATCCGCTTTGGCTTGAATCAGCTTGCGGACAGCTGCCAAATGTCCTGCCATAGCTGCTCTCATCAACGCCGTGGAGCCGTCATGGCTCCTAACATCCACGTCGAGTCCGTGTTCCAAGAGTATATTCATAAGCTCGGTGTTTCCTTGAAATGCGGCTATGTGGATGGCGGTGCTCCCATCGAAACCTACGGCTCTGGGATCGAAACCAGAATCCAAGAGTTGCTGGACTGTTCTGACAGCGAGGCCATTGTTGCTGCCCTGCTTCGAATTCGCAGCGAGCAATAGGGCTGTCCAACCATCATTATCGCGAGCGTCGGGATTGAAGTCATGACTCAGTAACAGTTTTACCACCTCTGAGTAGTTGGAGCATGCAGCATGCATCAGGGCCGTTGTTCTTCCTTGAGTGCACGCGACGTGCGGGCTCGCACCTCGGTCCAGTAAGAGTTGTAGGCTCCTAATGGGAGCGTTTTCAGCAGCCCCCAGAATCAAGGGAGTTTTCCCTTCGAAGATGCTAGAGTCAAACATGTTGAGTTTCTTGCATATTCTTAGCGATCGAGCAGTAGGTTCTACTGTCACGTCAACACTTGCACCGTCGACTGCGTCGATAAGGCGTTTCTTCTCGTCTGGCACGCTGGTAACTTCATCCCCCAGGTGCTTCTCGAAGTTCTGCATCATGATCCCATGATCTCCCTCGAGCTCGGGCTCGCCTGGTGGTTTGTTAGACTTGTCCATTCTCGTTTCCTCACATGTGATGGTTCTTTAGATGTATGATTAGTAAGTCTCTAGTACGAGGATCCAGGTAGGAAAATTCGATATCGTCTTGGTTGTAATGGACAACTTGCCTTTGGATACAGCCTCGTGAGTCGTACCCCGCACTTGATGCATTGGATCTTATTTACGCCCCCACGGAGCCAGTCAATCGAGCTTCGATATTGTGTGTGTTAACCTCCTCGTCATCTGACATTGTATTATCTTGTTCCAAAACATTTAACTCGAGCAAGGACGGAATACTTACTTGAGGGTTCACCGATTGTGCCGGACCCTGAGAGGCAAATCGTGGATAGGCAATGAGGAACGTCCAGAGAGATTAGAGATCAGCCGCTTCAGGATAGAATACCATAGTGGATGATTGAAGTACTCCCTATAGATTGGGCCCACCCGAGAGATTGATCAAATAAAGTCGATGCTTTCTAGTCATTGGCCGCTGGGGCACACATTCACGAGCAAGATACGAACAAGGGAATATTTTTCAGAGACAAATCAACCTAAACGCCTATATAAAAATGAAACCATTTCCCTCTTGCCATGTGGCCATAGAGCAATGCCGACAACGTAAATGCATGCGGAATGTGCTCTACCTCTTTTTTTGGTTCATCATACATGAAATCACCCTGTTCGACTTTTTGATCAATCCTTGTTCCAGCGTTGCGTCGAATTGATAGAGCTCCCAGGTAGGTAGCCTAGCTACCCATAGTTTTAAATGTCAAACAGAGGCTTCAACTTGACAATGAGGTGCCAGTCATCGTTGGTCATGTCCTTGCGGTAAAACTCCTTGAGTGTGTCGATACTCTTGCGAGAGATTTGACTGTAGAGTGTGTCCGTCTCTTCAAGGTGTCGGCCATATGTGGGCTGAGAGCTGCCCATTTCAATCTTCACGGCGACCGAGGGTGCTCCCTTTTTGCAGACGGGAATAGCCTTGTGGTCACGCTCAATGGATGTACTAGAGGAAACAAGTTAGTATGAGACAATAATTTCTGCCATGGAGGGGAAACTTACACTCTGCCAATGGGAACAATTTCTTTGCCATTTGGACCCTGTCGAACAGCGGCAATGGGCGTGTTGATCTTGAGGTTGCCATCAATCACATCGACACCAATGACAATGGGGTTGGTCTTGTTGAACACAGCAACCGTGTTGAGAACGCAAGGGAAGACGGCCAACATCTTGGACTCTTCCTTCTTCTTCTCGAGTTGCTCCTCCATGTGCTTGGTAAAGTTGTCAAAGAGATGGTAGATGATGTCGGCAGTAAAGATCTTGATGCCTTGGTCCTCGGCATATTGCTGCGCTTCCTTGTCAACCTTGACATCGAAGCACAGCATGACGGCATAGTCGGGCGACTTCTCCAACATGGTACCACACTGCATGACATCTCGCTTGAAGACGGGTCCAATTCCCACGTTTGCCACGGGGATCTTGCAGTCCTTCAAAAAGTCGAGCAAGGCTTCCAGCGAACCCAGAGTCGAGGCCTGCACCGAGACACCACGTCCAGTCTTGGTGACACGGCTAAAGAGCACGTTGAGATCACCCTCGAGCTCATCGATAAGGTCATCCTCATCATCATCAGGACCGACAACCAAAAGTCGAGAACCAGCAATAGCACCATCGAGACCAGGAGCGCTGATCTTGACACCCATGGCAGCCTTGATCTCCTTGTTGTGGACATATTGAGACTTGACACGCAGTTCCTTGAGCGGCGCAGGCGTGAGAAGTGCACGAATATTGGTGACTATAGCACCCTCTGTGCCGCATACCACGATGCGATCACCTTCGCGAATGACACCGTTGGACAAGATAACGTCAATGGTCATACCGAAACCCTCAATGGCCTTGACCTCGAGAACGGTAGCTTGGACCTCGGACAAGTACATGAGAGAGCCAACCATTCTCTCCTGGGTGAGCTGAACAATCAGCTTGAGCATGTCAGGAATACCCTCACCAGTGTGTGCCGAGGTGGGGATCAAGGAAACGTTCTTGGCCATGGATTTGTTCTCGTAAAAGAGCTCAGAGTTGAAACCCTGCTCGGCGAAAGCAACCTTGGTCTGCTCGAGACGGTTCTTGAACTCGTTCTGAACACCCTTGTTTTGCAAAGCCAAACTCTCCTGGAAGCCGTTGTTGTCCACCTTCTTCCAGCCGTACAGACGATCAATCTTGTTCAGCGCGACAACAAAGGGAGTCTTTCTGTCTCTCAGCAACTTCATGGACTCGAGAGTCTGGGGTTCGAGACCGTGCATGATATCGACGACCAGAATGGCAATGTTACAGAGGGAAGAACCACGAGATCGCAGGTTGGAAAAGGACTCGTGACCAGGGGTATCGATAATCAAGAGACCAGGAACCTTGAACTCGAAAGACTCATCACGGTTAACCACTTGAGTCTTTTGCTTGATGGCATCGACAGGAAAGTACGTAGCACCAATCTGCTGCGTAATACCACCAGCTTCGCCCTCCTGGACGTTTGTCTGACGAATCTTGTCCAAAAGCTTGGTCTTTCCGGTATCGACGTGACCAAGAATACAGCAAATGGGCGATCGGAGGTTGTCCGCGGATCGAGCTGCCAGAGCAGCCTGGTGTGCCTTTTCACGTCGCTCGGCAGCCTCTCTCTTGCGCTGGGCCTCGGCTGCTTGTGCGGCGGTCTGCTCCTCATCTTCCTCGGACTCCTCTTCAGACTCGGACTCGGACTCGGACTCTGAGTCCTCCGTGGCCTTTCGCCTGGAGGGCAGCTCTGTCGACTTCTTTTCTGAACCCTCCTCGTCAGAGTCGGCATCCCAGCTGTCCTTGACGTCTTCCTTGTCCGATTCGGCTGCAGCCTCCCAATCATCTTCAATGTCGCTTTCTTCCTTTGCCTTGGCGGCCTTTGCAGCGGCTTCAGCTTCGGCAGCCTCCTTGGCAGCCTTCTCTTCAGCCTCCTTGGCAACACGCTCTACTTCCAGTCTTGCTCGCTCGGCAGCCTCGGCCAGGGCCTTTTCCTCGTCGACCTAGAGCCCGGTTAATATTGCAATCGATTCCCAACATTTCACAAGGGTCTGTTTGTTACGCACCTTGCCTGCCTTGCCACGCTTCCGGTTGTCATAAACAACCTTCTTTTTCTTTTCCTCGCCTTCACCTTCCTGGGGACCAATCTTGATACCAGCAGCCAGCATCTGCTGGAGCTTGCGCTCGTTGCGAGCCTTCTCCTCCTTCTGGGCCTTGGTCATGAACTTGCCCTCCTTCTTGAGCTGGTCAATCCTCTCCTTTTCCTTTTGCTTCTTGCGGGCCTTTTCCTCTTCGCGGCGCTTCACCTCTTCGGCGTCTCGCTTCTCCTCTGCCTCAAGGCGTGCCTTTTCCTCGGCAGCTTGGCGCTCCTCTGCCTCGCGGCGCAAGCGCAGCTCTTCCTGCTGCTTTTGGAGAGCTGCCAGGTGAGGAGGAAGCTTCTTGCCCTTTTTGCCGGCGGCGGGAGCCTCGGGGACAGGCTCAGCCTCCTTCTTCTTCTTCTCTTCAGGGGCAGGCTTGGCGGGCTCGGCTTTTGGTGCGGGAGTTGTAGTCTTCTTCTTGGCAGCCTTGGAATGAACTTGTCAATATGCATCTTCTTGAATGTTGGAGGTGGCTCTGGTATTGTTTCACCTGTTCCTTCTTTCTGGCTTTTTCCCTCTCCTTCTTGAGCTTCTCCTTCTCGGCCTTGGTCAAGATGCGGCCGTCCTCGCCAACGTCATCGGCTCCGGCGGCGGCCTTTGCAGCGGCCGCGCCCTTGCCACCCTTGCCCTTCTTCTCGGGAAGGGCAAACTCGTCGTCCATGTTGGCCTCGACGGGGGCCGGGGCGGGAGTCGCGTCTTGGGCAGGCTCTTCTTCCTTGGGAACTTCAAAGTCCTCTCCCAGTCCCTGCTTCTTCCTCTTCTCGCGACGTCTGCTCATCATGGCCATGAGACCGCCAGCGGGGGCGGCATCCTCGTCCTGCTTGTCGTCGCCGTTGGCGGCATCGTCGGCGGGGGCTTCACTGCCGTTGACGGGGGCGATGGACTCTCCAAGTTCGGCTTCCCAGTCATCGTTGCCGCCCTTCTTTCCCTTCTTGCCTTTGGGCGCCATGTTGACAGTTGTCGCTTGTGGTGCTTTAAAAAAGCGGGAAGAAGAAAAAATTCAAAGAATCCAGACGAAAACTAATTAAAGGCTCGCAAGACAGCCTAAATAATAGACCTTGACTCGTCTATTTCGTGGGGAGAGAAAAAAAACAGACAAGGAGCTGTAGGAGGCAGCAGAAACCTGTTCCTTCAACAAATGAATGGGAAGGGTAAACAGAGAAAAAAGTTCTTGGATCTGCCGCAAATCCCAAAACAGGTGGCGGATGTGGATGAGATGGTGGGCTCAAAGCTGTGATGGAGGGGTTGATTTCCCACTACGAATAGTGCAGGTATCGTACAAGGTGGACCTTGGTGGGCAAAGCTCAGTTTAGGTCACCACTCACTAAATTCCAAATGTGGGGAGAATTTGCTTGCACTTTTGCCCCACTCTACAGTGGACTCTCAGCTACTTACCTTGAATCCTACATTGACCTCGGGCATATATTATATATTTTTTTGCTCCAAGAACTCGATCCGTTTAACCGTTTGGGACGTTTTGATGGTTTTCGTTTCATGACTCACACAATCAAATTGTGAATCCCAGCTCTTTGCAACTCGCGTATACTCTAGGCAGCACCAAGCAAAGGTTCAAGGCCCAGCATCGAAACAAGCACTAATTTCAGCGTCCTTCTTCAGAGAAACATCAACACATGTAATATACTGTAAAGAGCTCCATCTCAATGGAGGCACCAGCTGACATAGAAAATCTTCATTTCCTGTTTTCATATACATTTTGCATCATAGCAAGCATTTCATAAAAGCTAGACACTGCCCATTTGATCCTTGAAAAAGACAACATTGTTTTTCTTCGTTTCTTTTGTCTAGTCTATTAGCCAATGCTGCCAACGCCATTTCTTGTCCCTTGATCAATGTTTTGGTCTCTAGTCACTGTGCTGTAATCCCTTCTTGTAATAATCCATAGAGATCGTAGTAATCAAGGATGGCTGTGACTGCAGTCAACGTTCTCGACCCTCCTCATCATAATACTGGCGAGAGGTAGTACTCAAGTACTTCGTAGGCAAGATCAACGTATGCAGTCATTTCGCCATCGTCTTGTAGTTCCCGTGTGTATTTTCCACCTTCCAGACTTTCCAGAAGCTTGCAAAGACGAGCTGCATGCTCCTTGTTTATAGTCAACTTTTCCAAAGCCCGAAGGTCCAGACAACGCTGGAGGATGTCCCCGTCGACATGCATGTTCATTATAGGCGAGCTCTTGGGTTCCGGGTCCCAATCGGTGTCCATGGCCTCAAACTCACCATCTTCACCATTGCCAATCTCTGCATAAGACGCAGCAGGATGACAAATGTTTGGCGAGGCAACGGCAAGGTTCTGAATGAACCGGAGAAGTCGCCAAGCTGACGCGTCCAGTATTGTGAAATGTCTCAAGGACCCATCGATACCAAGTCCAAGGATATCCGCACCGTCACGGCTGCTTGGCACATGCCCATACAATGATTGCTGCTCGGGGCCACTCCAGGGCATTCTAGTTCTTGCGCGGACGAAACGCTTGACTGATGCCCGCAGTTCTGCTAGAAAGATTGATTTGAAAGGCCTGTCGCTCTCGGCTGGAGCCCACATCCCCCATACTCCGCAAGAATTATCCGACACAAGTATCACGCCCTGGTGGTTTCCTTTCCTTGAAGTGTCGACACCGTCGAGACAGTGCAGTGCCGGTCTGGCCTTGTCATCCGTATTTAGTCGTGTCATTGTTTCTGCATTGGGTGAACTTTTAAAGTCCACAATCTCAAGCGAATGGCGCGTAGTTGTGACGTAAAGTCTGTCATGGACAACCTCCATTGAAGTTGCGGGCGAGGCGAGAACATGCTCCTTTACTTTTCTTAGTTTCTTCTCTTCCAAGTCAAGTATTTCGTACTGGATTGTGTTCCCAGTGCAGAGAAGTAATCCTTGGGCCTCGGTCGCGATCGACCAAACTGGGTCCGCGTATCCCGTCCTCTTCAGTTTGGTGAAGAAGCGTATTCTCAAAGGGCCATCCGATACCCGGCTCTCATCCTTGCTTGCCGTGATAACCAATACTTGGCCCTGGCCGTCAGGAAGTCGTACCGACACCACAAGGTAACTCCAGGTGCGGCCGTCCTTTTCATAATTCCAGTCTGACAATGCCAAGATCCGAGAGCCGGGTCTTCCGAGACCAGTGATGAATGGGACTTCAACGCCCCCGGAATCAGTCGGCATTGAGAGATCCACGCCAGTGACGGGATCGATGAATCGTAGGGTCGGGCAGCCACGATACAGAACCGCCACAACCAGGACATCCAGCCTCGGGTGATACATGACTTTGTAGGGAGTCCCAAGAACAGGGAGATGACGCAAGACGGGCTTGGAAACACTTTGTAACTCTGCAAAGTAAATAGAGGACCCAGACACCATGGTGAGCGTTGATTTTCCGGCAACCTGTGACAGATTTCGTCGCATTCTGCCAACAGTGCTCACGTCAGGAGACGTACTCGTCTCAGACTCGACACCAGTCACCCAGACGCGGTCCTTCTTCTCAAATCTAGGTCTCCCCCTCGTTGCCCGGCTGGACAGAAAAAAGACATTCGAATCACAGCAGACGAAGAGAGACGACGGTTCCGACTCTGTACTCATTGGGAATACATATGCTCCTGCTGAGCCAAACTTGTCGCACGTGCCTTGAAAGGTCTGCATGTTATTCGGGTCCAGTGCTAGTGTTATGACTTCACCACTTCTGGAGCCTATGCAGATCGTAGCATATCCCTCCTTATGCTCCATGGAAACCATGCTGGTAAAGGCCTCAGTCGGGTGCATGCCGGCGAGGGGATTGTTGTCAGGCTGTTGCGCGCGCAAGACTAGTACCAGAAGTTGTTAGTGGGACCTTTGTCATTTCGAATATTCATACTCACGTTGGACAATGTCAAGACGGATTGGTTCCGGCGTTTGATTTTCTGGGCTGATTTGCGTCGAAAATACCATGAGTAGCGGCTTGCCCGCTTCCCGGTCCCAGACACCGACCAACAAGGCACTCTCTCCTGCAAATTTGGACCACGCAAGGCATGTGACTTCTCCGCTAATGTTATATGTTGGGCCTAGATTCAAATCGAGGCCACTTACGCGTCCTATGCTGACGCGAAAATCAGGGCCAGAATAATACGATATGGCTACCAGATCCGTTCTTGCCGTCGCATCAGTAACAACAGCCTCAGAATTACCCACGACATGGCTCATAGGGTGTCGCAGATGGCTAAATAGGTTAGCAAACAATTTCCACAAAGCCTAAAATGGACGCATAACTTACCCATCTAAAGGATCAACAATGGTGACAAAATCCGTCGTAATCTGGATTATTGTTCCATCATCGAGCTCTTCTGCTGCTAATGTGGTTGAAAATAGGTCAAAAGGCACTTCTTCCTGGGATTTGAAGGTGGCTGCGAGGGTATCAATATCAATGTGGACAATGGTAGATTTGTCGGGATAGGCCAGCAGCAGGCAAAGTTCAGAGTCTGGACTGTTTGCCGGACTCCTCATTGTCCAGCATTGCTGCACATGATCTTCGAGGTCAAAGTCAAAACCGACTCTTGCCTCAAAGCCATACCTGAATTCGACAATTGATCCAGTCTGGCCTCGACCAGCACATGCGAATAGCTGGTCCTGTCGTGAACACGACTCGCCATTTTGAGCATTGCGAGATCGATGTTTCTTGCCATCCGACTGAGAAACTTGTATAGGCTTGGTAGATATAATGTCTACTGTTGGGGACCAGTTTGGTATAGTTCCGATGTGACTTGGTGCTTGTCTCGCCTCGGCCTTTGGGAGGAAAATGATCAGCTACTAAACATGACAAGATTCGGGGCTCTGCGTACCCGCCATATTGCACCAGGACCCGAGTCACCGCCAGTGATGAGAATGTCCGCAAACCGGTCATACAGACAAGCAAAGGCTGTGTCTATCTTGCATTTGACTTCCCCCAAGATTACATTGGTGGAAATTCCACCCACGGCTGCAATCTCGAGGAATTGTAGGATGCCGTCCTCCCTCGCCATCCATATGGTATCCTTGTCAAGGTGGTATTCTGGCAAGCGCCATGGCCTGCTCCATGCGGTCCACAAAGGCATGGTATTGCCAATGTGTAGTTCGGTCTGATCGCGCTCTTCCATCTCAACAACTTGTGCTTCGAGCTGTCCGTTCCTAAGTGTTGCCCAATGGGCTTGGCTTGTCTCCGTGACCAGTAAAAAACTCTCTCGAATCGTCGAGGGGATCATCAACAGAGGCATCTGGTAATCCGGAGCGAGTGCCCACCCTGGACTTGGTTGACGTAAAGAGTAGGCCACGTCATCTGTAAGTTCCCACTCGAACCGATGTAATTTGGAACTACCCTTGTGTACAAGTATCAATGTCAGGACAACGTTCTCTTCATTGTCTGCGCCAGGTGAGAGAAAGGCAATCTTGTGTATAACCCCAGTCACGGCTTTTGGAATGACCGATTTTGTGACGGGTCTAAAGGGCAGCCCTCTTGCGCGGCGGTCCCGAAGAGTATCGATTGATTCCAGATTCCAAATTTGGAAATGTGTCTCTGAACAACCCAGAGCCAGATATCGCGAACTTGGATCCACTGCCAGGTGATAGCCGGGCAGCATCAGGCGGGTATCTGGGATTTTTTCACCATGTGAGACAAAATGCCACTGGCCAAAAGTATCTTGTTCGAGGAAGAGAAAGACCAAGTCGCCTCGCTCGAGAACCAATGCAACCAGTTGTGGTGGAAGCTGGCCATGGGAGGTTGCTGTCAACATGTCCACATCATCATCTTCAGCTTTCATCTCGTTCACACTAGCATCTTCGCCATAGTGCGCTGGAGATCCAATAACACAGGCATTGCGAATTCGAGATCCAAAATCTTGCTTTCTGGCAATGTCGTGAAGCTGAATATCCTGTCCAAGCTCGGAGACTTGCACAAAATTGTCCTGTTGGGTTCAAAACGTTAGCCGAATCGTCAGTTTCATAATGCCCCAAATCTTGCAAGAGGGTCACTTTGGGGAGCGTCCTAGTGACACATAATTGCCGAAATGGCCAAGGACATCTCGGTTCTACGCCAGTAGTACATTATTCTTCGAGAATACACGAGAAAAGGTAGACTACATACCCCAACAAATACAACATCATTGTATTTGGGTGACCTCAGTTGTACTGGCAAGACCCAATTGAAGACAGGACTTTCAATGACGGTTCTGGTCAAAAGGCCGTAAGTTGGTGGAGCGGACAGCCGTTTTGGCTGTTTAATGGTTTGCGATGAAGCCGCTGCAAACAAGTCTCCCGGGCTGACGGTGCGGGTGACCCATTCACCATTCCGGAATACATTGGTTTGAAGAGCCATTGTTGCTGCTCATGACGCCTGGGCAGCTGGGCTGCCTGATAGGAATTTTCAAGCTGACCCCACAAGGTCGTGCCGTCAGGAGACTTTTCGAGAGCAGGTGTCGAGGGTTGTACAAATTGAAGTTATGGAAGCCAAATTTAGAGTTGCATGCACCAACCAGCGCAGAGAGGCCGGTCGAGGCCAAAAGTTCAGAAACAACAGTTGAACAGGCTATGCCACAGTGTTAGTGATATTTGTATCACCGGCTTTGGCCAAACAGGCTGGCCACATTGGACGGAATACTTACCTGAGGGTTCACCTATTGTGCCGAACCCTGAGAGACAAATCGTGGATAGCCAATGAGGAACGTCCAGACAGATTAGAGAGTAGCCACTTCAGGATAGAATTCATGATTTACTTGTCAGGACTGAGAGGATATCAAGCGTTAGAGGCGGCCCCGGTTGAATTGAATTTGAAAACAGGGTATTGCGGAGAAGATAACGAGGGCTGGAGCTGTATGCGGTCCGGTCAGGTTAGCACATGGCCAACTTGTGCTGTCATGTACGCAGCTGAGAAGATTCAATCAATGGCCGCTGCCGCTTCTGGTGTTGCTGAGCCGGTTCCAAGGCGGATGGTTTGCCTCATATGGGTTGAGGATAATTCCGGCCCCTGGTCAGACCCCGAGAGCCCTTGCAGCAAGACGCCCAAGGCTGGGGGGGACGTTTGAGTTTGATCGTGCAGCCGTTGGGCAACGAAGATGACGACGGGTGCTGTCGTTGGGAGAGAACGGCGGGAAGAAGCAGGGAAATAGATGTGGTTGACCAAAGATGAAGAGGGATAAAAGAAGAAGAGAAAAAGAAAGATAGACGACCACTCAGAGTTCAAAATGTTTCGAGCCAGGTCTGGCCACTCGGTCGGTTGCCTTGGGACCCTGCAGTTCGTCCCTGGAGGAAGGTTGTGGATTTAATGATTTGGGTGAGGCCGGATCTAGCTGCGGGGTGGATTGTTCACATACCTACTACATTACCCACCCAGGTTGAGGTATGTAGGTAGGTACTCTGTAGTTCGGTGGAAGGTGGAAGGTTAAGCAGCCCGCCCGGGCTAATGTGGTTGTGGTTTTGCAGAGCCAGTGGATCTCAATAGCCAAGGTAGCTGCGCTGTCTGTCTACCCTGTCTGATTGCTAAATTAGATACATTAGGTAACTACTGCCCCGAGTTTTCGCCTGTGGCCTTTGAGTCCCTTTGTGGCATGTTCTTGCTGCCTTTGATACCTACATACCCAGATGCCTATATTCTCAATTGACTTTGATTCCATGCAAATGCGTGTAACAAGGGACGATTCAGTCACTTTGCAGTCCCTTGAGGCATTATCCTCTGACAAAGTGCTGCGTGCATACTACAATGTACCTGACTGTAGTGGGGGGGCCATCAAAACATCTGCTACTTACATTATCCAACGTGATGAGAGTAACAAGCGCATAATAGTCTACTTAGACACCTGCCTAGCTAAAATCCATATGCTCCAATATCTCTGCAATGTAATATGCTTATGCAATATTGCTCCTTTTCACTAACCCTTCGAAAACGTATACTGCTTCGAATGGGCAGGAACTTCGCCTGTGAACAATCTTCACTCAAAGCCTTGCAACACGAACCATCTAGACGTGTAGATATACTTGCTTCTGCGTACATTAGTCGAATAATTTTTTTTTCATCATATTGACGCACATGGCAGGCAGTATACTGCATATATATCCAAGAAGAAGAAAATTAGCCTTTCGTCACGGATAAACTAACCGACCAACATTTGCCAAGTTGGGCTCTCAGGTTCATCAGATTGATGGGCCCGAGGTACAAACATGTAGAAATACAAGACACACGTGTTCCCGTTTTGCACGCACAGGTTCATCTGCAACCCAAAAAAAAAATCTGACAATGTGTTGTCTCGGGCCTGGATAGAAAGAGCCCCTCTGATATGATAGATCACCGGAGAATTACATACAGTAACATTGGGCAGGGTGGGCATTGATGTACAAACCATGTCTGTAGGAAAAAAAAAATACATGAAAGTCACATTTTATTTTCAACTTTGCCTATGCCACAAGTGCAACCATGGAAATGATGAAGTCGTGTGGCAGACAGCCACATCATGCAGGTCTTCTACATGCCGTGGCATACTGGCCTGACTGGCTTGCGCATCTAAACAGTTGTAGAACTAAAGCTACGTGCGAGGATATGGCGGTCAATGACAAGTCACCAGAAAACTTTGCCGCTGTGTCCGACTGGTATGCAGGCAGGAGAAACATGCGTGTTGACATACATGTGTATGCCCATTGTTGGAGCAAGGATCATGCATCTTTTCTGGAGAAAGAAGCCTTTGCATGCATGTCAGCGGGATGTTGATTTACCCCGCTGCCCTGTCAAGCCAGGATACACTCTCAAGATGTCAAATTAATATTACGAGGAATGGCCGTCAATACACCGTGGCTGGTGTAGGCAAGCACCAAGTACTGTGTAGAGAAGACGCATCTAAGCGATCCATGGCACTACTATTCATTTTGATATTCCAAGAGCCAAGTCAATTCGTCCCTACAAGAGTCTAGGGTATTGACGAGGAAATGGCACCATCGATCGACCGCCTGCATTAGTAAGATTCACCCAGCCATCTGAATGATACGCGGTCCACGATCTCCCACCGGGATACATTTCAGCAGGGATTCCAAAGTCGTGGAGTCGTTGAATTTGTTCTTGTCTGCATCGTGGAGCGTCGGCTGCAATGTCAAGAAAAGACAGCCTACCAAGCTTGGAGTTTAATGATAGAAATCACTCGCCCATTATGCAGTGACTAAATATAGGTTAAAATGGATTAGGCATTTGGCAATCTACAGGCGTTGGCAAGACTTTACACCGAGATGAAGACGCTCTGACTTGTGGAAACAGGTGGCCCAGGCAATGTTTGCACCAAGGATCACATGAATCACATCGTCTCTTATGTTTGCCTCTCTCGATATACCTCCGAGACTGCACGGGCCGTGGCCAAGCCATAACCAGCATTAACCACAGATAGCCTCGGAACCTCCCGCTGCTGGAACACTAGGTGGCCTACAAGGTAGCAAGACTGCCATGTGTGGCATAGATCATGAAGTGAAAGCCGTTTTGGGGGAACGAGGCCAACAAGTAGAGAGCGCGTGCAACTGCCGTCTTCTGTGTGCCCGTTGGGGTCTTTGGCACATGCAAACCAGCATCTTGGCCAAATCTACGGTGAGAATATACATAAAGTGCAACAGTTTGAATTCTTGCCAATCGTGAAGGGAGAGTAAACCTTAGTGAGGCAGATTCAAGGGATAAAAATCATGCGTGCTCGAGTTAGTCTGCCATCGCTTTTCTGGTACACTTATCTCCCAAGCATGCCTTCACTCATCAGCTTGGAAGATTGTGTGTTTCCAGCGGCGTCATAGGTACTTGGTCGCCGACATGGCTCAACCCATGTGTCACACAAGTGGTGGATGCATGTAGTGCTTCTCTTCGCCGCAGTAGATTGATTATGGCTGAGCCTGTAGATACACGTAATGAAAGCATTAGGTGAGAGGAGGGAACCTCATGTGCTGTTGGTTTCTGTACGACTGAAAAAGCAACCTCGACTGCTCAAATGGTAGCTACCAGCTGGACATATTAGTTAAACGATGATGGGTCACAAGGCATCAAACATATCTACATACGAGCCCAGGCAGAAGATATAGATCAAGATGCCGAGTGCTGTTACTCATCTATGGCAACACTGGCTTGTTGTATAGAAATACAACACTTATTACACTTTAATCCGCCTGTCAATTGTATCAATTGGTGCGGGGCTTCAAAAGGTGTTAGTACATACGTAGCTCGATTAGCTCGCTCCGGAACCCCTCCGCCGCTGTCACGTCAGCCCATCCAACCCGCCTGGCGTCTGGATTCGCGCCTCATCCCTGTCGATACGCGATCGACAAGCTGTCTTGAATCGAAAACTCCAAGATCCCAACGGCGTACATTACCTATATGCACACTGCAGATGCTGTATAGCGCCAGCCCAATTGATGCATATTTTGTGATTGTCCCTTGATCTTTCTGCCCTCTGCTAGTGCCTCGACCGATTGCAAAGCCCCGACCGTACCAGAAATCGTCCCCTTCGTGCGCCAAAGCAGGTCCTGGGCCCATTGCAGCTGGGCGACTAGGGTTTCAGTGGGAACGTGCATTGTCACAAGGCGAGCTCGAATCACAAAGACATACCGCAAGCAAGCTGAGGTCGGCCGTTGTTGCATTCGCACCGAACCGTCTGCTACATACGCCAATTACATATCTGGGCCTTGGTCTATTGATGGTTCAGATGCGAAAGAACAGCAATTGCTGAGACAGAGAGCGGAGGGCGTTCAGAACAATCTCGACCTGGTAATGCTCTGGCGTCCATAGGCGAGCAGGACCTGGTAGAGTGGTGCAAAAACATATCTGAGGGAGGATATATTGCGTGACCAGCAACAGCGTACTTGGGAGGTACCCGGTTCCAATAGCCCTGTCGTTTTCCTCCAACACGGGCCTCTACGCTCGCTGCAATTCCGCAACTCAGTTGCTTCTTCGTCCTTGGCTCAGCTGCAAGGAATTGTCAAACCTCCGGACCACATGAAGAACGGTTTTCTGATTCAAAACTCCGGCCTACATTGGTTGCCAACGAATAGTTGACTGCCAGCAAGGACAAGGTCCTCAGGTTGGGCAGTCGAGTCGATCCTGCACGTCGTCGCAACCCTGCATCGCTTCAGAGCAGCTATAACAAAGACCAACCTCGCATGGTATATCTGGCTCGGACTGGGCCAACCTGCTTAGACGACCAGGGCACAGCAGGTTCTCAACGATACACGGCAGGCCATATTACAGATTTCCGAGCATGTCAACAACGGCGGTCGAGCCTGGCGAGCGCTCCGAGACTCTAGGCACTCGGGACAATGTCGCGGTAGACCACGCCAAAAGTCGTGCCATTCTTGACGCCTGCAGTCGTGACGACATTGAACATCTCAAGGAGCTCGCAGTCAGCAAAGGGGGGTTCCTCTCGGATGCTATTCGATTTCGCGCATGTGAGTCTCTAGACACGCAACATTGCTCATTAGACGGGGCAAGCTTACAATGTGATTCTTGCAGGGGCGGTCCTCCTCGGCATTAGGCCTTCTCATGCAGTCGCTCTTGAAAACGACACTTCATCGCCAAAGCCTCATTCCGAGATCAATGGATCTGTTGATGACACCTCTAAAGAGGCAGATGCAATCAATAGACCATGGACCACGCTTCCCCGGCACAGGGATGAGGATCAGGTCCGTCTAGATGTCGACCGCAGCTTCATATACTATCCCAATGGTATGTGTACTTTTTTTTTTTCGAACGTCTCGGAATACCTAGTGAAATTGGAACGCGCGTCAGCCGTACAACGGTCCTTCGACTTTGGTGGCATTACCTCAATGCATCGACTTTTTGCTGATATTCAACCCTCAGATCAGTCTCAATCTCAACTGGAAACCAAAAAGACTGAGCTCTCAGACTTAATCACGGAAACACTTAGGCGACAACCCTATCTGTGCTATTTCCAAGGCTATCACGATATTTGCCAAGTCTTCTTGCTTGTATTGCCGCCCCAATTGAGGGCCTCAGCGGTCGCCCGTCTTTCTGCGCTTCGGATTCGAGACTTTATGCTGCCCACCCTGGCGCCTGCCATTTCTCAATTGCGACTGATTCCAGATATTCTGAATGCGGTGGATCCAGCATTGTGTCGCCACTTGTCCCAGACTGAGCCCTTCTTCGCCCTGTCGGGAACACTGACCATGTATGCGCACGACATACAATCCTACAACTCCATTGCCCGGCTCTTCGATGCCCTGTTAGCCCGCGAGCAGATATTTAGCGTCTACATGTTTGCTCAAATTGTTTTGAATCGACGAGAGGAGTTGTTCGATACGCCAGATAGCGAGCCTGAAATGCTCCACTCGATACTATCCAAATTACCTCAGCCTCTCGATCTCGACAAGCTCATTGCTGATACCGCTGCATTGTTTGAGAAACACCCGCCAGAGTCTCTTCGCTCCTGGCGTAGGATATCGAGCGCAAGCGTTCTCAAGACGGCTCGCAACGTCACAATCTGTTCCAAGCAGACTCTTGAGGATGGGCATCGATTCTTTGAGAAGCAGCTCAAGGAAATGCAGTGGGCCGAGAGCCGCGAGAGAATACTCAAGCAAATGTGGGCATACCGCAAGCCCGCTCGCGGCATTGCACTAGCCGTCCTCATTGGTCTGGCGGCCGTGTACATACGGAAATCACCTGGCACCTGGGGTTTCTTGGAAGCTCTATGGTCAAAGCTGAGGTGAAGTTGGCCAAAAAGTACGAATATGTCACCCTTGACATTTAAATGAATAAAGTGCAAATGCACAATACCGGGGCTGTGCCCAGGTCCATCAGAGATTGCATGCGGTTTGCTTCAAGACTAGAGCACAAGATCTAGATGATTATACTTGTATGGGTTTGGCACGCAGCATCCCTCATTTTACCTACACCTTGTCACAATTAGATAGAGGGATAGAAAAGAAGAGCCGGCTCTGGTTGGAGAAAACATTCCATTGTAAAACAAAAACAAAAACAAAACAAAAAACGCATAGATACCTCGCTTATCACAGGTGAGCAGTTCATTTCTGGAATCCAATACACAGTGCTTTTCCTCGCCGTGATATTATCGTGAAATTTTGTCGTGGGTATTTGAGAAATATTTTGCACTACATCTACTAAGCAGCGTCTTGGAAAGCCGTCTTGAGACCCTCAAAGTGCTCTTGCTCCTCAACGGCGAATTTGCCCGTTGTGTCGCTGATAATGGTCAACACCAGACTATAGTTGTTATACAGGAAGCGCTCTCTCTTTCGCTTGTCCGATCCCCACTGGCCGCTATACTTGGTCAGGAAGGCTTCCACCTCGCTCCTCAGGCGGCGGAGGCTGGCAACAACGGGCTCATCGTCCCCAGCCTCGGTACTAAGTGATAAAATGCCGTGCATGAGCTGTCCAAAGCGCTGAGTCGCAACATGCGGCGCTGCAGACAACTTCAACAGCTCAGACTTTGAAGCCGGACGCGTAGGCAACGCAGTTGTTAGAGCACGGACAGACTCGCAGTGGGCATTCATGACAGACTGGAGTCGTGGCCACAGTAACATGGAGGTTCCATTAATATAGCCATCCGCGGCAGGAACCTTGCGGCGTTGCAGTGTGAATTGAAAGTGCTGGTTGAGTCGAATCGAGAGCAGTAGGCCTAGTGCATCATATGATTCAGAGACAAGACTCTTGGTTAGACTATGGCCCTGAGCAAATGTGGGCTCAAATATGTAAGTAAAATGCCGAGAGATGGTACTATACGAGAGTGCTGGCGAAAAAAATGACGCGAGAAAGGTGTATTCGGCCGTGGCATTGTCGACAAGCGCGAGATTGAAATTCCGAAAGGGAACTTCCAGATAGTGGTAGCCGTTGTCTTCTTCTGCGAGGTAGGAAGAGAGGGCGGTTTGATCCCTCGTCTTGAGAAGGTCGATTCTTCGGCCAATGTTGAAGGCGTCGTGGGGCGGTCCAGGAAGTTTCGAGGACGACAGCACGCCAGTTTTCCGTGATGTGTCCTCGTTTCCTAGCACATCCAATTTGTCGAGTGAATGGAGCTTGATCTTCCGGAGCGCGATTTCATAGCGGGAGAACTGGTTGTGATAATACCAACGCATCGTATTCTGATATGCTTGGCAAATCTCCTCCGCCAGGGCAGCATGGTGCTTGTGGAGAAAGGAATATAAATCCTTGAACCGCAGAAAGTTTTGCTGTTGAATGATCTGGGCATTGATCTGCGGTGAGCGCAATGCCTTGATTTGGCCCACGAGAAAATCTCGTATTCTCTCTGTGGCTTTCTGTACCAACTTTTCAAGAAGAGGGCCCAGATCTTGGAGACCTTTGCCTGACGCGGACGCTGCTGCGGTTTTCTCATGTGCCGTCGCTCTCTTGTCCACCTCGGCCAGGGCCTTGACCCAAGCTTCATCAATGTGGCCGTCTACTATCTTGGATATTACCACGGGAGATACGCTCATTTCTTCAACAATCGGGCCCAGCCCCTTTTCAACTGCCTTGCGATTGTCCAGCCGTACATTGAGAGCCGTCGATCTTGCTTGAAGGGTCTCGATATCAGCGGATACAGCTGCTAGGTCGTCTCGAAAGCTCGTCAGGTTCGTTTCGACGGAGCTCAAAACCTCGTCACATGCCTGTATGGATCGGTGCAGGTCTTCAAATCTGGTCTTGTCTCTTTCGTCTAGAATCACATGTCGTGAGAAAGGATATTTGGCACAGCGCAAAGTCGGAGACTGGGAAAAGGTACATACATTCTTCAACTGTCTGCGGTCTATGTACACTGGAGCTCTCTTTGGCGGGCTCTTCAGAGAGTGCCAGGCTTGTCAGTGAGAGCCCTCCAAATTCAAATTGCAGCTCTAGGTCATGTTGCGTAATGGTAGAGGTGGGTTGCTCGTGGGCCTCATCCTGCCCCTGACCAAGAATCTTGTCCAGCACCTCTGTAGGATCTGGACCTGCATACGCCGTAGTCGATTGCTTCAATGCCGAGCCATTGGCCCTCCGCGAAGCAGCCAGCAATGAGGACGTGGAGCTGTCATTGGAAATCAACGACAGTGAAGATGAGCGGGGAGTGAGGCCGGGGCGCTGGGACGATGTCAAGTAAGGTCCGAGGCCGCTGGGGGTCCGCCGCCCGGGTGCAGGCGAGTATGCGCGACTACCTGGCTGGGACGAAGAGGGCGATGCGGATTGCTGCCCTGCCAGGCGATCGAGCCACATGTTATGTTGTTTTGGAGCTGATTAAGAGCTTGTTCCTAGCATGACGGTCGATTGTAGCGCCAAAGAGTCGCGATTCCAGGTCGAGTGTGCACAGATTCGGCCACGGTCAATCAAGACAATCCCTTCTCTATGTCCAGGCTGACGGTCCAGATAAGCATGTCCCTTTCTCCCAAATATAGTGTAATAGTGTGAAGCTGTTGCTCACGAGCTGAATCTTGATCAACGTTGTAATATCATGCGAGGCGGTGCATCAGCCTCCTGTTCAGGGCGATGTCGACAGCTAATGCGCCCAGGTACCGGTTGGTGGCTGCTGTTGATTGGCTCAATTGTTAGACACATGTCAGGATCCATCTAGCAGGGGGGACAGCTCTTCTGACTGTGGGGATATTGAACTTATTGCGGGACAGCATTGACGACGCTTTCCCTTTTCCAAGCCAAACAATACCACTGACGAACTGGAAAGTCGACCTCTGTTTTGATTGTGATTCTTCGTCTTGTGAGTAGAGCAGTCAGTCAGGATCTACACTTGTGAAATGTGTTGTCTGGCCTATAGGGTGCAAGTAAAAATATCGAGATCCTCTCTGATTTCCAGGGACCATCTACATTATTTGGGGGGGGGGCTCTTTCAGAATGGTGAATTGATCATAACCTGAATACTCAACACTGCAATTGACAACTCGGAATGTACATATGCAACACCCCAAGCAGTCAATCTAGAATTACTGCTGGTACACTAGATACACACAAGCAATCGAAGCATTGCTAGTTTGAGTTGCAGCATGCACGTCTTCTTGGATTGCTCTGTGGTTGCTTTATCCAGTTGGACATGACCGATTCAGAGATATAGATTGACTGTTATAAAAGGCTGGTTCATTACACATTTCGAGTCCTGTTACATTTTATGCTTCAAACATCTTTGTTGGACGAGATGCCTGGCAGAAAAAAAAAGCAACAACCGCAGCAACACGTGAGCAATATACCTAACCTACAGCACTCCATCCTGCATCAATGTGGCAAGGTGTATGAGGTCCGTACCTTATGTAGCTTCAATGCTGTCCGTCCCGAAACGAAGCATGAATGTCGTACTGTACACACAAGTAGTTAATTAGAAGGGGGGGCGACTGAAGACAATCACTTTTTCCAGCTCTACGAACATGTCTCTATAATGGAAACGATGAATGGGTGATTTGTGAGGCTCCTGGCTTCTAGAAATGTTCCGCATTTGTCTGTCCTTTCCAAGGCCTTACAATGGAAGGTACAAAGGCATGTAGCTAAAACTAGCTATTAGGTATTCAAGAGCAGGTAGATTTCTCGTCCCTCTCCCGCGCTTCAACTGTTTAAGTGCATCCAGAAGTTTGTTGCCCCACCTCTGCCTGCAAATCTGGGCGAATCGATTGGTCCACTCTTTGCCTCTTTCCCGCCCCGATTAGCCATTCTTATCTAGGCGTGTTTTTTTACTTGTGAATTTTTTTTTATTCTGTCCCCGCCCACCAAAAGAGAAGCAAAAGTCGCTGCCAGTGCACTTTTCTTACAGTACCTGGACCCGCCCGCGCTACTACTAATTCCCTTCTCCCACCCAACATCCACAAAACTTTCTCTTCCTTGGGAGTTGGACATCGTCGCACCCATTGCATCCTTCTTTTTTTTTTCTTCTTCTTCTTTACTCCCACTTCTCACCAAAACCAACCTCACCTTCTTCGCTTCAGCTCGTCAAGATGGCCGACGCCGATGTAAGTTGCTCTCTTTCCCAATCGCCTGCCCCTCTTATTGTTTTCCTGCCTGTCGCACTCCTTCGCCCTGAGCGAGCGAGGGGAGCAAATCCACCCCGCATCTATGCCCACGAAAACACCAACGAACCCCGCGATACACAATGTCACCCTCGAACGATCAACGGCGAACGTCTTCCCACAAGAACGACCAGCCTCCCATGAGAACTTGAAAAGGGCAGAATTAAAAAATGTCCGGGGTGCTCCTCGGCTGGCTCTGTACCAATGGATGGCGTCCTTGATTTGTTCTCTTTGATTTGTTTTTTCCCCTTGAATGAACGAACATTTGAGCAAAATAACACACAAAAATCACTGGTAGCAAAACACCACAGTATGCTAACGATCCATCTCTAAAGCATGAACACACCTTCGAGTCCGTCGATGCCGGCGCCTCGACCACCTACCCCATGCAATGTTCGGCCTTGAGGAAGAACGGTTTCGTCGTCATCAAGAACCGCCCTTGCAAGATTGTCGACATGTCCACCTCCAAGACTGGCAAGCACGGTCACGCCAAGGTCCACTTGGTCGCCCTTGATATCTTCACCGGCAAGAAGCTCGAAGAACTTTGCCCTTCTACCCACAACATGGACGTCCCCAACGTCACTCGCCGCGAGTACCAGCTTGTAAGTATTTTTTTCTTCCGCATATACACCAAATTTGATAATCCCTGGGACATGTCACTAATTTCGCGCCAGCTCGACATTGCTGATGACGGTTTCCTCTCCCTCATGAGCGATGATGGTGAGACCAAGGACGACGTCAAGCTGCCCGACGGTGAGATCGGTGAGAAGATCAACCGTCTCTTCACCACCGAGGAGAAGGACACCAGTAAGTGCCCATAAACCTAGTATCCCAGTAGATTGGTATCACCTAACATGTTTTTCAGACGTTGTCATTCTCACTGCCATGGGTGAGCAGGCCGCCGTTGAGGCCAAGGAGGCTCCTCGCGGCGCTTAAATTGCCTGCTTATAGCAGCGCATGATCTACGATAACGACCTTTCATTCACTAGCCTTGACGAAACCCCATCGACATGGGTGTCAGCTGCGCAATGGATAATCTTTTTCCGGGATGCTACTTGAGTTGTTGACATCTGGGTTTCACTTCCCTTGTGGTCGTTGCGTAGAAAAGGGGGTTCTATCTGGACATTTATGATGTTTTTGCCGGGTACATGAATTGACGACTGGCCACGGTTCTGCTGTTTTGATCTTACACAGTGCCGTCTCCCCGCATCATCTTTCTGCCATGAACGTGACGATGAAAATCAGAGGATGAAGAAAAAAAACGGAGCACGCTTTGGGCGGTTTTAACTTGTCCAATAGAATCCACAAAGTTACCCATGAAGTTTATATCATTGATATTTGTGAATATGCATACATGATAGTAAAGACTTGCCAATATCTCCAAGGCGTTGGAGATCATCTGAAATTAAATGTTGGTGGCTGCTAGCTCACTAGCATGCCGAAATGTGCAATGTAAAGAGGTAAAGCAATTTATAAGTCGAAAAGCCAGAGGACGGGCGTGCCAGACTCCGCGGCAGTGCTAGAACCACATGGATGTGATTTTCCTACTTGCAACAAACACCATGAAATCGCCACAAACAAAATATACGATCTGAGCCTGTTACTCAACGCTACAATAACAAAGTCATGTGACCGGCCTAGCATTTCATATTTTTCACTCTATTGAGGCTGTCACATTAAACAACAGCACATGCATCATATATCCATCCCCAGAAGCTGCGAGCTCTACAACTACACGAGGTGTACATATGCAGCTTTCTCCTAGAGCGCCCGTCGTCTCATGGCCCTTGTCGACCCTCAAATTCGCTACTTCGTCGGAGAACAGAGTAATTCGTCAGCATGGCGGGCTTGTCTTCGTACCACAAGATGCGCCACGGAGAGCGGTGCGAGGAATGCCCGACCCGTCACTGGTATGAGCAAGAAGGTTTGCGCTTTTGTCGCAATGGACATCAGCTGGAGGGATTCGCAGCGCACGAGGCAGGCGAAGATGAGTACAACTCCACTGGTCGCGTCACCAAGGCCAAGAAGGAAAAGCAAACGCGCGAAGGTCTTAAGCTTGGAGGATCAGAAGGCAGACGACTCTACCTCCAGGCACTTCAGTTCGTGCTCAAAAGGCAGGTTGAATGGCTGCAAAAGGCCGGCCTGCAGCTTGGCGAGGAACAAGGCAGGACATACGAGGAGCTTGTCAAGGAACTCTGGAGTCTGGCGTGCGCAATGCCAGGCGTAATGGAGAGCGTGGAAACGGGCGAGCTAACTGATTATGCAACCGAGGATACCGTTGCGAGTAGTAGCGGACCAGAAGACAGCGACGCTTCAACCCGGAGTAATGGCTGGCTGGACAAGAAGGGCAGCAAGCTACCAAGCCTCATTCACACCTTGGCTCTTTGCTATCTTGCCTGCGTGATTCTGAAGCAACCGCTCACCACGGCTGACTTTCACCGCTGGGCCCAACGCGGCGAAATAGAGTTCCTAGCCGCACTTCACTGTCTCCCACGAAATGTACAAAGCCGTCTGCCGGCCATGTATCATCGCTCTATGCAAGTCCGGGATCATATTAGACCGGGGAAGCTCCTTCGAACCGCGCAGGAGCTGGCAGTTGCTCTAAATGTCCATTACGCAATCAGGCTACCTACGCTCAACTATCCTCAGATCTTAATCCAGTACATACTCGACCTCACGCTGCCAACAGACATCTTTCTCATGGCCAAGTCCCTCATTCACATTCTCAATGCCACTTTCGAGTTTCCGGACGGTACGAGGAAAAGGACAAGGGCAATGGACAGTCCAGAGTTACTCCTCATTGCACTTGTTGTCGTATCAACTAAATTACTGCATTCTCTCGACGGCATAGAACGGCAGCCGGTCAAACATGACGATCCACGAGTCAAGCAGATTGACTGGCTCGAATGGCAAAAGAATAGATCAGAAGCAAGTGCGAAACGATCAGAACACCGGTTAGAACTAGGGACAGAGTATCGAGTTACGCCAAACGAGGCAGTTTTGATGAATGAGGACAAGATGGACGATTTCATGGATTGGTATGAAAAGATGTGGGTCAGTACCAATGATGCAGAGGTGCCTAGTAAGTCATTATACCATCTCCTCCAGCATCTACCGGCACCGGCATTTCGTTTCGAGCTCTATGGCTTGTCTTGGCTGTCATCTTTTGAAGACTAACAAGCAACAGCGCCCATCACAATCCGCCGAGCATTTAATGAAGACGGCGATAGAAAGATTCCAGACAACAACAAGCATGACATTCAGGAAATGACCAGAAAGATCCAACAAGGATACCGAGCAATTAATGCCAATATGAGCTTCAAAGAGCCCCAGGAAGACCCGCCATTGTTGAGCGGCGTTCGGAAAAGGCTCGAACGAGACTTTTGTCCTACGTGGCGCACAGAACAGGATTTGCCTGATGCTGCAAGGGCATTTTATCAGGAAGCGGCGGATGTTGCAGCCATTCCCCTCAAGCTGTTGCTCATGACATGCTCACAGGTGGAAAGACGGCTGGAGATTTGGTCACACAAGAGAGAGATGGAGAAAGATCCAGATGAGGAGAAAGGGAAAGGCAAATCTGTAGCACAATGAATGTCATTGCTTTCCAATGATTGAGAATGCGAATTCAAGATACCCAAAGTATTTAGCGAGAATGAAAAAGGATCACAATGCAGAAACGGGTTTCCGTATGAATGCAGAGCGGCAATTGCGCGGTGGCCACGACGGTCCAACATTAGAAAACAGACACAACAATTCAGTCAAAATGTAGCAGATATTTGCGTATATACTACAACACAGATGACGAATGCAGGATGAAGGCATTCAGGTAAGTAATGGATCCCTCCATTGACAGAATCCAAAGCAGTAAAGAGTCGCCAGCCGCCCAACGGTCCGCACTGAATGGTATTGGCGGACCGATCGCAGCGATTGGTTTGGTGGTCGAAAAAGAAATAAATCGAGCTCATCGATTGCGGACCCCACTAAAATTATTATTCCTTCTGCGCGGCTTCCTAGCGCCCCCAGCTGTGGTCACCTGATCCACCTAGGGCAACCTGAATTTCCAATTCGATTTTCACCCCACTGAGAACCTTTTTGTTTGGAGGCGACATCATCCCCGAACTTTCCCATCACCAACAGCAAATTCATCGAGGACCGGCAAAAGTAAGTAGCGCAGTAGCCCTGAGAGGACAGAGAATGCCTCGTATGCGTCGCTTGTCATCATGCTAACGTTTATGTGCTTGCAGTGCAGATGTGAGTGCTCTCCCAGCGACGAGGAACCCAACCCCGAGAACCCGAATGACCCAGACCAATCACCAAGGCGCAAAGACACCAGACATGAAATAAATGTACAAACACTGGCACTGGCGACATAAACTAACATGACTTTTCGCCTCTCAGCTTCGTGAAGACCCTGACGGGCAAGACCATCACCCTTGAGGTGGAGTCTTCCGACACCATTGACAACGTCAAGTCCAAGATCCAGGACAAGGAGGGCATCCCCCCGGACCAGCAGCGATTGATCTTTGCTGGTAAGCAGCTCGAGGATGGCCGCACCCTGAGCGACTACAACATCCAGAAGGTGCGTTGACAGCGAATTGGTCTTTTCATGTTGTCAGAGATTGGGACGCAGGGGTAAAAGGGCGACACGGACCTATGGTGGTCGCGGATTTCAAAGAAGACGGAGTTGTGGAATGGGATATTGCTGGACATTGAAGAATCATTGAGGCTAACCCTTGCGCCTGCAGGAGTCGACTCTGCACCTGGTCCTCCGTCTCCGTGGTGGTATCATTGAGCCCTCGCTCAAGGCTCTTGCCTCCAAGTTCAACTGCGAGAAGATGATCTGCCGCAAGTGCTACGTGAGTAACCTGATGTCTCTTGACGGTTTGCAGTTTCTAACCAACTACTACTAGGCTCGTCTGCCCCCGCGTGCCACCAACTGCCGCAAGAAGAAGTGCGGTCACACCAACCAGCTCCGACCCAAGAAGAAGCTCAAATAGACGACTCGTTTCCTCATTTTCCGGCGTACCTGGTTTTCGGCATCATCATTACGAGACAGATCGGATGGGTGGAGGGGTCCTCGGCATGAGAATCGGCATTGTATCCCCGACCTGACTTGGGCATGCGGTTCTTTCCTTTCCGGAATAGCATCCTCTAGATAGGACACAATGAAGCTATGATACGATCTGATACGTATTCGGTTGATGCGATACGAGCAAACAAGCTGTCCTCGTTTTCTACAACATGATCAATGGTGAATACAAAGTCACGAGTGGCTGTAAAAGGACAGACGCCAGATGGCTGAGGAATGTCTAGTTGGACAAAATGAAACCGCCATCTTGGTGGCTGGTGCAACAGAAGATTCCAATCGCAAGAGCTTTCATGCAATCCTGCCATCATAGGACTTGCACTATTGTGGCCATGATCATTTCCCGGGCACCGTGTTGAGCTGTACTTGGTCACATGGAATTTCTGATTGCAAATATTGAATAAGATGCGCATTTAAATTAATGAACTAGCTGCTGAAATTGATATTTGCATTGCATCCGAGGGAACTATGATATGCTACGTACGAGTATAGTTGATGATAGTGTCCGAAATGGTAGGTCTATCATACATTTGCTCTCATATGCAGGTTACATGGAGGACCCGCTGTCGAGCGCCAATCGGCTTGGACACGGACGGAACGGGTAAAGCTCGGTCTTGCGTCGTGTCCTCAAGCTTCCCTCTCCCTACCAATACCTAGCTCCATATGCTACAGCTTTCTATTGGCATTGCCGATTGATACGTAGTACCTACCTGTATCCAGCTGCTAGGCCAGGCAGACGGGAATTGAATTCATTGCCAGCTTCCCTGTTTCTACAACACATTTCCAATCCACCACGTTCATCCAACAGCCTGCAGCGGACCATCATGTCGGGAGCGGGCTATGATGCAGTAGTCGACGTTGACGACGAGGTATGCAGTAAACCCTCCAATCGCAAACTGGTTGCCAGACGTGAATCAGCCAGGCTAACACACATCAACAGGGCGACCTCGGTCACACTGACTTGCAAGAAGACCTCGAATTTCACAACTCGACCTTTACGGCGCCCTCGAACAGCACGCGCAAGGGCGGCTCTGGCGGTTCCGGCCTGCCCCCGCCCGCGACGGCAGGCTCTGGGTCCGGGTCTTCAAAGAGATACCTCTGGTCCCTGGGCTTCTACGCCCAATTCTTCGACGTCGATACCTCATCGGTGCTCTCGCGATGCTGGGCTGCCCTCTACCCACGGGCCAACTTTCTCGATGTTCTAGAGGGGAATCCCGACTTGTACGGACCCTTTTGGATTGCGACGACCGTGGTCTTCATTCTGTTCCTCGGCGGTACGATCAATCAATATCTCACCAAGACGGACGGCGCGCCATTCCTGTATGACTTTAAATTATTAAGTGGTAGGTTGAACAGTATTCCCAGCAGTAAGAATCAAATGGTGCTGACATGAGTCTCCAGGTGCTGCCGGTCTCATCTATGGCTACACTCTCGGCATTCCGGTTCTCCTCTTTGGCGCTCTGCGTTATTTTGGATCCGAGTCGGCCAATCTGCTAGAGTGTTGGGCTCTCTACGGCTACTCCAACTTGATTTGGATCCCCGTTGCCTTGATCTCCTGGTCACCGGTCCAGATTCTCAACTATGTCTTTGTGGGTGTTGGATTCGGTCTATCAGTAGCCTTTCTGCTGAGAAATCTGTGGCCCGTGTTGAGTGCTACGGATCACCAGACCAGCAAGATCCTCTTGGTTCTTGTCGTTGTCTTGCATGCTGCCCTCGCTATTGCCATTAAAGTCTTGTTCTTCAAGGCTGGCAGTCCAGCTCCTATCCAGACCCCGAACCCTCCGGCAGAGGACACCAAGCCGGAGGAGGGCGCTGAAGCTATGCTTCGCTTCTTGCTTCGCCTATAGCGCAGACTGATGATTTCATGAGGCACCGGCGAAAGGAGTATCATATTGTAGGACTAAGCTAGCATGCGCGGGGCGTTTCACGGGGATTATGGATTTGATTGTATATTAGATGCTCATCCATGATGCAAGTCATCATGTTTGTCAGCTGCAGCTTTAGATGCAATGTCAAGTGCTCGAGCATATCATTGTACAGTCTCTAATTCGTGAATGTTTATATCCGCGTTTCGTGTTCAAGGCTTGAAAAGCGTTTCGGAATCTGTTGACATCAAGTCGAGCCTCATGAGCGCTGGATCTTGCCGCCCTTTCCAGTCCAGTCGGCCCAGCTTCCAGGATATTCGCCAACCTTGGACCAGCCCGCCTCACGGGCAATGCCAGCAGCAGCACGGCTCCTGACGCCAGCCTTGCAGTAAAAGATGACCTCGTCTTCTGGAGTCGGCCGCTCAAACCCGAAGCGGTCCTCGAATTCCTCGGCGGTTATGTGAAAGCTGTCGGGCGACGTCGTGATGGGTATGTTCTTGGCCCCGGGAATCCGGCCCGTCGACGCCAACTCGCCCGGCTCGCGCACGTCAATGATTTGGATCGAGGATTCTGGGTCTTGGGAGAGGGTTTTGATCTAATAGGTATCATGTCAGTACTTTTTTTTCCCTTGTTCCTAGACCCTGACCAAGGTTTCCAGCTGTAGGGTTTCCTCATTTGTACGTACCTCGTCAAAGTCGTAGATCTTGCTGCCGGTGGCCGACTCGGAAGACCACCTCACGCCTCGGCCGGAGAACCGTGTTGTCGATACGGTCGCGCCAAAGGATCTGGTGGCTGCTTGGATGCTTGGCCGGGGTTGACAAATGGCTGCTGCTGCGGATCGGGACGCAGTCGCAAAGGTGCGACAAGACACTGGCCCGGCGCAGGAGGACAATTGTCGGGCGGAGCGCAGTGCGCCTCTGAGCGCGTACTTTGATGCCATGGTTGCGAAAAGCAGAATGAATGAGGGAATGAGACTTTGTTGAAACAGTCGAGATGCTATTGGGTCCTTCTCTACTAGGTAGCTTGTCGCTCTGTACCTAGCTCCCGGCTTAGAAATGACGTGGGGTACGAGTTACTCATGATGCGATCTGGAAATAAGTGTCCGAATCTCTGCTGCTATATCAACCAGCAGAAAGAGCGCGAATATATCTTGCACTCATACTACAAACAGCATCAAAGCTCTTTTAGTGTATGCGTATTTCAGAGTCATTGGAGCAGAAGCCATAAGAAAAGAGAGCCATACATGGAAAAGCTACAAAGCCGAGTTCCAGGATACTCGTCGTGCTTTACGCCATGCAAGGTAGAAAGAAGAGTAACACCCTTGTCGTTGGCAAGCGCACATATATATTCCGTCTGACCACCTCCAAGTGTCGACATCTTGTCATTTGCAAGCCGAATACTGCCAGTGCCTCGTGGCTCTTTAGTATTCGCCATGGCACCACTATCAAGACTCGCAGTGCTAATCGCCGCAATTATTTCATGCTCGATCCGTGGCTGTGCCGCGGGCCTGAATCAACAATACATGGGAGGCGACCAGCTCCCTTTTGAATTCCGCGCCGCAACTATCGACGACATTGATGACATGGTCACCGTGTTTATCGAAGCCTTTTCCGTGTCGCCCGCGTGGCAATATATTCACCAATTTGAAGATGCGTATCCCGGCTACACGTGGCATTGCACTCGTGACAGCTGGAGAGACAGTTATGAGAAGAGCGGCTCCAATGCCACCTTTAGGGTGATTTCAGTGCCCGACGAGACGGCCGCGTCGGGCTCGCGTGTAGTATCTTTCTCCATCTGGGAATTCAACAAGACAGGCGGCAGCGACGCAAACCGGCAGTCTATCTGGTCCATGGGTAATCGCACACCCAGCTGGGCCAACTGCTCGGCGCATCTGGATGTGAACATGACCCGGGTCGAAGATTATGTCAAGCAGGGCGCCGAGGCAGAGGACAAGTACCTCAACGACGTGTATGATTGCCAAGACTACTTGGCCCTTTTGGCAACGCACCCCAAATGGGATGGCAATGGCTTTGCGGCAGTCCATCTCCAATGGGGCATGGCCTTGGCTGACAAGACGGCGATTCCCACGACTCTACTTGCTACACCGGCTGGGTATCCGCTATACAAGTCATTGGGGTTCAAAGACATATATAATCAGTCCATCAATAGGTTGGACGGGAAAGGGACTTTTTGGCATGAGATCATGGTGCATTTCCCAGAGGAGGGCTCCTGAAAGTTGACACGATGGAAACCTTGAAACACACAAGGTTGCAATGAACTCGTGTACGTACCAAGCCTGGCCCTTGTCACAAGCTCAGGCCAGACTGACAGCAAGACGTATATCTGAAAACCAAAGGAGATCTTGATAAAAAGTGTTATTTTGGTTTCTGCAAGATATCAAAAGTGCTGTCGCCCTTGTATAGTCACTCTGCACCCTTGCTTACTCAATAGACTGCCCGGACTCGATTCATCACAACAAAGATGCTAAATACAAGGGAGCGGTGGCATCCGAAACTCAAGAGATGAAAATAGACCAAGAATAATTGCACCAGGCCTCCAGCTTTTATGCACGACTCGCAACCGTGCTCTCTAGCGAACGGGTATAGTCCGACGTGACCAATCAAGGACGATGGGCTTACGTCTAGACTCTCTAGTTTAGCTAAATGCTCAGCCATGGAGCGCCGATCTAATTTCGTATATTCCTTCGCACTGGTTTATCCTCTTCCCCCTATGGCACTCTTTTTGTCTTGGAGGACTGTACAGACGAATAGTCGACTTGAGCTGTACAGTTCTCGGACTTGTCCCCATAGTTATAATAATCCTATTAGGTCAGGCTGTGAAATTAGTCCAAGAAACCATCAGTAACCTTCGCCCCGTGCTGCGCCTGGCATGAGCAGACTGTTATACCATGTCTCTCTAATGTGTGATGGAAATGGTCTTGATGAACATCCATGGTTAAGCTGTATATAAGACTGGGCACTCGCGGATGAACTTGTGACTTTTCCATATCCATATTTGCACTACCTTTATTTCGTTTTCCTTTATAATAATTACTGATATTGATCTTGGTTGGATCAGCCATGATTTCTTCTTTCTACCGTGCTCTGGCTACGGCCTCCATGTGGCACGGAATCCTCGCCCTCAGTTTCCCTGACGGGTCGGGTAAAGGTTACAACATAAGTTCTCCTTTGGATTCACGAATTTCTCTTTCATTTAAAGAGGTAAATATACACATGTTCCGAGTGGCTAAATCCAAAACTCTACGACCGGCTGACACAGTGAGAAGACTCATATTTGCGAGACGACCCCAGGCGTCAAGTCCTATTCCGGCTACGTCAACCTTCCCGCCGACCCAGCAGACGGACGCGACTACGAGATTCATACCTTTTTCTGGTTCTTCGAGTCACGCCACGACCCGGCCAACGCTCCACTGTCCCTATGGCTCCAGGGCGGGCCGGGCTACTCGTCCATGACGGCCGCGCTGGGCGAAAATGGTCCCTGTCTTGTCACGTCCGACTCCAAGGACACGGTCTTGAATCCTTGGTCTTGGAACAATGAGGTCAATATGCTGTGTAAGTACTCGGGCTGTTATTACTACGATTCGTGGAGAATCCGCCATTCATGAAGTAGCCGTTTCCCTTCACTTTGAACGTCTGAGAACTTCCTTTCTCTTGACAATACCCTTCTCGGAACTCTATAAACGCAACATGAACTGGAAACCATTACTTCCGTATTAGCAGGCCAAACAAAAAGGCTAACATATTTCGCAATACAAGATATTGACCAGCCCGTACAAGTCGGCTTCTCCTACGACACTTTAATCAACGGCACCATTGACGAGGTTGCGTCGCCATTCCAAGTCACACCACACGAATCCCTTGCCTCTGCAAACCTTAGCACCACGGTTCTTGGTGGCACATTCGCGTCTGGAAGTCCATTGTCCACTGCCCATACCACGGTGCAAGCAGCCGAGGCAGCGTGGCACTTTATGCAGACTTGGTTGAAAGAGTAAGACGGCAACGACAGTTCAAACCTAGAAACTCGGGCAGATTTACTGACTTGACTTGGCATCCTGTCTAGATTCCCGCACTACCGGCCAAACGACGACCGCTTCAGCATTTGGGCCGAGTCGTATGGTGGCCATTGGGGCCCGACCTTTTCCGACTACTTTGAGCAGCAAAATGAGCGCATCACCAATGGCGAGCTCCCCAGCGGCGACAACAAAAAGGACGCCGCCATTCCGCTCCACCTCGACACGCTGGGCCTCATTAACAGCTGCCTCGACATGGCCGTGCAGATGCCCTTTTATCCAGAAATGGCCTTTAACAACACGTGGGGCATCCAGATCATCAACGAGACCGCCTACGAGGCGGCCGCGGCGGCCTGGCCCCAGTGCCGTGACCATATCGACGAGTGTCGAACCTTGGCTTCTGAGCTCGACCCCCAGAGCAATGGGACAAGCGACCAAGTCAACAAGGCCTGCGCCGGCGCCTATAGCTTTTGCTTTGGTAACATGTGGCAGCCTTTTAATGCAACTGGGGTAAGAATATCATCCCATGACACATGAAAACTTGGGAATACCTTTTTCGTACTGACTTGGAGTCCCTAGACCTATCAGTTTGATATAACGTCCCGCGCCGGCGTGCCTTTTCCTCCAAAGTACGCGGCCGGATATCTCAACATAAAGGAGATTCAAGACGAACTGGGTGTTCCGCTGAATTTTACCGGACTCTCTGCTGGTGTCACACAAGGTAAAAAAAAGACATGAAGGCCCTCCCTTCCCCCAATCCTAGACCCGCATCCACGTTGAACTCCGAGTGCTGACATACGGAACTATAGCTTTTGCCACTACCGGAGACTTTGTCCTCGGCCGCAACGTTGCCGTCCTGGGCGAGTTGCTCGACAGGGGCGTCAACGTGGCCCTCGTGTATGGAGACCGGGATTTCCAGTGCAATTGTAAGTTGTCCCTGAGCACGTTCTTGTCAAGTCATACCCATTCTGCTCAAAAGATATGCCAATGAAATACTGACAGGAAGAAAAATTTCAGGGTATGGAGGCGAACAGATTAGCCTCGACATTCAATCACACATTACCAATGACTTTCATGGTGCCAAATACACCGAGATCAAGACCAACGAGTCATATGTAGGCGGCCTGGTGAGGCAGTTTGACAAGTTGTCCTTTTCGAGAGTATTCAATGCAGGACACGAAGGTGAAGCGGCCCGCCCCCTTCCGTCTCAAGTACACACGCGTCGTAGGGAGAGTATAACTGACAATGAAATGTCCCAGTGCCATGGTATCAGCCCGAGACGGCCTACCGCATCTTTCAGCGCGTCATGTCCAACAAGGACGTGGCCACGGGCACGGCATCTACTGCTGGCGGCGGCAAGAATTGCACTTCGAAACCGTATTCGACGAGTCAAGGGCTCGACAGTATCCAATCCGTCTTGAACCATCAGCAGCCGACCAAACACGAGCACGAATGCTACTTCTGGGATATGCTTGAAACGTGCAGCACTGAAGAGAAACAAATGTTCAAAAATGGTACTGCCATCACCAAGGATTTCATCCTCATTGGCCATATCGGCGCCAATGGAACGGCCATATACTTTTAATCTGTTCACATACCTGTTGTATATTGGAGCTGTATACTGGAGCACAACATATTATGTCTATCAAGCGTTAAACACATTTGAGGTTTGATACGGTTGGATTTCACCTTTTTGACTTTTTAATTTTTCATCTTCTCCCTTGATCCCTTTCGACAGCAACCTGTTGAGGCTCTTCTGCTGTCGTGCATTCTCTCTGAATGTTCAATTATTTACATAATCATGATTAAAATTAGTCTAAAGGTAGTCGCTCGTCATGAATGCAGGAGTCCAGTGCTGATAGTCGCCATCATAATATCAGATCTATCAAGCAAGCAGCTATATTGCATTCGGGATGTTTCCCTCGCTCGCTTGCGAAAAAATTGTCTTCATCAATTACCACTTTCTGGTCTCGAAAGTAAGAGGGCAGTCATCCTATAGAATTGTGTTAGCATTTTGTGTCTATGGCTAGAAAAAAGTGATTTGCCGGTTACTTACCTCTGGGAAAATGGTGGCAAACACCTTGATGACCTCTGAAAGAGGCGTAGCGTGGTGCTTCCAGTCGAGCTGAATCGCAGCCTTTCCGACGCAAAGCGCAAGGTTGAGCTGAGCATAGTGCTGACCCAGGCAGTAGTGAGGGCCGGTACCGAAAACCAAGTAGTTCTTTGCGCCCTTCTCCTCGGCGTCGCCAGAGTAGTAGCGGTCAGGGTCAAAGTAGTCGGGGTTCTCGTACACCTCGGGGTCGCGAAGAGCCATGTACGTCGTGGGAATAACCATGGCGCCCTTGGGAACAGTGTAGTCATCGGTAATGGGGAACGACTTCTTGACCTTGTAGGGCACCATCAAGACGGGAGGACGGTAGCGCAGAAGCTCTCTCACAACAGCACGAGTGTAGGTCATGGATTCGAGTTCGTCGAGGGTAACGGCGGCGTTGGGGTCACCGTTGCGGACCTTGATGTTCTCATCGCGCACTCTGTCCAAGACCTCAGGTCGCTGAGCCATGATCTGGAACATGTTGGTGACGGCACTGCTCGTGGCGTCTTGGGAAGCGAACAAGAAGGTGAAGATGGTTTGCGAAATCTCAAAGTCGGTAAACTCGCGGATCAGAGGCTGCGGCTTGTCGAGACCGTCGGTGGGCAGACCCTTTTCGGTGGCCTCGCGCCACTTCTTGGAGGCAATCATATCCTTGATCCAGGCGTCCATGATGCAAGTAACCTCGGCGCCAGAAGCCATGCGAACCTTGGCCTTGGCGGCACACTTGGCGAACTCGTCCATGACCATGGCAGCAGCCTTCTTTCCGTACCAAGTCTTGGTGTAGGGAATGATGATGGGGAAGTTGACAAGCTCCAGAGCAGCGGTAACCAGGAAGTAGTCATCCGAGATCTTCTTGATGGCCTCCTGAGAAATGTAGTAACCGACAAAGGTACGGCAAGAGACGTCGGTCATGAGATCACGGAAGTGAGGCATGAATGGGACAGGCTTGCCGCCGGCCTCCTTGGTGATCTCGACATACTTCTTGAACTCTCGGTTGTAGACCTCCTCCTGTCGGGGCAGGTAGCACTCGAGAGCCTTGCGGGTGAAGAGACCGTTGAGACCCTTGCGGAAGTCGACGTGTTCCTTTCCATCGAGGAAGACCCAGCTCTTCTCTCCAAGAATCTTGGTGGCGACATCGACGACACAGGGCTTGACGAAACCGGGGGAGTTGAAGATCTTGCGGGACAGGTCGCGAGTGGAAGCGATGACGACGAATCTGTAGAGTTGGATGCCAGGTTAGCGCAGAGCTTGAGTGAGAGGCTCTGCGAATTGGGTGTACCTACTTGTGAAAGACAGAGACACAGCTAAGGGGACCGCTGACCCATTTGGCGTAGTACTCTTCAAATTTGGGGTTCACAGACTGCAAAAAGGGACCAATAAAGGGTTCCTTGAATGCAGGGCCAACAATTGAGCCCTTTTGAGACAAGTAGCTAACTGTAGAGGGGTAAGATTGCATCCGTTAGCAAAGCGCATTCTCCCTATTGCTATACACCAATTGCGCAAATGTTGCACAGAGAGAGAAAAACACGTACTCTGGTCGTAGACAACAGCAAGGGCGAGGAGGGTGAAAAGCCAGGTGAGGATGCCGGCGCTGGCGACCTTTTCAATGACATAGTCAACCTGCGGAGGAAGACTGACGGCGGCAAACTTGTCAGCCAGAGGCGACGTGAAGCTCGTGGCGTTGGTAGCCATGACTTCTGGTTCGTGGGAGTCGAGTAGTTGTTGATTTGTCTCTGCAAATGAATAGAAACCTGGAGCGGTCGACCAGCTTATCTGCTCTTTAAATTTTCGGCGGGAAACCCCGGTAACAGTCTATCGCGGCGATTTGCGACAAACTGGGTCGGGGGGTTGCAAATCCTCGTAGCAGAGGCAGAAAGTCAAACTCGCAACCAGTTGAAAAGGGTCGTCACGGCGAGAAGGAAGAAGAGGAAAATGACTGGAAGAAAGGGCAAAGAAGAAGGAAGGAGTAGAAGAATTGCCCTTGCGAATGAATTGTCGAGAAGACGACGGGGATTGGCACGTCTTCGGACGGGTCTAGCAAGAAGCGAACCGGGGAAGAGTGGGAAAACAGAGGCAAGGTAGGTAATAGATGCTACTTAGTAATAGGTACGGCGAGATAGTCGTAGAATAATTTGCTGTGACCAAGGTCTGGTAGGTACAGGCGGGTATGTAGGCAGGCAGGCAGGTACCTTAATGTAGGTACGTCTGGTATGGGCGGCTGCAATCTGCAAAATACTGTAACCAGCTAGGCTCGCTCCCTTGCCAAAGCCCGTCCCCGAAACTCATGAAATGTTAGGTACCTGGACTGCTTGTCAAACTTGCTGGGGGTTAGCACAGGGCGGTATTTGAGTTTGTGGTTTCTTTTGACAGCAAGACCCTTCCTCTTGTGATAATAGTGTCATTTGCTTTCACATACTGGGTAAATAAATAGAGTTCTCCAATCAGTGACTGTCCACGACACCAGCAGCCAGAACAGCGTCGTGATTCCCCAACGACTTTGGCAAAATTATTTGTCCTGCCCCAAGGTACTGAATATTTAGGTACCTTTTCTTCAAATGTCTGGCGGGTAGATAGGTATGTCGCAAGGCCCAGCAAAAAGATATGTACTGTGTAATCGGCCGCCGTTCACTCTTTCGGCGGAGGGCAGATCTCCAGCAAATCTGGGCTTGGCATCATTTTAATTGACGATGGTACCTAGAGGCTAGCGTGTTGCCCTGGGCCCAAGCCAGGATGGGCCTAGCAGCGCGCGAACCCGAACCCGTTCCAGTCATCCGAAGCTTCTTTCTTGGGTTTATCTCGTGCATCAAATTTCTAGAATACCGCACTACTGGTTGTTAGTAGTATGAGGCTGGCGGTGTGGTATTTGCTTTTATGTACTTACTATTATTTGTTGTTGTCATGTTGAATCCAAATTCCATTTGCATAGTCCTACAAGAACAAACAAACTTGACGTGTGCTGTCTGTTCGTAAGATGGACCGGACTCAATTACCTGTAGGTTACAAGGAACGCCATCCTATGATAGGTCAATGGGTTCGCTGGCTCTCAATCCATTCATCCCTGTGAGCGCTCAGGAGAAGAAACCCCACCCCCGTTGGATTTCTGAAAACTTGTTGATTCCTTCGTCTCTTGATTCGTGGTGCAGTGCGCTCGGCCTACCGTGCTTCCGAAAGATGCGAAATAAACGAAGAGAAAATCTCAGACAAGGAACTACATATGTACGTACCTAGGCCATCGTGACAAAAGGCTACATTTTACCTACTACTTGTCACTAGCTTGCGTGTGCATGTGCGCTTGTTGAATAATGTCTTCCCGCGACAAAAAAAAAAGTCGAAGCATAGTGGCACCATGTTTAGCAATCCACTCTTATTAGCAGCCTGGCTCTAAAAACATCTGATACCATCTACATTATTACTACACTAGAGGCCGACGATCATCACGATAACTTTGTAGGATTTGGAACATTTAAAACAACGACCCAGTCGTTGTTCCTTATTATTAATTGTAATGAATGAATCAACGTACTGTGCCACTCGCTTGCTTGACAATGATGCCGTCGAATTCCCCCATTAGATGTTGCCTCCAGTCTTGGCGCAGATACTCATTACCACACACAGAGCACACGGAAGAGATTCGAATTGACCAATCGAACTTGTGCAACCCCTCATAACCCCCCTGCGAATGTGCGACAAGAACAATTCTTCGTTATGTCCGTCACCTTAAACCCCACTCACCGCCTTCGGCTTTGCATCCCGCCTCGAAATCTCGCCTTGTAATTGGTCAGTTTGAAATACGAATACGAGCGGTCCAATTAACGATACCTATGGCAACTTTGGATGAATGGTCTCGTTTTTCATAAATTATGCCATCTTTAATCACTATAGCCCCATTTTTTAGTATTTGCAGTTTTATACTCGTGAATATCGGGGCAAACCTCAAATGCCACTGTAACACGCACAGTGTAGAGGAGTCGAATAATTACTACGTAGGTAGGTATTCTTACTAGTTTCAATATTCCCCGAACCACAATTGCATATTGTCTTGTACTTGGATCGGATGGTGTGTCTTCCACCCGCCCCCAGTCATTGTGCTTCCCATAAACAGGCCGGGATCTGTTTCCGTACAGAGTAAATGGAAGCTCATGAGTGCAGATGCTTTATGCCGTATGGCGCTCATATGTCTATTTCTTACATCTCTACTACATTATCGGTAGCAATGGTAGGTAAGCGTGTCGAGACCTGCTGCATTTGGGAGAGTGGTGCGTTATTTGATAGTTGATGCTGACTTTTTAAGCTAAGCGTCGCAAGAAAAGAAAGAGAAAAAAAGAGGGGAAAGGGTGGGAAACAAAGAAGAAGAAGAAAGTTTATAATCCAAACTCTCGTCCAAGCTGGGTGCAGTTCAAGTCGTTGATAACTATTTCTTGGAGGTTTATGTTAGATACTGCCTAGCCAAGCCAGACTTGCAAACGCTGAATATCTTTATACTTGCTCTTAATATTGAGAAATTTCCACGGAATGATAACGGCCTAGATGTATGATCAGACAAGTTGCACCCGTTCGTTATAGTAGGGCAGAGTTTTATGAGTGCTGAAGTTGTTGATCAGTTGGTTGTTGTGGTAAGGACTATGGGAGTAGTGGTAGACTATCTACACATGAACATCATGCCGTGTTCGCAGTGAAGTTATTCGTAATGTTGGGGGGCTTGTCTCCCCATCTCAACGCATTCGTCTGTTAGTTTCAACCAACTGGGGTGCTCAACTAAATATTATACTACCTTGATACACGGTCCATTGTGAGAACCATGAGCATGTCACTATTCGAATGACAAACAAGTATCATGAGCCCGTATGTATGCATAGTTGACCGAAATTAGTCGTGGCCAGTCTCAACACTTGTATAATGGCATCTTGTCTGCAAGCGGCCCTCTCCTCTTAACAGTCCGCGTATGACGTGCTACCATGTGTTCAGCAGGAAACCATGCACGTTTCTTGACACCGCCTGAGAAATTTAAGAAAGTTTGACCAACTGTTTACTAGGCATTGAGAGTACGTATAATGGATCAGTGATCCTCCTGATAATAAGGAGTTCTCTGATAGACTCATGAATACTTACTTATGCTAGTCTTGTAGCCCACATGGATACGTCCTCAAGACAAGCTTACGTGTTTGGTCTTGCTTGCGGTAAATACATATCAGAGTGAGGTTCGAGGAGAGGATACATCAAGAAGTCATGATCGTCACGTTACGTTTTGTTTGCAATGTCACTCACTTGATGACCGAGTCGACTTTGTTCAAGAGTCACTTTGCAGTGCTCAAGTATCACTCCTCTCTTGTGGTCCGGCACAAAGGCGTCGCATAGAAGCTTCTGTAATCCACAAGTCCAAAGGCAAGAGTGTACTACATATGTCATATTACTTCACCACCAGGAATGGAAGAAATAGCGTACTCATCTAGTTTAGATAGAGTGACGCCACACTTGTCAAGATTGCGCGTATTCCTACAAGTCAGCCAGTGCTGTGTAATGTCCAACATGAACTTGGAGTATCGAGCATGATCATGCTTGCAATGTGATGAATAAAAATCTTGAGTTCATTGAGCTGTCACATTGAGGGCATTCGTCCGACAGAGTCCAGGAGCGCCACGTTTACTTGGAAGATGAGGCGCATTTATCCTGACTTTTTGGGCTCCTCTCTGGTGATTCTCATGCAAGGAAAAGCCCCAGATTCACTTGCATGTCATCGCTTTGATCGACTTCCGATATCACGCCCCAGGGGTCAATACTTGAAATGTTGCGCTCAACCAAAGACGTCGAATGGTGAAATCTCATGTCATGGAGAACATTACACTTCTCGCGCTTTAATATCTGCCGGCTTTCATGGAGAAAAAAATCATTCAAAGAGATGTCATATCGGAGTTGCAGCTATTGTTTTGATTTCATATCCATGTTCACGATGGGACGGAGGCCATTCGCCCGTCTTACTTTTATTCTTTTCTCAAACATCCGGAGTCCTACTTGACCTGGACCCTTGTCTACGCATACGGGCATTACAGGAAAAACAGATGCGATTCCTGAATTTCCAGATGAAAAAGAAAGACTTACATCGCAAGGAACTGCCATCCTACACACAAGGCTTTTGACCTAGGCGTATTTTTGTTGCTCCCAGGCGCCACTCATTGGTTAGACAGGACTCAGATGACCTCTTTTGACAATGAGAAAACATGATCAAGCCAGGAGATAAGTTTCGACCTCATCAAGTCGGTGCATTGTGACCAAATCCTGAGAATTCGCTCAAGACTTGTAATCGCGAAGCCTCATCTTTCCGCAGGAACCCTCGTAGGTAGGCCAAATCAATTTGCCATTTCTCGGACATGGCTCTTTTCAAGCACAACACACTGTCGGCACGGGATACCGACAAGGCCAATGGAACACTCTGCAATTCCGACCCATGTTTGTTTCTTTTGCCATGACTGATCAGTCAGAGGTATGAAATGCCGGTCATTTCTGTTCTAGGATGTTGCAAAATTTGTTGGATTCGCGATAGCCCCCCTGTTGCCGCATAGCGACTCGTCGTTGTATGTCCAGGACATTGGAGCGCCGCCCTAAAAACTTCTGATGAACGCTGGTACCAATCAAGGCGTCAAAATCAGGAACCATGATTTGGCAATGCTGTGCCGCTGGACGTGGTCCAGTGATTCCAGCCCAAGGATTTCCTCCATTTCAACATGTCCTGACGTGTCGAACACACTCATTGCCATTCTGCCTGTCCGAGGAAACGTTCTGGAAGATCCAAGATGAAGATGGAACCATACCGAAGAATTGTATAGGTTGCAAAGTTGGAGACAAACTGAATTACATCGCTCTTCGTTGCCATATGGAAATGTCGGCTTTAGTCCGGTTATCACTTGCTTGTCGGAGTTCAAATCCGTCAGACCCCATATTTGAACACCATGCCGCCTTCGGCAACACCCGAAGAAGGTTCATGGGATGGGTGGATGGATATGTAGCAGTCCTGGCCTGATGACTCCTTCGCAGCCCCAAAACAAGAAACAAAAAAATCCAGTTTCCCCCCCTAGTTAAAGCACCCCCTGTCAGAAAGGCCACCACAGCCTCTCCGCCCTGACTCATCACCGCAGCAGCCCAGGAATAAGGTGAGATTATTAGTTGCCTGAGGGCACGCTATGGAAGACATGTACGGTATTTGTGTACAAGGGGCTGCTATAGCCGTTATCATACATACCACTTGGAATTGGGGGGCATCCTGCGCCCAAAAAATAATTCTTACAGATTACAGCGTCGAAAAGTTCCGCACTTGCAAAGTCGACGGACTGCAATTTTAGTTTACAGTCATCTCAAATCAGTCATGTCAAAGTGACGGTGCAGAATCGAAAGCACCGCCCCACTGTCTGGAACTTATGGACATGTACCAGAATTGAATCATGTTTGATTTTCTCTCTTGATCAAGTTGAAAAAAAATTCTCGGATTGACAGCCGGCTCTGCACTCTCATAGTGGAACTCCGATGCCGATCGGAGACCCGGGGCCGGGTTACCAAGGTACCGGTTCTAGTGTACCTATGAAAGGGCTGGACATGAATCTCGCAGCCTAATTACTAGGTACAATTTGGGTTTTGCCTTACATATTATCAAAAGATACGTCATATTTCATTGGCTCTCGTGATACCCATCCCATGAACAGTTCAATAGCTACAAGTCTGATAGTACATGTGGATGTGAAAAAGTCTGATAGGGACCCAAAAACAGCAGCTTGGAACTTTTGGCACTTCCCAAAACTGTTGTTAAAATGGCGTCAGTTATGATCAAAATGGGGGCCAATGTCTTTCAAGTGGAGTACGCAGTATAGTCCAGTCCATAATCAACAACTACTACATACAAGGGGGAAAGGAATATTTGGAACAAGAATTCCTTCACCCCCAAAGCCACAATGATAGAATCTGCAAGGACGCGCAATACCCCATTCCATGCCATGCCTTTTCAAAGATGCTAAAATAAGCGAAAGACAGCCACCTCGTGGAAGCCTCGCCGCTTACCCTGTTCTGGACTAAACCACGACAACAAGTTTAACCCCGATGCCAATGCCGATGCCGATTAGGGACTCAGTCCGCGTCCTTGTCAAGCAATTTTGGGAAACCATGAACTTTTGTTACTGGCTAGGTTCCTGTAAGAAAACGCCCCAAAAAATTTCAAAATATGCCTTGGAGAAAAAGACTTGGATGAACTGGTGTCTGACCCGTCCCCATTTGACTCATACGCGCACGGGGCTGAGAAGACACACACACGCCCAAATAAATTTTTCTCCAACCTTGACCGGCTTATTGTGCATGAGCGAAAAGACTTGTTCAGTGGGGCTGTACACAAAAATGTCCCCTTTTGGGATGGATTTGTATCATGCTGCAACGCCGGTGTTGACTAACATGCAATCCCGCGCGCTGTACAAACGTAGGTTGGCCTAGTTTTGTACATGCAGAGGTACATCCTTAGGACAATGGATTGATGATCAAGGACTATTGTGACTATTATTATTATCGTTGATGATGACCAGGGGTGTGTTTGAAAAGACCATTGCTATCTAGTATATAACATGGTATTCCTGTCTGCCTGATTCTCATCTTCTTGTTTACGCGTACATTCAGGCAACTACATAACAAGTTACACCCTACCGACTTGGCTTACACTTTTCGAATCGACTATATAATCACAACATCCTCTTTGCCAGATATATCAGGCAATACAACAAGCACCGCAACACTTCAAAGCAACTTCCCAAAGCTCAAACCGTCACCATACTTGAAATAAACATTCTTGTTGGATAAAACAGCAACATCATTTCACCATGTCTTACTTTCCCACCCACATCCACGACCACAAGCACTCGTCCCAGCTGGTCGATATGCACCTGGCCCTGGACCGAGAGGCGGCACCGTACCTGAGCATCGCCTCCTCCAAGACGTCAAAGTCGCACAAGCAGTCGTCGTCGTCTGACGCATCGTCCACATACAGCAGATCTAGCTTTCTCAGCACAAGGCGGCTGCTCAAGAACGCCTCTTCGAGATGGAGCAAGAAGAGCGAAAAGGACTACTCGTAAAAAAAGCCCAACTAGACTCTATAATCTAGACTAGGTGGCGCCATAGGACGATGTACAAGATCAATCCAGCACCAAAGAACGACAGCAAGCGATATCTTTTTGATTTATTCAAAATTTTTTTTTTTCATATACCCCCTCTTTCCCATCCATACCCACACCACATACACGGCGCGCCCGCCTGGACATCTCCTACAAAAGGGAGATGGGCCAGAGTCCGGGAGCAACAACACCGCCACGATGGCTTCACAATGCCGAGGCTTTGAGCTCGGGGGATGAGAGCTCAAAGTTAGATCAAGTCCTGTCAAGAGCAGCGACAGGCGCATAGACTTGGGGAGACAGAAACATGTTTCTTTGGAAGGAAATTCGGAATTGAGAGGTGCAATTTGGGGCAATTTGTGCATGGCAAGGATTTTCCCAAGCATTTCTAGGTTGATGAGGACAAAGATTGGGTTGATTCCACGAGGCAAAAAATGGGTATAGATTCTGGACTTTATTTGGGTATCTTTCTCATGATGTCTATGGGCAATAATGAATTCAATTCTTTTTTTCCCAGCCGAAAACTGCCTGTATTTGTTCTACTCATTGATTAAAACGAATCGTCCAAAATGTCCTTGTTCATCTTGACCATGGTTGGGCTATACTCCTCGCTCTCTTCGAGATACTGTGGCGCTGCACCGGCCGTGAGAAGTATGTCGTCTACAATGCGTTTGCTGGCCTCGCGTGCTAGACAAGATTATAATAAGCAACACGTGCATGCGGTGACAGGGAGTGGGATGACGAGAACTTACCGGGTGTCTGCATAAGCTTACTTGGCGGCAAGGCAAACTGGATGGTTTTGGGTGGGCTCATGCCCTTGAACACTTCGTCTGTCTCGTCATCGTCGCTCCAGTCAATCTCATCTGGATCCCTCTTTCTCTTTCCTTTTTCGTCGGCAAAAACGTCCCTCGTCTTGGATGCTGCACCGGGCGTTTGCACGCTTACTCCTGGTGTTCGTGGACCATCGCCTAGTCCTCGTGCCAAGCCCCTGCGTTTGAGCGGCGATGCAGCGCTATAGAGATTTGTCCGGAGTGTCGGAGCCGCAATCTCGGGTGAGCTCATCGGGCTGTCTTGCCACAAGGCACGTCGTGTGGCATCCATGTCCTGTAATCCTCCTGCAGTTGCTTTGCCGACAGGCAGCTTGGCCGGAGTCAGCTTATGCGGCGTGGCTTGTATCCTATAGTTCTTGTCCAACAGTCTGTGTAGCAATGGATCCTTGTTGTTGCCTTTGTTCGGCGTGGGGGCTTCCAGCATGAGTGATGATCCCAGGTTCATAGACATATCTGGCAACTTGGTCTGCGTCACCATATCTGGGAGCTCGACAGTTTCATCCTCGTCATCTTCGTCAGCCTCGGGAGGGAAACCATGACGACCGGCACCGTCAGTCTCGTTTTTGAGTTCCCGGCGCAAGTTCTCGTAGGAATTATCCATCTCCGCAAACTGCATTGTCTTCATGGACTTTGTGGCAGGCGGTCGGGGAGTGCTGCCAGCCAGCGAGCCGTCATCGAGCAGGGAATCCTCGACATCGCGGTGCTGGGACTGTTCGGCGTATGCAGATTGGTCGGCCGTGACATCGTCCTCTCCATGATCCTCTTGTGTGTAATCCTCTGATGCGGTTGTGTCCTCGATCCGCGTTGTTTCATCGTTGCCAGTCGCTTCGGTTGCATTTTCGTCGTTGGCTAGCTCTTCGTAACCAGAAAGCGAGACATTGGCTGAAGCTTCAAAGAATTGTTTCCAAAACTGCCAGAACTTTGTTAGCAAGATTTTGGCGACAAAAATGGCCATGAACGTGTTGTAATCAACGAACCTTGGAAGCCTCCCAGACATTCTTGGAATGTTCACCATATTGTTCGACAAGAGGCAAGATGCTGCTGGTGACAATGCGATGCGCCTTGCTAAAGTTGGAGTCAATCTCCTGGAGCGTCAGCGTAATTGACTGTTCGAGCTTTTCGAGCTCTTCAGTCAGGGTAAGATTCCTTGTCGCAGCCGACCGCGACATTGTCGATTGTTTGCTTGGTTGTGTAAAGTTGCAAGAGTCAAAGCCGAACGAACTATTTACTTCCATCATCTTAGCATTGGGCGCCGGGCGTTTGGTGGGGTTAACGACTGTAGGCACACTGGGCGCGTCCAGCGCGACGCGGGGCCGTTATGGGGCCCCCATGTTCCTAGGCTTTGGGCTGTAGATGACGCCAAGGAATAGAGCATAGTGCTGTTTCTGTACTCTAGAAATTCGCATATACAATCTCATCATCCAGTGAATCACATACACTTGACACTTTTCTGCGTGATCATTTCCAAAAATTCCATCGTGTATAGGTGCCACGTGATATAAAAGCCAAGCGATAAAAATTTAATATTCAGCAAGAGATGCCAAGCATCACTCTCGTTGCCGAGGATCTGCTGTATGAAATCATTTGCTGTTGGGTATCATTGTGTTACATATGTTCATAACTTGGTCTGCCATAGTAGCCTGACATTTCCAGGCGCAATAATAGCCTGTCAATGGTGTTTTCCTCGTGCGCGGCTGGTCTTGCATCTTCCTTGGTGACATCACCCTTCGCGGCTTTGGCATTATGTCCTTTTCTCTCGCTTAGACCCCGACAGACAGTCATGAATACCTCTACTTTGTTCTTGAATGTCTTGTAAAGTTCTGATATCGATGGGCCGTTGTAACCGGCGCGAGACTGTCCCAAAGCCTCGAGCCTGGAAAGCCTCGAGAAAACTAATATTGTGGTGAAGATATCATCCAGAACCTTCAGGACCGGCTGCTGTCGTTTTCTCAGGAATAGTGTATGCATGATCGAATCCAGCACTTGCTCATGGCGCTCGCGAACATTGTCTGGGCTAATGACCGGTGCTTTATCGTCAGCAAGACTGTCGTTTTCCAGGTCCGATTGTGTCGTATCAAGCCAGTTTTCAAAGTGGTTCCACGATGGCCCAATACCATCGTCGAAAAAATACGACGTGATACCAGTAACAAAATGTTGTGCCTCGGCGCGAAAACGCAACGCAGTATTGCTGACGTCGTGCCATTTGGTTTCTCTTCCATGAATATCTCGACAAAGCTCACTCGCAACGTATAACATTCTAAGTATGCGAAGCAGGAGCTTGAAGATCTTGTCATACTTCATCAAGATGACTGGAGTGATGATGAGTGCCAACAGCGGTGGAGGCTTGTATGACAAGCGCAGAAAATCCAGGGCTTCAAGTGATCCCGGATTCAAACACTTCTCAATCTCCTCGTCCGTGAGGTCTCTGACGCCAAAGCTCATGTCGCCTGGTAACTCGGGTTGATTCTGTCCCCATGAAACCTGCTTTGCTGCAGGGAAATAGCATTCCGTGAGAATGCCCATCAAGGCCAAACGGAGCTCAGAGCTGGCAGGAGGCCACGTATCACGACTGCCAAGCCGCAGGCCCATCACTCCACCGCCTCTGGCTACGCTGGTCTGTCTCTCCGCAGACTCCAAGTCCGAGTCGAAAAGTGCGTGGGATAGGCGAGTACAAAAGAGTCCATCTCCGAGTAACTGAAACTTCCTCTGCAGGGTCAGATGATCTCGTATCTTGTGTGATGAGAAGATGAGCCTCATGTACTCTCGATTGACCAGTCTAGCTTGAGCCTCGACCAGCGGAGCAAAGGACAGCAGGGGCAGTAGAGACCAGTGTGGCACAAGATCCAGTCCCGATGTTTCATTACTGTTCCCATCCACAAAAAGACGGTCGTGCAAGAGCTGAGACAGCTTATCCGTAGCGCTTACAGAAGGAAGAGGCTGGTTCAGTTTTGTGATTGACGCAATTAGCTGCTGTGCCAATTGATCTCCCTCCTTGCCAAAGAGTTGCAGACTGTAGCCCGTGTGTGTGTTTGGTTCCGCTCGCATTTCAGGTTGTCTGCCAGATCTGTGGTGACGTATGGCTTCTAGTACGGAGTTTTCGTACTCGTTTACTCGTCGCTGGAGGTCCTCAATGTCGTTCCAGCTGTAATGCCAATCCAAAGTAGGCGGTTTGGTCGATTCAAAAATTCCCAACCGACAAAGGGGATGCTCGGCATGATGGGTGCGGAGGAGCCGCAAACTTTTGCCAGTTTCAAACATTGTCCTTGAAATGTCGTCGGGAATAAAGGCTGGTACATGGCGTTCGTCCAGGACATAGTCCAACTCTTCATTTTCGACGCCAAAGTCATCCACATAGGCCACATCCTCAACTCTGACAAAGCTTTTCCCGGGCCCTTCCTTGCTGATTGGATTGCCATGTTCTGCCTTCACTCCCATCCACATCTGCGCAAAGTCCAGCCAAGGCTCAGAAACTCGCGCTAGGACTTCTCGCATTATGTCCCCTAGCAACTCGTCGCCGTGCTCAAGAGCTTGTGTTTCTGCGAAAAGGATAGAGAGCATTTGCTCATCGCTTCTTGCCTTGTTAAGCCTATTAACCAGGGTATTGAAATATGCCAAAATGGCGTAAACCGGCGAGACTAGAGATTGAAGTTGTAAGAGTGAAGCCACTTTCTTGGCCCGGCCGCCCAGCTTGCTCTGGACAACCACAAGCAGAGTGTCGACCGCTTTTGCCAGTGCCACTCTCCCTGCAGAAGGGTGCGTCTTGTACGTGATTTGCACAAACACATGAAGGAGCCGAGATATGTTTCCGCACTGGAGGCACCTGGTCAAAAGCCCTTCTAGGACAGTTTCCGAGAAACCAGAGATCCTCAATTGGTCCAAGTCCTGTACGAATGATCCAAGCTTCTCGTTCCAGGTGAAGAATATCGAACCTCTGCCCATTGAAAGTGCCAACAAAGCAGAGATGTACGGGTGCGTTTCGACAAGATTGCGGCCGCTGTTTTGGAGGGCCAAGGGGTCACTCGGCGTGTCCAATGCAGCATCGTAGGTAGCAGCACCCGCCTCTGTGATGAAGATGGGTTCTAATAACGGCACCTCTGGCATGACAAAGCCATCCCAGGTCTTGTACTCTGCAGTAGACCTTGGAGCCTGTGCGTTTTGAATAAAGTCATCATCAAACAGATTCTCTTCCTGGCGCTTGACTATCCGCGGCGGATCTGAAGGCTGTGTATCATGATGCTCCTGGTCTTGTGTGCCAAGACTTGGGAGCTGAAGAGCTGGTGGTATCTTGAAGAACTCATCGGAGTTGACACTGGCAACCTTCTTTTCCGTTTCAAGAAACGAAGTCCGGTCTTCCGACTTGATATCTAGACCAAAGAACTCGCTCTGGCCCGGTTGCAAGATACCATGGAGTAACCTGGTGTTTCTCCAGAAATCTGGAATGGCAAAGACGTCAGGAGCCTCTGGACGCACCATCTTTGCGACGCTGCTCCAACGGCTTGCTTCATTGGCCCGTAACTTGATGTCCCATGGTTTCCCAGTAGTGATCACTGGGGTTTTGGCGAATTTCAAATACTTTGCGTCCTTGATGCGAGCTGCAAGTTGTTGGGCTGTTTGGGTAGAAAAGGTCCGCGGTTACACAGTACGACGTAGCTTTAGTGATCTTCTTAGTCGACAGCGGTTCCAGTCGCGCCTCCGCGCTCCATCAAATGCCCCGCGACGCGACAACTCAGGTACCTCCCCAGTTAGCTCACCCAGCCTGTAGCGTGGATGATTTTAGCGATTGGCAGGGACTAATGTAGGCAAGGTCAAGGTAGAAGCTTGAGAGAGCTCCAAACTTTGTTTCGCGACAAGCTCTTAATTGTTCCTGATTCTGGACTCTCATTTCTTCCCAATTCATATCATACTTTGTTTCTTTCTTGTAAAATTTCTTTACCTACATTGTTCAGCTGCATCATTTCGAGCCTGCGATTCAGCAATTGATCCTTAGCATCGCCCCACCTGTACGTGCGTTCGATACGGCAAATCCCTTCTCGTCACTATGGGACCTAAGCGGAACAAGACGACAGGCCGGACGAGTCTGGGAGTAGGTACACCCAAGACGCCGACACCTGCACACGAAGACTCGATGGAGATAGATACACCACAGCCCGTTGATACACCAAGGGCAACAGAGACGCCTTCGGCTGCGCGGCCAAACCAACCCTCGGCCGTCGAGCTGCTCGCCGACGTTTGGACAGACGATCAGACAGCCTCGCTCTACAAAGGCATTATAAGATGGAAGCCAGCAGGTAGGCAGATTTTCCAAATCCAACCCATTTCGCCCCCCAGTTGGCTCTTGTAGCTAAATCATTGTCTTCAGGCATGCACAAACATTTCCGGATGCTCGCTATTAGCGAACATTTGCGGAACCATGGTATCAATCCAGATGTTGAGACGCATACGAGAATCCCCGGCATCTGGGCAAAGCTTCGAACGTTGTATAATCTAGAAGCGATCGATGAACGGGAAAACTATGACGAAGACGAAAAGAGGTACAAGGACTTTACTCTTCCGGAACTAGAATACGGCGACAGCATGTGGGCACGACGCTTGCCAGATGATCCCAGTGAGGCACCTAGCAGCCCGCCGCAATTGGATTTCGAGGACACAGCAAAGCCCCCAAGCGTATCAGGTGGTACGAGGAAGCGAAAGAGAGGCAATGCGAGTACAACCGACGCGGCCAGTGTGGCCGGAAGCACAGCCAGAACCCGCGGTAGTACAGTCGAGGATACCGAGGAGGAAACGCCTGTGGCTTCGAGCCCAATTGCTAAAAGTGCACGGGGTGCTCGTAGCAGAACTAGAGCGGCTGCCAAGGCCAGAGCAGAGAGCACTGAGCCCGAGCCCGAACCCGAGCCAGAAAACGAGGCCAATGAAGACAGCGAAGACCAAGAAGAAGATGGCGATGAAGCCGAGGACGACGAGGATGGAGATGAGGAAGAGGAGGATCAAGATGAAGAGGAGGAGGAGCAGAGTGAGGCCGAGGATACCACGACAAAATCATCAAAGGGAGCAGCAAAGGGCAAAGCTCGAAAAACACGAGCTCGGGCGAGTACCAGAAAAGGCCGAAAGTAAGGTGTGCGAATGTAGACGTACAGTCTCGTCTGACTTGTAGATCATCGGTATTTGCATAGCGGCTTGATGGGATTATCTCTTCGGGAATTGGCGTTTTCTCACGATACCCCTAAATTATATGCATTGAATTATACTACTACCTGCTGTTTGCATCTGTTGATTCGAGCGGACCCGGATGATTATTGATGAATACTGTGCAAAGCGTACTCACCCCGTGTCGCCGCCCATCCTGGCGGCAATACTGAAAGTCAAATCGATCAGCGTTTGTCCATCATAGTAAAAGCATTTTAATCAGCACCTTTTTCGATGAAAAGTTTGGCTACTTCTATATGCCTGCCACCTAAAGCGAAATGGAGTGGCAATCCGTCCATCGCTGCTCGCCGCAATCCAAGTCAGCACCCTTCTCAATAAGCAGCTCAGCTGTTTTAAGATGCCCGTTACATCAAGCTGAACGAAGTGGCGCCCAGCCATCACTGCTCGTCATACGCAGTAATATGTCATAGACTTGATCAGTCTTAGTTTTTCGTACTCATGCTCCAACACTTTTCATCTGATGCATTTTAACTTATGCTAGACTTCGCAAACATTGCTGGCTTTTCTGCCAACCTACCGTACTTCCTGAAAAAGAAAAAAGAGAAAAAAATACAAAAAACTCGTTGCAATGCAACATACGTTACTTTAAAATAATTTCAATTCCAAGCTCTGCCACTTCTCGTGGTATAACTGCTCGTCGCTTAATGGGACCGACACAATTCCGACACGCTCGTAGGCCTCTTCACGATTATGAAAAGTTGAGCTAAGGATTAGCATAAAAAGCTGAGGAGGCTGATCAGAAAAATAAGCTTGTTCCCTCCGATACCGATAGATTTGGACGGCGGTGTACTCATCCACCTCACCATCATCTGCCCATGGCTCCCCCCAACCGGACTCAAACTCTCCCCTGGACTTCTTAGGACAATGATATCCATCGGTTGCGTCGAACCTCCATACAAAGCGTCCATCCAGTGTGTCGAAGCATAGTCTATCGTGATCGTCATTCATTTCATCATGCCACGCTTCCCGCATTGGACTTCGTTGCACAAGAATCCGTCGACAACATGCGCGAATGAGAATCCAACCGGGCTTGATTGCGCCATATTTGTTCTCCTCCAAAACAGGCTTGATATCGTGGTCAATCAACTGTGGTCTGTATACTTCTTTCCAACGACGCTCAGAAAGCAGTTCAGAATCGCTGGCTTCCCTTTGCCTTTCGAAGTCGAGGCCGATCAATTTTATCCTCCCTTGTGCGCACATATAGCTCCATGACGGCGCAACATAGCAATTATAATCCCGCACAGGGTATGCACCTCTGTCAACGTATCTCCACCCGAGTCCGCGAAAAAGATCGACTTCCCAGAGCCCTGCGAGATAGTTGCCAAGTTCGGGGATACATAGACCGGATGATAGTCCGGAGAATGCCGGAAGCTTGTCTCCAGCCTTTGTTAGATCGCGATGTGTATACTCCTGAATACAATAGTACCAACAATCCAACCGAGATCGGAGGGATTCCCATTTCGAACTGCTTATTTCCAATTCGGTCGATTCGGCGCGCATGAACCTGTGAATCTCGAGTTTAATGGACGGACCATGCGTTGAAGCGTGCCTCGTTGGAGTAGTACCCATGGACTCAGTGTAAATGCAAGTACTGCAACCCCAAGCCATTTGACTCTTCAAAAAGTACAGGATTCTTTTCGCCATGATTTTCTCTTGGTAAGTCCAAGCTCTGCGATCGAGAGGTTCCCCTCGGATTTCTGCAAAGCTCTTAAATCCGGTTATGGCAGGTGACTGCCATAATAGAAGACCAGCACCGGTGCCGAATCTGTGTGATCTAAATACTTTTCGCGCAAGGAAACCGGAGGAACTGTCTGGCGCTGCATTTGCCGATATTACAAGACTTGCGTTTTGATAGACCTGTGTCATTGCCACAGATTCTCGGGCCCAGTCCTCTTCGTCGTCTTGGATAATACAAAGCGCGTCAATCCATAAGTACCTAAAACCAAGCTTTCTTGTTAAAGTGACGGCATCCTGGAACGACCGAGGTAGCTCCTCATAATCGAATCCAGTAACTAATCTCTGAAAGTTTGAATGCTCGGTTTTTAAAAAGGGCTTTTTGCCCCAACAATGACTGAGAGCCACATATTTGCCACGCCAATCTTTCTGGGTGGGACATATGTGCAAAGTTGATTTATCGTGCACTTGAATCAGCCTTGTAGGAAGTTGAGTATCCTCTTGAGCGTCACAATGTTCATGCTGAGAGCAGCGGTCCAACCATATTCGAGCAAGTTCGAACTCGTCGCCATTTAGATCTTGTGATATCGGTCTCTTTGGCCCTTCATCATTGGGAGGGTTAAAGCCGGTTTCTAATAAAATGTCAGTGGAGCTGAAACACACAATCTTATGAAAGCTTCGTTATGGCACTTATTACCCGCAGCGCATAGATCAAAATTAACGTAATCCTTAACATCGTCACTACCGACCTCGAGATAGTAGTCATTGCCGTCATAAAACTTGCCAATGCGCATAGGCCTGGCTTGCTCCACGAAATCCTCAAAGTTCTCTGAGAGCCGTTTCGAGAAGTTTTTGATCGAATCAAGAAAGAAGCTACACCCGTCGCAGCCGTTGGAAGCAGACTCTCGCATGTCCTTCGAGTTCTTCAATTCCCAGTAGTCACCTCGACGAATGGCGTCCAGGTCTATGGTCGCGCATGGCGTGCAAAGCGTCATTATGCCGAAAGTCAATGCTGAGTTCGTCTTGGATCGTGCAAAATGTCTCTCAGTCCGAGATCGTTACAAAATGAATAGATGTTTTGTCTTGATACCAGGGAGAATTGAGGTTGAAATCGCGTGCGATGCGTCAAGATTGATCGTGTTTGATCCAAGAATTGAAGTATGTTGAACTGACAAGGCCGAAGACCGAAAGGATAGCAACCCCCTGCGTTTACCCCGCTTAGCTCTTGAGCTGTATAAAGAATGGAAGGTGCTGGCCAACACTGGCAAGATGTCGCTAGGACAATGCATAGATACTCCGGCTGCTGCATTTTCAAAGATTATCGAACATCCAAATAAGCGTGCACCTCCTCAAGGCTGGAGGCGCAGAACCTAGATCAATACACCACACAATTGACACCCATATCAGACCAGTTTGAACTCCAATAGGAAAGCACCACCTTGATCAACAATACTGCAGACTTAACACTGTACAATCATCAACTTCTTGGAATTGACAATCACCTTGTGAATATCGCATCACTTTATTATGGCGCGGACAGCACAAGCCATCGCCGATCCCCCAGATCCGCCGCCCGCGGAGCCACGCCCTCAACCCGTCGGCGAGGGGCCGGGCGAATGGTTTTATGCCGACCTAGGTCCTATATACGTATCAAACTTCGACGCGGACTCGATTATTATGTGCCCCCACGATTACTCCTACGCACGCGATGACTCGCTGGACGCGCAGTGGCGCACTGGCTACGACACAAGGTTGTGCTGGAAAACGTGCTTAATCTACAAGCAGATAAGCACAGCCCATCGCCGGCTGGTTCCGTAAGTTTTATTCCTTGCCACGGGAGCGTGCCCATATAACTAAACTCTTCCCAGATTTATTCGACCAGATGCTTGGACAGGATTTCCGATACTGGCCCGGTCATCCGGTCCACCGCTCAAGCAGTTCCTCGCAGAGCACAAATCAGAGCTGTACCCCCAAGCCCTAGTACAGTCTGCCGCATGCCGAGTCGTGGACCGCTGCCGACCTCTCGTATATCAGTGGGCGCTCCATGCCCTCTCGGCCCTGGCCTTTATGCACTCGCACGACGTCGTTTGCGGCGATTTTAGCGAGGACCTGTGCTTGCTATCTGCCTTACCATCGCTGTCGCTATCCGTGGTCGGCTTTCCCTTCGCGGGCTACCGTCGCCTCGACCACGGCGGTCGGTATTACGAGGCCGAGTTTTACGGCGGCGATGCCTTTAGCGAGACGGGCCTCGGTCCTAAGCAGGGTCGTTGTCGTCCGTTTCCGACCCGCCAGTTTGACTTGTATCAGTGGGCTTGCATGGTTTTCCGGTTAATGACCTCGTATTTCCCGGGTGATCGGATGGGTCTTAACGAAACCGAAATTGGCTCACTAGTATCACAGAAAGCCTGGCCGGTATTGGAGCCGGAATTTATGGGAGATATCATACGAAAAAGCTGGAATGGGGACTATAATAGTGCCGAAGAGATTAAAAGGGCTCTGATTTCACTGGTAGAAGAGCAAGGCTGGTCAGTAAACGACGGGGACGACCTGCAAGGATTCGACGCCACAGGATTATTTCAAGGTTCAAGTGAGGTTCTAGGCTTCCGTTAATCTCGCTGACAATTAAACACCTCCGGCTGATGGCGAAATCCTACCTATTAGAAATCTGCGACGCAAACCTCACAGAGTTGCTGTCGGACCTAAAGACCCATGATGGTGGGCTTTGTAGAAAGTCTGACTGACGCTCACGGTGGAGGCCGGAAGTTGTCAGCTCCAAGGTCTCCTTTACACGATCTTGCAAACCAACCGCCCGGAAATTCGCATACATACCCCAGAGGAAGTTGTTAGGAGGTATATGGTTAACAATAATAGGAAATTGACCCAAGATCATTAGCGCAAGCACCAATGACAGAACGGTGCACCAAGTCCACAAAGTCACAAATACTGTACATTGCTGATTATCTAGGCTCCTAATTCAATGTACAATATCAAGGTCTACATGGCAAAAAAATCTTGTGTTTATGGAGGATAGAGGTGACCATCCAGCCTATGTTGGGCCAAGGGTGGTCGCAGGTAGGTTGGTACACTTGTCAGTTCTTTCCAGCTTGACTTTGAGGATCTCTGTGTTCATCACCGTTGCCCAAAATGTTGCGAACCGAATACCCGCAGCGTCTTTGGCCTGATTCATCATCCGAAGATCAGCTCGGGCGCGTTTGACCACCATGTCAAGCTCGCTGCGAATGAAGCTCGGCCACTCGTCAGCAAGGTAGCTGTCGGCGCCCGTCTGGTCTTGGTACCAATTATCAAAATGCTGCAAGTCAGCCAGCATGCCGTTGTACGAGCTGCAGAATGACTCCCACACCGTGTCGATATTCATGTACGTGAAGATCATGCCTAGCTGTCGGGCCGCGAGCAGTTGATCTCCTCCCTTGTCATAGCCGCGGAATGTCGCCTCAGTTAGGGCCACCCTCCCGCCGAACAACGCCCCTTTCATGCCATTAGGGCGCGACATGAAGACTGTCAGCCGCTCCGGGTGGTCCTTGGAGCCGAGCTGGTCCACAAGTCTGTGCACAAAAGGTTTTCCGCCCCAGAAGGAGTTTGGCGACAAGATGAAGGACTCTGTCCACAGCTTTTGGCGCCGTCGAGTCTGGTCCGTGAGGTTTGGCAGCCATTGGGTGAAAAACCGCGCAATGGTTTGACCCTCGAAAACGTGCTCTGTCTGGTATTCCATATGGTACGCCTGTCCACGTCTGTACGTGTACCCATGGTATCCTTTCTTGGGCCAGGGATAGATCGTCCCGTAGGTGTTCGATTGCGCCACGTCAAATGAGGTACAAACGGCACTGGAGTTATGAAAATATTTCTTGACACTAGATGCTTTGGGAGAGCTGTCCCAGTCTTGGTTCGTGTTGGGGTTCATGAAGTAATTCGGAAATGCCGGGTATATCTCTGACACTACCGTGACGGGTTGAATCGAAGTCCCGAGCCAGAAGTCTGTTGTATCCCAGAAGGCAATATCCTTGGAACCATCGCCAATACCAAAACGATCAGCGGTCCTGTCTTCAAGTATGTGTGCATCTCTCATGAGGGGCTCGAATACAGACCGCTTATAGCTGATGGTCGTGTGTGCCAAGGAGTCATCCTCTGGCGGGAGCCAAGCACAGTTGCAGCAAAAGTTGTCATCGGAGTCCACAGAAACCACACAACTACCGCAGCCATTGCAGCTGATTTCTGGCGTGTCGGACTTCGAAGCCTCTCTGTTGATCAGATCCGTCAAGTCTGGCAAGTCTACAAAGTGACTGAAGTCCCCCGGGACAGATCGATTTTGACGCTTGTCTTTCTTCGCGGTTAGACCCTGCACGTCAGTTAAGACGTCCATCTCCGACTTTGCGGATCGAGCCTCGATCCCTAAGAAGCACTCTCTCTTCAGCACATCTCGGGCCTTGGTGAGATATTGACGATTGTATGAACTGGTCCATCCTACGTAGGCTCCGTCGACTAGTCCAACGCTTTGGGTTTGTATTACGCCTGTGGAAAGGCATACTTCCGTCTCGCTACCCTCCAGCGTGTACAACGCCGTAAGGGTCTGTGTGACAGACATGTCAGGTAGGGTGCCAGCCACGGCTGACTGGTACGGCTTTGAAAACGCCAGTTGGACGTCCATACCGAGCGTCACAATATTGGCGACGCTAATCTTGGACGTAGAGGCATCATTGCCAACTGGGGTCAAGTTGATGTTCCGACTCGCGGTAAAGTCTTTGGCATTATCTGACGGATCGCCCGGGAAGTGCACTGTCGTGCTGCCCCAATCGCTATCAAGATAGTCAGTTTGGGTTCTTCCTGGGTCGAGAGGCCATATAAAAGCAACACTTACGCTCTGGTATTGAGCTCCATATAACCATTGAAGGATACCTCCCTGGAGTTATCGCTGGTAGTCTTCAACTGCACACCATCCTCTCTGTAAGGGGAGAAGGAAGCCCAGCCATGGAAGAGGCTGTGTCCTCCCATAGAGGACTTGCCGCTCAGCTTTGTGATGGAATCTCCGTTGAGCTTCTTGGAGCTGTCAAGAGTACCGATACCTGCAACGGTGAAGGTTGCAGTCGTCGTGCCAACTGGGTGCAAAAATCCAGCCGATTGGTGCACTATAACAGACCCAGTTGGGTCCCAGGTAGCGATAAGCGAGAAACCATAGTAGAAATTGACGTCAAGTGTACCGTTGATGGCGATGGCTATGCCTTGTCCGCTACGGCCCTCATCAGTTGTACACATCTGGGCATCGAAGAAGACGAGGTGGTCAACCGATGTCTTGTCAATGTCGCTGAGGCTGGCAGACTTGTCGAAGGCAAGACCATCGTAGGTGCTGAACCAGTCATCACGGTTGTCTGCGTAGAAACGGCCAATCAGATCGTCCAGGCTACGCTTGGACTTCCCAGGTGAGTCGACTACAGCATCCCAGTAGCCATGCACATTAGAATAATCCATGCGGATGGAGTAGGACCCTGCATCTCGGCGGACAAGAGCCATGTTGTAATCAAATACGAAATCGTAAACCGCAGATGTCGGGTTTTCCATTGCCAGCTCAATTGGGATAGACTGGTCCTGCGAAGGCTCAAGGGACACAGCTCGAGCGTACGACCCATTTCCGCAAGTGTCTGGCATGTGCACAATCGTTCCCTCGACACCATTCTTGGTCAAGGCAAAGCAGCTCGCTACATCTACATCCATACAGATGACTCGAGCGGAATGAGTCTTGTCCACAGCTGCATCCATCAGGTTATTGGGGCAGTCAAGAAAGTGAACGCCGGGGTTCCCACGCTTCGACATGGAGGCAATCGCCGTGTCGGATCCCGCTAGCAGGAAAAAGGCAACACCGGTCATATTGGGGTCTTCAGAGCCGATACCTCCATTGAAGTTGATCAGCTCGAATTGGGGAACAGCATCTGCGGCCGGTAAGTAATCAGGGGGAAAGATCCGGTCGAGATCTACCGGAAGGAAAGGTTGATTTGCGTGTCCTGGGGGGTCACAGCAGAAGACTTGTTGGCGACCTGCTCAAAATTAGCATACAGTCTCTCCCAAATGACGCTGGTGGTGGACTGTGGTTGGACTCTTACCGTTGGCACAGTAGTAACCTCCTTGGCCCTGAGGATCAAGATCCAGCGTTATTTGGCCGTCCTATCATTCCACACAATGTCAGCGTTGCAAATGACTACCTAATTGAATCTTGCAATAATGGAAATGCCCATTGGATGAAGGGAAGTCATTGCCCATCTTGGACCAGTAAGGTGTGCTACTTACGCTGCACAGCTCTGAGCAAATCTTGTTGCCCTTCCAAGCGCAGTTCTTGAATGAGTCCTTCTGCGGGCAGCACAATTTGCGCTTACCGACCGTGCCGACTTTTGGATCTGACGAATCGCCCACCGGGGTAGGGTTCGTGAAAATATCGCCGCTGGAGTAGCTATCGCATCTCGAATTGTCGCCGCCAATGGGACCACCGGCATCCCACGTCAGGACATTCTGCTTGTCGCTGGGGCAGGCCTCTTCGCAACCTGTCCAGGAGCATATATCTAGATACTGATGAAGGTTGCCCGCCTTGCAGCAGAATACTTTCTTGCCCCTAAGAAATATTAGCGGGTGCCTTAACCAAAAGGAAAGGCTCTGAATTTTGTGCCGAGAGAGAGGATAAGTCAGGTCGAGGAATGGGAGAAGGTTGAGAGCGTACCTCAGACACTTGTAATCGTAGCTCCCTTTTTTCAAGTCGCCAGTCCAACCCCATGAATCTGAGAACATGTTGATATCGCCGACATTGCACTTTCCAGAGCAGTCAGTCTTGACGGCGCCGCCTCCAGCATTCCAATGGCAGTCATCAGCAGTCAGACTCGTCCAGGCAGGACAGCAGATCCAACGGGCTTTTTTGGATTCTCCGCCACATCTGTATATCGAGGTTAGGCAAGAATTCCGAGAACATGACAATAGGATCGGACTCACGCGTTGTTTCCATTGTCCGACTTTACTCTCCCGACAGCAGTCTCTGCCTGAGTACAGAAACCGTTGCAGTCGGTGATGCGACACTTGGAGGCATCGTCAGTAGAGTGTCCGATACCGGATGCATCCGAATAGGCAAATCCGTTCGTGATCGTGAACCCGGTATCATCACTGTCTTCATCCTCCAGGCCTCCGTTCCCAGTCAGCGCACCCAGAGCTGTGTGTTGGGCATCGTCAAGGTCTATGGCCCAGATCATGATGCCACCCAATCCTCGCTCATTCGCGAAGTCGATCTTATCCTGAAACGTCCTGGCGTCGTCATATGAGATCCAGTTGTTTTGTCCGTACATGATGTAGTTGACCTTGGCGGCTTCATCGTATGTCGGCTTGGCATTAGTTGAATCAAGGATGTTCATGATTTCTGTGACATGTTAATTATATACTCCTCAATTAAGGGCAACTAAGTAATGGTGCTCACCGCTGTAGGACAAGAACCCTGTTGTATCAGTACACTTGCCCTTGTCGCCACCACTGACAAATGGGCAGCCAGGCTTATAGCACGCAGAGTTCTCCAGTTTGAAGGAACGTCCGTAAAAGCCCAGGCCAAGAACTATGTCACTTGGAGATATGTCGTTACGCCAAAACTAGGTATCGAGTGTTAGCCTGACACAGTTCATGCAATGAGTAGTGAGGCCGCATACCAGATCTAATGCCAAGTCAATCTCAGTGATGTTGGTATGCGCCAATACTTGACTGCCGATGGCGTTATCTGCATCCCAGGTGCCGTGCAGGTCATAGGACATGAGATTGATCCAGTTGACGTACTCGGTCATGGCTCTCAGGTCAAAGTGGCGGAGGTACCAGTACGACGTCGGGGCCGTAAAAGTGACAACGTAGTCGCGACCACTGGATCTGATGGCCTGCCGCAGTTCCTTCAAGAACTGAGTGTAGTTGGCACCATCGTCATCATGGCCACCACGATCGTCAGCACCGGGATACTCCCAGTCAAAGTCAACACCATCAAAGCCGTATTGCGCCAAGAACCCTAGGAGTTTTTTGATAAATGTTTGGCGATTCTCCTCCGTAGAGACCATGTCACCAAAGACTGGCTGCCACTTGCCTGGATCATTATGTGTCCATCCTCCCAAAGCGATCATGATTGTAAGGGATGGGTTCTTATTCTTCAGATAGGTGACTTGCTCGAATAACTCAGCTCCCACATCAGGCATGTTCGTGATGCTGAAGTCCCCGGGCGTGATGAATCCAAAAGCAAAGATCAGATGACTGATGTCGTAGATGGGAATCTCATCTGGAGTCATGTTCTCACATGCCTTGTTCTCGTTCCAGCCTTCCCAGTATGCAATGATTTTCTGTTGCACATTGGTCTTGGCTACTGAGGGCTTGGGTTGATCACAGTTGGACTGGCACCCATCGGCGCAGAATCTACTTCCGTGAGCAATGGTGATATTTGTATGGTCGCAGCATGATACCCGCACTCACTCTTCTGTGGTTCCGCAGAAACCGAACTCACTGCAGCAAACATTCAGTGGGCAGGTAGTTCCCGGAGGATCGGCGTATTGTCCACACTCGGCGGTGGCATCACAGTCAGACTGACAGCCATCACCACAGTAAGTAGACGAGTAACTATGATATACATGTCAATGAAGCCACCTCATATCGAGAGAAATCTAGACCTTACCCGCACCAACCGTCCTTGCCACAGCAAGCCCCGTTGACACATGGCTTATCCGGACCGCATGTGAAGTCATTGGAAGTCGCAGAGGACGACGTTTGGCCACTGGAGTTGGCGCGAGCAACGAGTTCCCGCGGAAGTATAATATCAGTCACAGGAATAGTAACTATAGAGTTTGCCTTAGAGAGTGCAAAGAAGAAACAGAGTGGTAAAAGGAGTGAAGAGAGCCGGCCCATCATGCAAGACAGCGTCATGGCTACGAGCGAGTGTCATGTGTAGTGAGGGATGGTATCACGCCTCACGATGAACTTTAAACATTGTAGGGTGGATTATTTTGTATGGGACTCTCAAATAAATGTGATCATCGATGCCACCAGATCCTACGGCACAGTTCGTTCTGTTCATGAGTTCGCGCCAACAGTCTTCATAGGAACAATAGTTCCTCTATTCGAAACCAATCTCCGAGAAGAATACACTGATACGTCTCAGCTCTAATTTTATTTCATGCATCGCGACTCTATTCTACCACCATAGACCAACCGCCCCCGAAGGCCCAAGGATAGTGTTTTCAGACACCCCCCCATGGAAGTTATCTAAAGTGCGGGATAAAAACTCTATTCGTTGAGCTAGTTTATAACCCCCGTCGGCCCGCATCGGGAGAGCCGCAGGTCGGTTAACAGATCTACCTGAGCCGGGACAAGGATTTAGTCATGATCTAATTTGACCTGATATTAATATACTTCAGGGTTCTCGACCCGAGACTTGTGCTGGCTAGAACTTCCAAAAAGAGCGAGACCGATGCAGAGTGAAATTGGCAAAGACCAACTATAACCAAATTTCCCATTTTGATCACGGCATTTCCCTCCGCCTTGAATCGACCAGACGTTCGACCGTGCTGTGCTACATCAGGATTTCCCTGACCCCGCCATCATACAGCCTTGAAACAAAAAAGCCAGACCCCATTCTCCTTCAGTGCTTCATCGGTCTCTCCTGTATCAACCTGGACGAACATCGATCACGACAGTCCTTGCAGCCATGGCGGCAACAAAGCATTGGATTGTAAGCTTTCTTGTTTACATCTTCGTCTGGTTGACGCCAGCTCGTGCCCAGAATGCATATTACCGTTTGAACTATGCCGACAGCTCGATGCTTACTGGTTCTTCTCAAGAGTGTCTGGACACATTCAACGCAAATGTGTCATGCAACCAGGCGATTGGATCGCTGTACGCGAACCTCTGGCCAGATCTTGACCAGACCATCCTGGATGCCCTTTGTACCAGCACTTGCTTCAATAGCCTTCAGGAGCACCGTAGCGCTCTCATATCGAGCTGTGGCTCCGAAGTCACATATTACAGTGTCTCGGAAGGCTCTACTTGGCCTGTCACGTACCTCACAGACAAGGCAATCTACGGTTATAATCTCACATGTCTGAGGCGAAGGTGAGATTCTTCCCGAAAGTTTGCCGTTCTTATCATGGTTCTAAAACTCGTTAGCGATGAATATTGTAACCTGTGGTTCCAGGACGGCGCCAATAAGGCCGAGAACCCGGAGTGTGATGAATGCTACCTAAAAACTGCCTACATCCAGGCTTCATCACCAGTTGACTCAGCTCCCGAAGAGATGCAATCCATCTACGCTTCCATAAGTTCGAGCTGTGGCTATGACGGGCCTCCAGTCACCATGACCGTTGAACCTTTGGTCATCTCATCGCAAGTTTTGCCCCAAACATGATCAGACTATTCGGAGCTGACAATATCAGGCCAACGGCAACGGCAGACTGTACCAGCCAATATGAGGTGCAGATTGACGACACATACTTGAGTGTTTCTCTATCTCAGGGTGTAGCAACACATGATCTAATCACTGCCAACGGCCTGAATTACAGCCTGGCAGACTTCCCCACCTCTGGAACCCTATGTATCAGAAACCAATGCACCGTCTACGTGATCGAAGAGAGCGATACTTGTCACAGCATAAGCGAGGCACAAGACATTAGTCAAGCTTCGCTGCGGTCTTGGAATCCATTTATCAACGGTCTATGCAGCAACATTGACCTTTTCGCGGGCCAGACCCTGTGTTTGACAAACCCTCTTGGCGAGTACGGCCTTGTGAACAACACGGACAGCGCAACATACACCGACCCGGCTGTAGTCCCTTCCAATGTTGCCCCAAACACTACTACCAATTGTGGGCTCTACCATGAGGTGCAAGCTGGCGAAGACTGCGGTACAGTCGAGCTCAAGTATGGCATTTCGTTAGGCGACCTCATCTTCCTAAACCCAATGGTCGAACAGAACTGCACCAACCTGTGGGCCGACACCTCGTACTGCGTGGCGCCTGTTGGCAAGATTGAAGACTACCCAGGCTATGTTGAGGAGACTCCGGACTATACCTTTGAGCCGGAGGAGACCACGGAGGTTGAGTACGTGGACCCCTGGGTCGAGAGCGGAGACTCCATCGTCATCCCGCTGGCCAATAACACCCGCGACGACTGCTGGGAATACTTCTGGTGGAACGACTCTCTCAGCGCCCCGAACACCTGCTGGGAGGCGGCCCAATCGAACGAGCTTAGTAACGAGCAGTTCGTCCTGTGGAACCCCAGTCTGGACCAGAACGCCGAAGATGCGGCAAGTAAGACGTACGACTACGACTGCACGCTGGCTCCGAGCGTCTCGTACTGCCGCGTGCTCGCCAGCCCGACCCCGGCAGCGGCAACAACCGCGGTCCCGGTCTCCCCACGCGCGGCCGGCGAGATCGAGGGATGTACGAGATGGTTCCTCGCAGTGCTTTCTTGCGACGCCCACGTCCTCCTGCTACGCATGAGCTTTGACTGGTTCTACGAATGCAACCCCTCTGTAGGTGCAGACTGTTCTGGTTTCGTTACGGGAACGTACTACTGCTACTCCACTTCGGAGGAGGGCTCGTACCCCTTCAGCAGCACCGACTCCGAGACAGGGACGACCACAACAGGTGCCACGCCCACCACGGTGGACACGGCCACGACCACAGCCGCGAGGACGGGCGTCGTCACACCCACGCCTACTCAGAGCGGCATGGTATTGGGTTGCACCAGCTTCTACAAGGTGGTGACTGGTGACGGATGCTGGGCCATCGCCAACGATCATGGGATCACCCTCGACGAGCTCTACGAGTGGAATCCAGCACTAGGCTCCGACTGCAGTACACTTTGGCCTGACTACTACGTCTGTATCGGTGTGGACGGCGCTGCTGGCACCACCACCACGATGTCCGGTGCGACTACGGCTACCAGCATCACCACTACGCCCATGCCAACGACAACGTCCAACGTCAGCACCGACGGAACGTGCGGCACTGCAGCAAGAGATATGTCGTGCGCCGGCTCAGCATTTGGCGACTGCTGCTCCTCCAGCGGGTACTGCGGCTCCGGTTCGACCTATTGCGGCAGCGGGTGTCAGATGGCCTTCGGCATCTGTGATGAGGATGGTGGTATTGTTGTTAGCCCGGATGGAACTTGCGGCGGTGACAATGCCTACAGTTGCGCCGGCTCTCAGTTCGGATCCTGCTGCTCCCAGTGGGGATACTGCGGCAGCAGCAGTGATAACTGTGGAACTGGCTGCCAGTCGGATTTCGGAACCTGCACTTAAAGAGCTTGTATCTAATATTCTCCTATTCTTACTCTAATTGAATCTTTTCGTTTGTTAGGAGTCTAAGAAATATTTACAAAGATGTGAAGGTGAACGCTGATGGCAAGGTGACTACGTATAAAAGAAGCGCCATGCATACCGGCTACTAGCTAGAGCTGCAGCTCAATTCAGAGGTATAATATTATAGCTTCCCATAGCAAACTTTAGCTAAGAGCAAGACTCTCCACCTTGTCATTATCTGCTATTGACCCCCACTGGTGGGAAGAATCCCGGAGCAGGCAAGTATGGATCAACGTATTGCTTTCCTGATAGACCTCAGATAACGCCCTAGTGTTAATTAATAGGTATGCTATCATTATCATATCCCAGCGTATGTGATATACCATGCCCTTATGCGACAATGGGCGGTCTCTAGTTAATCCAAGGCAGAGCGGATGTGGTCGTATATGTTAGTTTCTGCATTCATAGTAAAATACTATGTATAGGTATACACTTTCATAGGCGTCCTCCACAATGGCCCATCATGGCATCCTCTTATTAGAATAGTTGCCCAGCCATCTGGTCTACATGATCCACTATATTCTACGATATACATACATGTATCTTCTACCACTCCCATAGATACGTACAGATAATTAACCAACTCATCAATCTATACAACCTCGCTCATCTAAACACCTCTGGTGTCTAACTATGGACAACCTGATAACATTCACCGGTCTATGGGTGCGGTATGGACCATGCGCAATAGATTCTTCATGCTCTGATCACTTTGTATAACTATCAACTTGTCTACCTGGGTACTTAGACTTGCGTACACAAGACCCACGGGTGGCCGCTGAAGTCCGTATCTCTGCGGAGGGCGTCATATGTACTCTATTCTTGTGCGCTGCATACGTTGGGTTCACTCGGCAGACTCTCAGATTACCACACCATAAGTATTCTGGGTCCTGGACGTGATCAAAGGCAGCTTCTCGGATGTCCCGTAGGCATGGTTTGCCCATAGCTACCTACTTAATCTTACTACGGGCCTGGCCCCTATGCAGGTACCACGTTGGTAAATGCAGCCAGAAGTTGTTGGTTCTTTTTGGGAAAGGGCGGAGGTGCAGTCGTGGACGATGGTACCTGATAAATACCACCGGTGCTGTATCCCACGGTTGCAATATTTTGGCTGCATGCGCAGATGTTCTGGGAATGGCGGTGCAATTACCTATTTCGGACCAACAGGATGTATGCAGTGGAGAAACCCCTTCCCGCCCCCCCC